ATCTGATGTCGTGGACGGAAGGCTCGTACGATAGTCTCGATGAATGTATTACACAGCAAAGAGCGAAGCAGCAAGAGATTTCTCGCGGCATTATCGAAAATATCACAGATATCCCTCCAGTGCGATTCCACCTGGCAACATCATCATCATCATCATCATCATCATCATCAAAGCGTCCGTTGGTTTTGTTCGTGGCAATCCACCACGCCCTCTATGACGGCGAATCATTCTCGATGCTCCTGGAGGACGTTGCAGCGCGTTACGTAGGAGAGCCTGTGATCCAGAGAGGCTCACCAGCTGATTTCATCACCCATGTATATTGCCAGAACATGGAGAGGGCCCAGCAACACTGGGTGAGCGCGTTGAGTGATTGTCGGCCTACAATCTTCCGTGTGGACACGGGTGGTGTGGAGAAGACTACCTTCGTAAACAGGAAGCTCCGCGCCGGCCTGGCTGAACTTGAACGTCATTCAGCCAATTTGCACGCTACTGTTCCATCTCTGATGCAAGCGCTCTTTGCTCTTCTGCTGGCTGATAGAGTCAACGCGTCCGACGTCACTTATGGACTTGTCCTCTCTGGTCGAGCTGTGGCAGTCCCTGATGCAGATTCCGTGCTCCTGCCTTGTATTACAACCATCCCTGGCCGTTTGAATACCAATGGCTTGACAACTGTCGCTGAAGTTGTCAGGTCTCTTCACCAATCAACCGCCCGGTCCCTTGAGTACCAGCACACCTCGCTCCGCCGAATTCAACGTTGGCTAAAGTCGGAAAAGCCTCTCTTCGACTGTCTGTTCTCCTACATCCGCAGCACACCAGCACCCAAGGACAGTTTCTGGGAACAGCTCGAGAGTAACATGCCTTCCGAGTACCCGCTTGCTGTCGAAATCGAAGCGAATAATGAAAAGGACGAAGTGTACGTTCACTGTGGCTTCTCAGCCTCGTTTGGTTCGGCCGATCGCGGGCAAGAATTTGTTGAGAAACTAGACGCGCTGTTATCGGCCTTCTTGTCTGGAGATGATATTATGTTGGACAGCTTCAGCCTTGCTGGCTCTGGGCTTTCCGGCCCACTAGAAAGTGCAGTAAAATGGGATGCAACAACCTGGTCTACGACAGAGACAAAGATTAGGGACGTCACGGCGGCTTTTTGTGGTCTTGACGTGGTGAACGTGTCGAAGGGGACGTCATTTATCAGCCTCGGTATTGACTCGGTGACGGCTATCCAATTTGCACGGAAACTCCGCGAGCTGCAGTTTGAAGTTGCACCGTCAGATATCATGCGCTTCCCGTGCGTTGGCGCATTAGCCAAACACATTGATGAGCGTTCAGCCGGGAGCCGTCAGTCAGATCGCTCCGAAGACAAGAAGCCCAGAGTCTCGCTTGCAGCTCACCGTGACAACGTTCGTCTTCTTGATGATGGAGATTCAGTGGCGGCAATGTTTGAATGCACGCCTCTGCAAGCGGGTATGATCACTCAGACACTCGGCTCTGACTCTCAGGTCTATGTTCACCCCCACATTGTTCGGCTTAGCAACGGCGTTAACATTGATCGCCTCAAGATTGCTATTGCAGAGGTCGCCTCGAAAAATGATATTCTGCGTACCTCGTTCCACCCTATCACTGAGAATGGAGTGATCTGGGTTGGTGCGGTCCACACAAATCCTCATTTACAGTGGAAGGAGATCACATTGTCATCGGACGCGGATGTCATCGCCGAGATAACGTCTCTCTACTCGTTCCGCGAGGTGGCCGATTTCGAGAGTCCACCCCTGAGATTTGTGCTGGCCCATCGCGAAAACGAGAAACTTTTCGTTGTCCTCATGCATCATGCTCTTTATGATGGTGCCTCACTGCCTCTCCTCTTTGAGGATTTGGCCGCTGCTTACCGCGGTCAAGCTACGGCAGATCGTCCTCAATTTTCTGAGATTGCCCACCACATCGTGGAAGATCAGAATGACTCTTGCGATTTCTGGACAAATAAACTGGCTGGTTACGACCCTGTCGAGATTCCTGCGATCCCCTCATCCGATGCTACTGAGCGCATGCTTCTTTCAGAGCGCCAAATCGGCCTTGACGTGGAGAAGGTCGTTGAAAGTTGCAAGGCCATGGAAGTAACCGTTCAAAGTGTCGCCCTCTTGGCATATGCAAAGGTCCTCGCTTGCCTGCTCGGGAAGCGCGATGTGGTCTTCGGTCAAGTCCTCTCTGGTCACTCATTACCGGTTCCTGGTGCCGACCAGACTATTGGACCCCTGTTCAACACTGTAGCTCAGAGAGTCTCGTTTGAGCCTAAATTCCTGAGCAACCGCGAGATGGCCCAACGAGTCCAACAAGTTACCTCTGAGTCACAGGCTTTCCAACATGCGCCTTTGAAGGATGTGCAGAAGGCTCTGAGGCAAGAACATGGCATGACTGCTGCCTCGCTATTCGACACACTCTTTGTATTCCAGAAAAGCGCTGATCTTAGGACTGGCACGCTGGATGAACAACAGATCTGGAGTCCCTTCGAAACAGACGGATACGCTGCGCAGGCTGAACATAAACTGAATTTGGAGGTGGATCACGGCCGAGAAGGTATTGTCGTCAGCGCCTCGGGCGACGGACGCTACATTTGCCAACAAGCGCTTGACGAGTTCACAAAGGACTTCTGTACAGCATTCCAAGACATTATTGATCATCCTACCAGATGCGCCACTGCTGCGCCAGAGCGGCTTGGGGACTGCCTCTTCGATCGTCCAAGGCAGAGAAATCAGAACCAGAAGGAGGTGACAGCGAGGTTGATGCACCTGCACACGAGTTGATTGTTCGTGAAGTCCTCGCTGAGGTGGCTGGCGTGCCAGTTGATAGCATCACGTCAAGCACGAGCATTTACAACATTGGTTTAGACTCGTTGTCAGCCATCCGCATCGCTTCGATTTGCCGAAGCAGAGGAATGAAGGCAGGTGTGGCTGATGTTTTGCAAGGAAATACTCTACGGGGTATCAGTTCACGGATTGTCTCAACGGTCGAGGAACGCGTGCAAACTCAGGAGCCCTTGATCGAAAACTATGACGACGTAGAAAAGGCTGTACTTCAGCGGCTCGGACTAAACAAGGACGCAGTCGAGACTATTCTGCCCTGTCTCGGTGGGCAGCTGTACCATCTTGCGAGCTGGCTGAAGTCAGGACGGACGTTGTTCGAACCTGCCTGGTCTTACTACAGCAGTGAACGTATCGATAGTGGGAAGCTTGAGAAGGCGTGGGATCAACTTCGTCAACGACATCCCATTCTAAGAACCTGCTTTGCGGCGACCTCACCGTCAATGGCCGTACAGGTCGTGCTTAAAGACGCACCACAGAACGCGGAGATATTCAAGGTCATCGAGTCTCCCGCATGCATTGAAGAAGCAGCAAAGGCCCAGGCCCGGGAGGAGGGGTTGAATCCATCATCTTTGATTGTCCCTCCTGTCCGCCTTCGTCTTCTCAAGGCCAGCGACAAGGACGGAATTCAAGTTTTTATCAATCACGCTGCATACGACGCATGGACGATGCCAATGTTTGTCTCTGAGCTCGCGCAGCTGTACCGCGGACAATCAGTGGAGTCAAACCCGGACTTCCCCTCTTTTGTCGAGCACGCTACGCGCTCTCTGCGAGAAGTCGACGAACAAGCCTACTGGTCTTCGCAGCTCGGCTCCAGCGTCCCAACGATCATCAAGCCCAAGGACCAGGAACTCCCCAGGCAATCATTTGTCGGCGTATGGGAGAAAGTCAAGAACCTCTCTCAACTGGAAAGTACCTGTCGTTCTGCTGGCCTCGGTCTCCAGAGCGTAGTCCTACTAGCCGTCTCCCGCTGTTTCGCAAGAATGACTGGTGTCCAAACCCCCACCATCGGCTTATACCAAACAGGTCGCTCCGCCTCGTTCAAGAATATCGAGAGTCTCTCCGGTCCCTGTCTAAACGTCACGCCGTTCACATTCCCCAGCCCCGAAGCCAAAGCTGCAAGTAACGCGTTAGACGAAGTGCGAGCAATCCAAACCTCCCTTGCTGAACGTGTCCTCTACGAACAGAGCTGCCTCCGCGAGATCCTGGCCAAATGGGCCAGTACGAAAGGTAGAGGACCACTCTTCAACATCTGGGTTAATCTCCTCTGGATGCACCAACCCTCTACTCAAGGTGATTCACACGCAGAGTCCGATCTCTTCCAGCCTCTGCGGATCGGTGTGCCAACCGATTTCATACCCGCTACGCCGTTACCGGACCCAACCGGGCAGACTACCTCCGTTTCGGCGTTGGATACCTCGTACCTACCTGATGAGAATCTGTATATTGATATTGGGCCTGATTATAGTACGGATACTATCGGGTTTGGTGTCCGCGTGGAAGGGGGACTTTTGACGGAGATGGAGGTGCACAAGATGGTAGGTGATCTTAGTGGTGAGATTGAGGGGATTATGGCTGCCATCCAGTGAGATGACACGCTCAGAGTATTGAATTCCAGTTTGTGTGTTTATGAAAGAACGATAAAAGGATGAGGAGTTCAGAAGTGCACTGTGCTGAGTCGACTGACTGCATGATCATGCTTGTATTCTTTGGCTGGATAAAGCAAAGATAGATACAGAAGAACATACCATAGATAGAATTTAAATGTTTAGAGATGTGACCCGTCTGGAACAGCGAGTAGAGCATCGCTATAGCCTACTGACCTTCTTTAGGTGCGGAAGAAAGGAATAGAATGTCAATGAACTTCATTGAATCATCCTGTAATACAAAGGGACACCTGCAACAATCAATCATAATACTGACTTGTAGATCCACCAAGACGAAGCTACATATTTAGGTTTCGAGTTCAGCGACACCCTCGTGGCACCGTAGGTTTCCCTTCTCAAGTTTCTCAACCAACACGCAAAGCCGTCCTTCTCCCTGTAAGGGACTTATCAATAAGTGCCATGGACAAATTGGACCTCCTGAGGTGATAACGGAGCCGAGAAAGAAGATATGCATCCCGTGGAGACTGGAGAAATTAGTCCACTAAGTTCTTTCTGCAATTGTCGACGACGAGTATGATTCAGACATGCAATGGTCGATTCGTGCATCCTGCAACGGGAAGCTCCTGATACCCTCGGCCCCCAACCACGTCGCAATACGTTGTTTACGCCAGAATGACAGACAACAATCGTACTTGAGCGGCACCCTAACCCTCTCGACGTTGAGGACACCAGATTCAGAATTGGCGAGTCTGGTCACCGCGAAACAGCGGAAAAGTTCATCGATTTCGAAGGGCTCATGGATGCCAAATGTCCGGATCCCAGGTCGCCAATCGCCAGTTGGAAGAAGCCGGAGACTAGCGAGGCGCCTGGTGCGTTGGGATGAGAGTATGGTGTTGAATATGTTTCCCGCCAAGGGTTTGTCAATCGCTGCATTGATGCAAAGTTTTCTGACTTTCCGGACATCCTCGCCATAGGAGGGGTCGTACACCGGTATATAGGAAGGAACGAAATCATCTGGAGGGTCATCGGCGCTCGGGACACAGTCAAGTTTCACGCAGAGGTGCGTCAGAGCAGGGGAATGCCCGAGTGCTTTGTAAACCTTTACCTCGGGAGCTCGGCCCTGCACGCGGTGGACGGTGAGGTGCAGCTCTCGGAGGACAGGGCACATGCTCGCAAAGCGGGAAATTTCATCCGCGTTGTAGTATGGACGTCCCTGTCTCTGCAGCCGCATGTGGTGTGAAACATTGCGTGAGTCTAGTCCGAGGCTCTGTAGGGTAGCGCCGTGTCTGGACAAGACCTTGCTGACGAAGGGCGCGTTGCGGTTTCCGACCAGCCCGAGACCCTTGAGCGGCGGCAATGCTTTCATCATCTCTTCCACCGAACGCCAGTACTCACGATGTCTTCTGGGGGCTACCGGTAGGTTGATCGAGAGCCGTTCGAGGCGCTGGAAGTATGCTGCAACAGCGCAAATACTTCGAGCGAGTGTGGGATCATCAATACGGCCGATGCTCAAAGCACGCAGATGTCCTAGATCAATCTTCTGATGCCACTGATTGAAGCACTGGACTGACATCGTGGTGTTTAGGGAAAAGGACAAAGTTTCGAGACGGGCAACGGCATTGGATACTCCAGCGCTGGGTTCGAAGCGGTAGATACGCCGGTCCGCAGGTTTACGCTGCGGCACCAGTACGAGATCGACCTTTTTCAGATTTGGAGCCACAGACAGCGTGCGCAGAATGGCTGACTCGATTACCTCGTAATTCCCAACGTAGCGGTAGTAGTAGCAGCGAATCGAGTGGAGGCACGGCGAGGTGACCACGGCCATATCCCTATCGCTGAGACCCTGGTGTTTCCAGGCCTGGAGGTAGAAATGAAGCAAGTTGAGCTTGCAGGAAGGGTGGTATTTGTGCAGAGCATCCAAGACTTCTTGCGGGAAGCGCACAGCTCGAACATAATTCACTTCTTTCAAGCTTGTCAAGGCCGCGATGAACCTGGCGAGTGGAGCATGGTCGAGGGTAGTGGTTCGCCTGCGACAAAGCGGGAAAGTGTGCCGTTGTTTTTGCCAGAGCTCACGATCAAGGAAGCCATCCAGCATGATAGGTCCCCCTTCATCTTCCTGCAGAGCAGCTAGATTGAGACTCTGTTTCCCGCTTTGCCCGACGAGATCCAGACGACGCAGGTATCGAATGTATAGCTTGCGCAGGGGATGGCTTAGCAACTGTTCAACGTCTGCTTGAAGTTGCGCCGTTGTGGTGAGACATAGCTGCAGCTTTTCGTACAGAAGAGGCACGGCAGCCTGATACCAGGCATGGTTCATAAGGCTTAACTCTTCTAAAGTCGCCCGGCTGGTGTCCATAGCCTAGATGCTTTATGTCAGTGGTCCCATTGAATTAGGAACGGAAGGCGCACTAATACTAATGCACATATCATGTGCTTGACCTCAAAGGGAAGCCGATCCATGTTTGAGGATCTGAGAGATGGAATGTGGAAGCAGAAACGAGGGTGAGTGATCTGCTTTTTATATCAGAGAAAGGCCAGTGGGAGTGAAGCAGTACGTACTTTTCCGCATCGCTACATACTTTTCCACATCTTGCACATTCATTCGCATTGGATCCCTTCTCGACATTCTCTCACTCTCTACCTTTGCTGATGTGGCTCTTCTTCTATCTTCACCTTCCTTCAAACTCATGCCGAGGTAACGGAGTTATTGAATAAAGCCTGCACTGAAGTGTCACCAAGCTTGAGAGAGTCAATGAGCAGGATAGCACAGAGCTGCTTAGATGACTTCAGAGCTTGCCACAGCTGTGGAAAATATAGAGGATTCTCAAGCCCAGAGGCGATGTACTGGAGGGATAGTCCTGTTCCGACGACGTGCCTTCCATAGCAACCGAAAAGTAGAGGACATCCCCACCAGGTCCGTATCAGTGACTGAACTCTCCACGGATCTTTCCCTCTAAACCAGGGCAAGGTCAGCAAGACACAGATAGTTGGAACGTCAATAGCGGTAGGTTAACCCCCTTCGCGCAAGCTGCGGGGCCCTTTTGTGGACTGCTCGTACTTCTGGCCAGTTATTTCTTTTCAAAATCCGCTTTTGCTTGTGTTCCTTCATATTAGGAGGATTGTTTACCAAACCTCCAGGAGTACTACGAAACACACTGTCGAGGACACATCGTTGCCTCGGCACTTCTTCTGAAACCACAAGTAGCTTCGCCAAATAAAGTGTAATGTGAAATAGATCTGTGACTAGCTAGACAATACAACAACTGATAATCCCAAGCAATCGAGCATCATTCATACAGAGCATGGTGCTGAGCCAGCCATCGCCGTATAATCACTGCATCATCTAACAATGTGCAACGCTAGGAACGTTCTCGCAGCTACCATAGGTCTGGCCGCCAGTGACCTCGACGCTCTTCCAGGTCCAATTCGAGCAGGCCCCACTGCCGCAGACAATAGCGATATTGTGCCCGCTTGACGCCACGGCGCCTTTACCACTGATGTTCTCCATGGTCAGGTCGGTGATGGGGATGCCGGAGGTCGGCTCGCCCTTGAGGTCGCCGCCGTCGTAGTTTTGTTCGATGAGGATACCGTACCTTGACGGTGTTAGCTGTATCAGACTGCCAGAATGTCAAGAGGGAAACTGACTTGCGGATGGAGCTCAGGGTGATTCCTGAGTAGGTGATTCCCTTGATTGTGCCTGTTTTCCCTTTGGAGGCTTTGATGCGGAGTCCTGGTTCATAGTTAGAAGTGTCCTTCTGTTGATACAGGATGAGCGAGCGGTACCGTTATCAGATTTCGTGACCTGTGAGTTCGTAAAGGAGACGTTCTCGACGGTATTATCGGAACGGCCACCAACGCTACCAATCGACAGGCCATGGCCACCGGAGCACAGCCCACCGGTAAAGGTGATACCCGTACCGGAGTTGACCGCGACACAGTCATCCTGGTTGTAGACTTTCGCGCCTGAGATGATAATGTTGGAGCTGGATCCAATATCGAAGGCGTCGGTGTTGTGGCCGCCTTGGGTGTCACCGGCGGAATCGTCGATCGTCATGTCGGTGATGGTCAGGCCATCGCATCCGTTGATGCTGACCGCCTGGACGGGGGTGTTCAGGATGTGCAGATTGATGATGGACGACGACGAGGTGAGGCCGTGCGCGGCGAAGAACTTGGGCTTCGTCTTGCCGCCGTTGCCGCCCTGACCGTCCCACCAGCGGGCGCCGTCGGGTTCAGCGTCGCGCCCGACGCACCCTCGACTTTGATGTTTTTGCCGGAAATCTGCAGCAGGGGGCCGGCCCATTCCTTGTAGCCCCAGGTTGTCTCGCCCTCGAAGATGACCTAAGATACTTTAGACCATTGCCTCGATCGATTGGAGGTTGATATCGGAGATGGGGTCTTACTGTGGTGCCATCTGCCAGGTCGCTGAGATCTAGCGTCGTGCCAGCGGGAACAGCAACGCTCGACAGAACGATAGTAGAGCAGGCCTTCTGAGAAGCCATCGCAGCAGCGGCGCCGTTGGACCCGGAGAACGTGCAAGAAGCGCGCTTCTCCAGAGTTGTGGACGGCGCAACTGGCTCAGCGACGGGAGAGGCAATCACCTCGGCCGCAGAGGCGAGGAGCACGAGAGAACCTATCAGTTTCAACATTGTGATTGCGGTGTCACCCCAAGTGAAGTGCGTTGTTGATGTCTTGGAGAGTCACTGCTCCTCCGGTCGTTGATCCCTTATATAGGGAATACGACGCCCATACCTGGTGACATCGTTTCCGCCATTGATAAAGAACCCTAGTGCTCCTCTAGGCTGTAAAGAGGACCCGTTCATCGTTTCTCCTCCAATGCCTCGTCATAGTGCTCCTCTAGCCCTGCTCTATTGGTGGTAAATATTGTCCTGCAAGAATGGAGCGACACCTAAGCAATATGAAGAAAGCTTATGAGTCGGAAGAAAAGCACAAGCACTTCCGTGCAGTTGCTTGCTTCCGGGGAATGCGGAGAGCAACCAATCGAAACAGAGAAAACGACCGTGTAATGCACTACATAATGTCGATATTCAGGGTCTTTTGACCCCTGACGGCTGCCTCGGTGTCTCGGCTTCTGGGAATGTCATTTACCCCAGACCGGCTATGTCACATTTTTTTTTTCCACCACTTGATTTACCGCGCGCAGTCGGCAATTTCCGTTGCAGAAACGAAGCCTAGCCTAGTCTGGCATTATTAGTCGTGGTGGCAGGGATTTAATGTGCCTTCGCAGCACGGATATGCACATGGGCCAATATCCCGCATCGAATCGGTAGAAGTTTAGAACTAGCCTAGTATCGCTGAAACACGTCCGGACCTATGCAGGGCCACGACGGATACTTTTCCGCGCCTCATCAGGCTGGAAACTTCCGTGCAAATGATTATGATAAATCAGCTACAGTCAAACTTAGGAGTCTGCCAAACATCACGATGGTGGAGAATAAATAAAATCCTCCAGACTATATTCGCAATGTATCCTATTCTAATCCAGCTCCAACCTCAGAGCGTCGTATTGCACATATACGGTCCCCGGTAGAATGGCAGTCTCCGTATCGGTCGCGTTGTACGGCAGATGCAGTGTGAGGGTATTCTCACCGACCTTAAGCCAGTCCGCAGGGAACTCCATCCGTGAGCGGACCTGGTAGCAGCTGACGGCAGAACGCACAATACAGCTGCTGGACTGGTTAAAGCCAATGACAAAGGAGAGGGGCTCCTTCTGGTCATTGATGTAGCTCTCATGGGATAGGTTGATGTACGGCTCTGCGGCATTGTACACATCCGTGTTGCCCGAAGCTGTCTTGGCACCGGCAAGCTGGATGGTTAGGGTAGCCTTCTTAGACTTGCGGAGCTGCTTCTCCGTCAGGGAGAAGTTGATTCTCCAGTCGTGGGTCGTGTTGTACTCGACATCCGGGTTGTCGGGCGTGGGGCCAAAGACCGACCAGTGCACAGTGTTGAAGTCCGTCGCCGGGTCGCTGCTGCCGATCTTGTAGTCGATCCCCTTGGGGAAATCGGATTGCCAGTCGTATGCACCCCAGTAGATCAGATACTCCGGCGGGTGCAGTGGGTGTGTGGGATCGCGCGCGACACCATGGCGGAACTCGCCGGAGGACTTGTCGGGGTACCAAGGCGCCAGACCTCTTTGCCGGCGGACTCGGCGACCCATTTCTCTTTCACAGTGGTGGTCCTCCCAGCTTTGACGGTGACACCGTCGCGCACAAAGTCGCCGAATATGCCGTCAGCGTAGACAGTCAGTCGATACTTGCCTTCGACAACGCGATCGATGCGGAACTTGCCACTAGAGTCAATATGCGTCCAGTACTGGTATGAGGATGGGACGACACTGTTGTCCTGGAAGTAGTGGCCGTCCACAGTAAGGATGGCAATAGGATTGGTAGCGCCCTTCGGAAGGCGGACCTGACCGTTGACGCTGCCACGCTTCGTGGAAGGCACATAGCCAACGACGTGCTTGGCGATTGAGTCATAGAACTGGGCGTTCCAGCTGGGATCAGCCAGCTTTGCAGCTTCCGACCGCAAATCCTCAAGAGAAGACGTGGAGCCCTTGCCACCATTGAATAAGTAAAACTGAGGGCCGAATGTCCGGTCAAAGCCGTTGGTGATGTTGGGTGTACCTTCACCGTGGTGGTTGGAGACAATATAGTTGTAGACGATACCATCGACGGTCAGATCGGAGTGCAGCGGGCCCTGTTTTGTTAGTTTCGTTAAGCAGCCAAGGCCAAGGGACATACTCCATAGTAAGTATCCTACTCACGACGTTAGCACGGCATCTTGATATGTGGAAGCAATACGAACCTTCGTATTCATGACCAACCAGGCGCCGTAGGTCGAGCCGTTGGAGTTCGTACCGTCTCCGTAAAGCCCGTGAACGTCGTTATCGCGCCATTCTACAGTCGGTTAGCTCTAATCAGACCACATGAGCGAAATGCGACTTACGGTTCGAAAACGTGTACTTGGTGAAATAATCCGAGAATTGGGTGTAGTAAGCATCTTCTGGGGTGTTGTTGAATCGCCACGTGGCGTCCTGGACGACCACCTGCTTGCTCACAGCATTCTTGCTCGGCAGTGGAGCCGTCTGGAGCTCACTGGACGTAAGATGTGTCCACAACTGCGTGTTCGGCCGGAAGAGCGTGCGGAATTCTTGGAGGTTGCGAAGGAAGGGAGTGGTCTCGTTGTAGTAAGCCAGACGGCTGAACATGTGCAGCCCTGTCTCTCCGTCACGCAGGAACCAGTATTGCTGGAACTGCTGTCCAGTAGGGGTATAGGTATCATTTAGGATGACTCCGGCGTATTTCGTTCCGGTCGAGTCGGTTCCTTCGACATACTGCATGCTCGGTTTTGTGGCGCCCGCTGTGTAGAAACCCGAGGGGACGCAGTAGCAGTCGAGATAGGGACCAATACCCGTAGAGCCGGATTGAGGTCCGAGAAGATCCTGACCATCGAGGAACATATCGACAACTGATCCCTTGCTCTTGCTCCAAACAGCTGTGAAACGGTCATTGTTGAGAGTGATGGTGCTGTTATCCTCGGCGACCTGCAACGCTGCCAGCACAACGCCAGCCCAGGCGCACGCCGCACCTAAAGAAATGGCGAAACGCATTGTGGAGGCTAACAATCAACAATCGATCAACAGCAACGTGAAACCCGCTCGCAGGAATCATGGGGTGACCCTGAGCCGTATTTGAACCCGCCTTGGACTCACAATGATTATGGTCGTTATGGTCGCGGCATGGAATGCCCCGAGGTCACCTGGGAAGTAACTTCAAGCTCCGCTGCAGCTCCCACGGAAGAGGCCTCAATCAGGGGATGACGGTGTTTAGCGACTTTAGCCTATCAAGGAACGGGCCAAGACCGCGGACTGCGGAGCCCCAGAAAACATGGGCGAAATGCGGGGAAACTGTTGGCCCAGAATGTGGCTATTAGCGGCGCCATGGAGTCGACGGAGAAATTATTCGGCCATCATTAACCCGATGAAAAGCTGAAAGCCCAGACAGGGGTGAAGGTTGAGATCGAAGGCCGCTGCGGGGGAGTACGAGTCAAGAGGATACCAGAACACCGCTGAATGTGTCCTTGTTCCCTCGTCCAATTCGTTTGCCCCGTGTTGTCGTTCCTAATGCTTGAGCATGCCACGCCTTCAGCCTAGTCTAAGAACAGGAAATTGATTGATTGAGCTACATTTCCGCTGGAATTGCCATACCACGCGGTTCCCACAAGAACTATCGAAGGTTGTGTCAATGTGTCCATGAGTCCGTTAGTCTGGCGTGTACTGCAGCAAAAACGACCGGGATTCGGTTCCTTGAGACATGATTTGCATCGCTTAAGCCGAAGCCAACGCGTCGATCCAGGAGTAGATTAGATAGACGTTTCCGATTGGTTGAAGGGCAGAAATCCTGACAGGAATGAAATTTATCAGCGAATGCATTGAGATGCTTGTCAGGGTGATCGCATAACCGAGGTCATTCAGTTACTACCGCTCGATCGGTGGACAGATGGCGCAGCTGGTCGTATTCGTTCCTAACCAGGTGGCATGTTCAATACTCGGTAGAATCGGACTAGCCTCATCTCACGAAACAGTTGAACGCGACTCAATAAAGATTACTTGGCACGCTGTTCAGCCATGACATGTCCTGGAAATCAGGTATATCGAACCCATCCAGCAAGATTGCATTCATGCCTTCGCCAAGGGACATGTCGTTCGTGGTGTTGAAAGTGCTGGCTTGAGCATGGGTTGACGGCTCGTTCCCTGGCGGTCCTTCCGAAACGACCTTTTCGTAGAGGATCTCTAATGCTGCGACGCACCGTCTAGCTGATGAGCTATAGCTGTGGTAGCTTCGCAATATTTCAAGGGCGCAGTTCCAGGATCTGGTTATCGCGGTTTCGGTTACTTCTTCGAGGATAGCGGACCGGAGACGCCCGGCAATCAGCACAGTTGCTGCCGTGTAGACATCTTCCCTGTCAGTACATTCGCAATTGAAGACCTTAACATGACTTACAGAGAATGTTGTACCACCAGGCTGGAAGTGGGCCGGTAGAGCCATCAGCAGGGATGTTGCTATGGATTAATTCAATGACCTCTTGTGCGACCTTGACACAGATAATGGAGCACTGCTGTGCAACTCGCTGGGGAAATGAATCATTCACTGAGATAAGCGGATCTTGAGGTGTAATCTCGCGAGCAGTGCAGTACTTTGCCAAAATCGGTCTGAAAAGAAGCATCCGGACATGTAGAAATCTGGTGTGACTCGTCAGCTCGCATACCATTTAGGTCGGAAAAGGCAACTTACCGAGCTCTCAAAACCACACTCTGGTGGTAGAAAACCGCATCCTCAGGCTTGGAGGATGTATCTCCTCGGAGATGGGCCGGAAGACTCTGAGTCCATTTGGTGAGAGCTCGATCGAGTTCGAAGATCGTACGTTCGCCTTCGTCTAGTCCTTTGTTGAAGTAGAAATCGTAGATGTCTTCAGGATTCCCTTCGGGAACGGGTTTGTAGAGGCTGAGCAGAATATCGTTGAGAATTTCGTAAAGCTCAAGGGACTTTGCGTAGAAAGCCATAACGGAAGGACGGTCCGCGGGTTGTCTCACTTCATCATCCAGAGCCGCGGGAATGTACTCCTCGTCCACTGTGGCCGGCAGCGGAACAGAGCCACAAGATGCTTTGGAGATCATAGCTGGTCGTCCGAATGTCATCGAGATGACCCTGTCCATAAGAACACACCCGTGCCAAATCTTCCGTGCGAGTTGCTGTTCTTGGAAGCTTGGTAAACGGGCAATAGTCTGCGGAAGATGCAGGCCCAGGCTTTGAGCATTCCGAATCGCCAACCCAGTGACAATCCAGCATTGATGTGCCGAGTCAGTACTTTGCAGGTACTGGGCCATCAGCAGAAGGCATTGAATCAGAGTAGCAGAGCCACCGTGCCAGAGATTGAAGTGTAGGAGGTCTTTTGCGCGAGAGAAGAAAGCATCTGCAGAGGCTTCGCGCTCGTCAGGCGGGATGAAATAAGCCAGTTGACAAGCCAAGGCAAATATGACGTTGAACGTGCACATGAGCATATTCTCGTCCGAGTCGAGCGTTTCTCCGGTCCAGAGCTTGCTATACTCCGCTCGCAAGTGAATGCTATCTACCAGCGGATAGAGAGGAAACACAAAGCACCAGTACACGTCCATAAGGCTATCCGCCGTTTTCCTTGGTGGAAGCACATAGTTGGATACGGTGGACGGTCTTTTGGTCCGGCTGGAGAGAGGACTCGATTGCGGCGCAGTTCCCAGTATGGACTCGGATGTGCGGCGGTCGGGTACGTCCACCCTCTTTTCCACGGCTGTTTTGATCTGACGCATGAAACTAGTCGCACTTGAGCTGCCAAAGAATCCTTGTGTCTGGCGCTCTTCCTCCAGAGAACCCATCATCGCATTCACGCCATCATCTCGTCCTTCAGTATCTAAAGGACGTTCCAAACGACGGCCAACTGCATCACCTGGCTGCCGCCCATTGCCTGCAGACAAGCCATGTCTGCCATTGAACCGGTTGGGAGGGATCGTTTGTGATGGACTGAGTTGTCCCGATGACTGGACTGAAGGTGAGACCTGATTGAAACGGCGATATAGACTACTGAAATAAATCAGTGCTCTATGAGAAGACAAGAATTGAATGCTGACCTGAGTATAACGTGGCGGGCTCTCTAGATCTCTAATTTTACTTTCCAAACTAGCAATGTAGCTGCGCATTGAAGTTAACATCAGCTGGCAACCATCAACCAAGTGGTGCCTGAGGCAAACACTCACTTGCGCACGGCTCTGCGTTTCTCCGGCTCACCAGTGTAAACACAGCGCGCATCCGATCGCTTCGTACACGGCCCACAGACTAAGGAACCGGGAAAGAGAGACGCAGTCAGCAAACGAGGCGGTTCATATTCCGATGCAAAAGTTGACGTAGAAGGCGGGAGGAATCAGCTAGATCTACCGGGTTGGATGCCGTCGCACCGGACCTTCCGAGCGCGACATTCGTCGCATGCGACCGCGACTTTACGTCGCTTCGGAGGTTTTTCTGACGCTTCCTCTCGGCCTGGGTGAGGAGGAGATGAGCTGTTCATTTATGTGATATGTACCATGCAGTGGTGATACTGTGCAGGAATTGATGCATTTCTGGTGATGTGGGTAGAGGATGTGCGGGACGTACTCCCGTATTCCCGCGTGCTCGGGAGTTGGACTCGGGTGTGGTTCCGGTTGCCTTAGGCAGATGAGCATTTATTTCATTGTTCGTCCATAACGTCGAAATTGAGGTTTGAATATAGTATCGATTTAATAGTTTGAAACTCGGTTTCATCGCGTACTCTTCGTTACAGTAATTATATGTCCACTTGTGCATAGAGTTGGGCTGCTCTCGATATATGTGTGTGTATATATATATATACTCCATATGACGGCGAGCGAGTCTACCGGTGCATTGATCCAATAGTTTCACTAGATATGTAAAACCAGTTGCTTTACAATAATAGTACTCTGCATTGAAAGACCGGCGTGATATATAAATCCAAGGCAAATGTGTCGATATCCAGGACTCAGTGATTCATGGAGGTTTTGTAGATCCATTCTTTAAAGTCTTCTATATCTTAACATCTCCCAAGAACGTGATATTGGCCCGAAAGGCTTATTAGAGCGGCGACGTAATAATCCAAGGTCATATAGAGATACAATTACTTATGACGATGAGCTGCAGTCTAAGAGACAGCCTAAGAGAAACTGGTTGATTTACACTCCAAGGAAAGCAAGTGATGATTAAGAGTAAGGTATATTCTCGATTATTAACACTCCTCTAGTCCAATAGGACAGAATGCACTAAATGGATACAGTAACAGTCCAGATGAGATCGATGATCAATCATCCGATCAAGAAGAGAAATTTTCCTATCCGCCAGGAGCATGCAGCTGTACACCCAGTGCTATATGCAACCGTTGATCCCGAAGATATCGAACAAGGGTCCGGGGAAACGGCATCACTCGCAACTGGCTTAGTTGATGGAGCCGAGAGCAACGCAGGCCGGTGTGGCAACGTTGACGAGACCGCCAGTCTAATACTGTCAGGAGTGCCAACTAGGGAAAGACAGCGGACTTACAGCAACGGACTTGTTGTCCTGGCAGCAAGCAACGTTCTGCTGGCATTGCTTGTTGAGGAGGTCGCTGACACCGATCAGGCCTGGGACATGTTAGAGGCATAGTTTCTCTCGACTTTTGATACGAATGCTTACCGGTGACGGAGATCTTCTGGCAGCCAGAGAGGATACCGACACCCTCAGGGCCGCTGATGGCGTTGCCGAGAAGGCCGTTCAGGACGCCGTAGTTGAAGGCGGTGGTGTCGCCAACCTTGGAGACATGGTTGCAGCAAGATAGGGTGGTGTGGTCACCGCACTTGTTCTGGGCCTGCTGCAAAGTGTACTTGTCGGCACTGGCGAAGGTAGGATGGACGACACCTGCGTTGGGGAGAGCCAGAGCGGTCGCAGCAAGGAGAGAGGCAACAGCGAGGAACTTCATTTTGAGGATGGGTTGAAGGAGTTTGCTTGGAAGTGTCGAGAAAGTGAAAGAAGGTTGATTGAGTGAACGGATGGATGGAAGGATTGTTTGCGTTGATGAAGAAGCAGAATAGCAGGATTTGACTGTCCTTTTATACCTTTGTCAACCCTCTTGGGTGCTGTTGCTTTCCAAGCAGACTCGCTGAACGATTCCTCTTTCGATCACTCAACGCCACCGTTGGGCTCCTTGCTGGAACTCATTCAAGACTTGATCATACTGACGCTGGCTGAGATGAAGGCTTCAATAGTTCACATCCACAGATTCACGCAGGAACCAATCCTGCAGCACTCTGGCCACCACACAGTGCTTCGTTAGCCCAGTTTCATAGCCATCAACAATAAATTCCCCACCGATGCAAGCATCCTGCAATTGAGTTTGGCGTACAAACTCTCGGACCTGCAGGGTGACAGGGGCTCATTCGGGGTCCCCAAATGTGATATATGATATATCACATGTGGGCCTCCGCATACTGCAGCCCCAACACCCACTGCAACCTGAATGTCAACAGACTGTGCATAATTAGTGGATTTATGTCTTGGAATTTGTCGTGCTTTTTTCCCTCGTTTAAATAGACCTGCTCGGCGGGAATCAAACCCAAGTAGGACCAGGCAAGCCATGTGCTTGGTGTGGCCCCTACATTCAATAGTTTAGTCTATCCCTTGCTCCCTCTGGAGAGCTAATTTTGGCACTTCTGGTAACTCTCCATAGTATGCTGCCTAAGCTTTCAGCCCTTACTTTGTTTCTAATTGTATGTTTCGAGTTCATTTATACCTCGTGTATGTGGAAATTGCATTGTAGAACAGTCTCTAAGAGAACGCAAATAGTAAATGGAGTGACTGTGTCCAGGTCACCGATGTACGCTGCAAAGCCAGGAACAGTGACTCTGCTTGTTCATAGGAAAAGCAATAACCTTGGCTTTGTTTAGTGGTACGCCAACTCATCATAAACAACGCCCTGGACGTCAGAGTATTGACAGGTCCACTTCCTGCCTATTTAGCTTCATGATCGGCAATCCTCACCGTCTTGATCAGTGTGATCTCGGCGTATTTTTGTAATTCAGTCTGTACTCCCCGTGTTGTCCTCTGTAGTCTACTCTATATGACGAGGCTCAAAGAGTTCATGACGGTGAGATGCTCAGTTTGACTTCAGGTTGGCAACCCTTTACCTCACCGTTCAAGCCAAAGGATAAGAGGGCGTTGGTCTTAGGGAAGAATGAGGATACGAAGTTAATACATAGGAACTAGGAAGAAACTTGGAAGAGAAAAGAACCCCAGACGTGTGAACTCTGTTTCTTAGGATCGACAGCGCTAGGTTCGGTTGCCTGGCTGCCACACCCTCCGGCCTCAATGGCGTCGCCTCCAGGACCTAACTTCAAAAGAGCTGCGGCAGGGGCCTTAATATTAAATGAGTTCATGTACTGGGCTAATGAGGAGGATCATTTCTGATAGTGCAGCAGATGTTCAACCTCTACGATTTCCCTTGCTCGGTCACCGCAACAGAGTACAGATCAAGCAAAGCAAAAAGTACGAACTGTAGTTTAGTGTCATAGTCATCAGGAAATATGACAAATTGTCTGACTCGAAATACGGAGTAAGGCAAGGCCATTAGATTGAGGTCCTTACCACTCTGCATGTACTGCTGATCGCTCAGACAGCCACCCGGCGGGAATCGAGGACTGTCGTACACATAACCTCTGGCATTCTGATTTGTCTCCTTGTCTGACGATCTCAATACGTTCAATTCCTCCAGACGTATCTGGTACCTGCTTCTCATCGTAGGTAGTCTATTTCAAGGTTCGTTACTGCGTCAAATGACTGGTTAGGTCAACGACCAGCTCATACGAGCGGTCATCTTGATTCAGAAGTTGGCGCTTCATAGACGCATAATGCTGAGCCGGATAGAAACGATGCTTTTCTTTTTCCAAGGAGTAGTTGTCGGAGCAATCCGGTTTATTGGACAGATGCTTCGATGGCATGAGCCGAGGCCAGGTGAACAAAAGTCCATGCATTCGGATATGTTCGCCTCTGCCATGAGTCGAATGAGTCTGCCTATCTAGGGGAAGGCAATGGAGACCAGCATACCCCGTACATACAGTTGCTGCTCGCATATACCTCTCGTTACTATTAGTCTTTTTATGCCTCACTTTCATTGAACTATTATTCACCGACTCCACCATCGCCACTCTCCTCCACCATCGCCACTCTCCTCCAGCTACGTGGTAAAGGATCCGGGCTTATTACCTCCACCGAGAACAGGACTCTCCCCTTCCGCTTCCACTACACTGCGACCTGACAGCTCATGCCTTGTCAGCGGTCCATCGGCCGCTTTCTCCTGCACCTGGCCTCGGGTGATAATCCCCACACCGCTGAAGGGGTACGGCCTCCTCGAACTCACTCGCCTTCCCCATCTGACGAGGAGAACAGCCAACGCACCAAAGACCGCTACCGATCCCACACACACACCAATCCCGATTCCCACTTTCGCGCCTGTTGACAGGGAGGACTCGCGTGGCTGCGATGCAGAAACCGATGTTGATGCTGAAGGCACAGAGGTCGCTGTCGTGGCAGAAGAAGAGCTCGAGGGAGATACCGTGCTAACAAAGGTAGACGCCGCCGACGACGTCGACGCCAAAAGCCCCACCGCCAGCGTCGGCGCAAGTATGATCGCCTCTGACGTCCCACAGCACGCAGTGTTATTCTGCCCGCAGCACCAGGTCCTCGACTCGGGGGAATTCTCACACGGCGTCAATGGGACAGTATGCCCCGGGTAGACCTAACCAATAGCCATTAGCCAATGTTGCTGTCATGGACCCTCAGAAGATAAATACCTCGCCCTGTGTGCAGACGTTCAAACACCCATTCGTCGACCAGTCCGCGCTGGTGCACAGAGTCCGCCAGTAGGTGTAAACCACCTGGCCTGTGCTCATCCTTTGCACGATGTTCTGGCACAGTCCGTTCTCCAGACAGATGTCTGCCGTGTAGCCTTTGGAGTCTGGTCCGCCCGGGGAATTGGGGCGGTCGAGTGCGCAGCACATGCCATTGACTCCTTGGACTCTGTTGCATGGTTGGTAGTTGTCGTCGGTGGTGCCGTTGGGGTAGTAGCAGGTTGAGGAGACGGGGGAGAGCGCTAGAGAGAAGAGGGAAAGGGAAAGTAATCTCTTGGATGGTCTCATGATGACGGGTGATGGTTTTGATGATGAAGGGCATAACCAGGATGATGGGAGCATTGACGGGTCCGTGGATTATCTATAAGGTGTTGTCTAGTCTGACAAGCTGAATCTTGTGACTGCGAGACTTGTGTGTAACCAGTTGGTCGCGGATCACCATAAACCGGACAAGTCCGTTGGTATGTACTCGACCTCGTAGTCAAAAACGCCGGATCTAAGAAGGTCTGAAGATTTTGTCTCCTACTTAGATGATCATAAAGTCGTTCCCGTTGTGAGTCGCAACATGAGATGTTGGTTGGTCGGGTTTCTGGTGTGCAAGGCTGACTTTGTAGTACCATGCTTCAGTATCAGCTGAATGTTGATGACCGGCCTTCCCGGTGTTCAGATGTCTCATAGCTAAGCTCATATCCAAGCCTCTTGAGTGATTGCTTATCCTTCCACACAATATATTCCCAAGTTCAACTGAAGTTATCATGAGTTACCAATCAAAAGACTCCTCCACGTATCGAACTGATCGAAATCCCCTCCGCATAGCCTGATGCACAGCCGCGCGGGCCTGATCAGCCATCCCCGATGGCCCGCACACCAACACCGCAACAGACGAACTACTAAGCCTCGCTTCTTCCGCATGAGCCGTAATTATCGCCTGTAAGTCGGGTCGTCCGCACCCAAATTCCACACCATCCATAACCTCATACGGAGACATAGACTCAGCCGTAACGTAAAACGAGACACGGAAGTCCTTCCTGCGAAGAGCCTGCTCCAACTCTCTCCCTGCAATGTCGCGCACGAGCGCTGGCTGCCGAGCGGTCCAGACGAGATGGATATCCTGCGTTGAGGTCTGGCCGGTCGAAGAGCGGATGATATGGTCCTGGATATAAGGGACCGCGGCGGCGATCCCAGTCCCGCCTGCGATTAGGAGAACGGATTCGTACTTCCAGAGCGGACATTTCTCGCCGTAGGGTCCTTCGAGGAGGATGTTTGGCTGGATTGTCCGAGTTGGTGATTTCAGGCATTGATCGCGGAGATGGCGAGTCCATCCGTCGTAAGGTCGGATCCAGAAATGCAATGCAAGTTTGCGCTCTGACAGGTCGGCTGAGGTGTCGACGGTGCCATAGTCTGAGCTAGAAGAGGAAGTCTCAGGAAGAAGAGGAACCTCCGAGACATCGATATGATTGCTTTTCAGACGGAGGGATGGAGTTGCAGGTACGCCATCATTATATGACCACGACCCCAGTGTGAACGGGTGACTTTCCCACCCCGTGAGCCGGAAGGGTTGGTAAAGAAAGTAGTATTGACCTGGAGCTGGCTGCAGCCCTGAACCGGGGATCAGCTCCAGTTGAATGATATCAGCAGCCTTGTCATACGTTGCGACGCATTCTGTACATTGGAGACGGCTGCGGGAACCGAGTCGGACGTGCAAGTTGCAGTAAACTATGCGAATCAGGCGCAAGACTCGATCAGATATCCAAATCACAACGGCCGGCCAGAGATAGAACCAATATTCATGATCTTCAAATATGATGACGTGACTACAGGCTGTTAGAGACGACCTCTCCGAGGAAGATGCACTCACTAGAAGCAACCGACAAGAGCGCCAACTGAGAAGAGAACATGAAAGACGAGAAAGGTCTCATACGTCCTTCGTCGAAACCAGTCCACCGCAAATGGGAAGACCAATATCATGGCGAGCATAGCCTGTCATGATCAGTCGCGCCGACCGATTTGAACTATCCGAAGAAATGGACTAGCTCACCAGTGTCCCCCATAAAAGATAGGGCTTTTGCATTTTCTTCCAGGCATTTCCCGCTGAAGAAACCATAAGCGATGGTACGCAAGTGGAGAGGACAACCCACCTTGAACGAACAAAACAATATACATAATTGTATGCACTATCGCCTGAAGAGTCGCTATCCAAGCCACATGGCGATGGAAAATGTTGAAAGTCGAATAGCTCCATCCAGTAGCCCAGAGAAATATGTTATTCCGGCCTGCGAACAACCATAAAAGAGGTATATTGGCAAAGGAGAGGATCCCGGTGCGATCTGCAACATACCGCAGGAGCTGTGCCGATATTTCGGGCCAGCTGCAGCCGTCAGCATGTGCAGATGAGCTTCACTCGCGGACTTACTAGATATTGTCCGAAAAGGTTCGATAACCGACGAGGCAGAGCACGGTACTCAGTATCCAGAAAACGAAGACAACGATTGCATGGATGCGTCCTGGAAATGTCCACCAAAGCAGCCGACGTCTGCTCGATGCGAGGGGAGAAGGAATGATCAGATTGGTGTGTATCCAGTCATATATCGACAGTATCGTAGTAAGAAAAGGTAGCGATCGCGCTCGCTTTGAACAAATCGTATGGAGAGCCAGTTTGTGCAGAGCTCCGATGGCGATCACAACGGTCCAATACGCATATCCCAGGTATCTAGTCCATCAGCCCTATTCCAAGGTTCCATCAAAATGACTTACCCAAATGCATAGTGGGACCAAAGCTCGAATTGCCAGGCATCCTGTTTTGGTAAGCATGTGATACCGTATCAAACACCCTGGATTCTCACAATTGTTCGGAACACACGACTGTAGTACGACTCGGAGACCAAAATAGGAGTGTTAACAGTTTCCTTCTTCGGCAGCTCTCGAAACTCAACCACCCGCATCCGACTAATCGCGTCGTCAGTCAGATTCGCGGCAAACTCCTCTCGAGGAATCAAGTTGACACCGGCGTATTCTCGACATTGGGCCTCAAGCAGTGCAAAACCTCTTTCTCTTTCTGCGTCTGAGCAATATACAGTGGAAGCGGCGTAGACCGATAGCACGCGTAGCCGATTCCGGCATCGTGGCGCCCACAGGCCTCTATTTGGGTGGCCTGAGAAGGAAATATAGTCGTATGCTGTGTATACAGCTGTTACACAGCGTTCATTTGGCGGAATGATCTGCGATAGAGCATTTTGCAGGTGTGATAAGATTATCAGGCAGCTGAAGAACAACATGGTTGGCCATGAGGAAGGACGGAAGGAGGGGAAGAAATGGAAGTTGGCGACAGTATTGGCATCAGGTCGGACCACGATCGGAAGTCAGAGGTGACCCACTCGAAGAGCTGAGATAGTGGTATCAGTTTGGAGAAATGGATCGCACAGCTTACCTAGAGTCCTTTAATAATATTACTGTCAAATATTATAGGAAGATATGGCGGGAGACATGGATGCACATCTGGATGAAGATATCCCCAAAATGATGAGATTTATCTAATCTGATCATCAGATCAGATAATGAGGTGACTCGATATGATTGGCGGACAGTTTCCAATTTTGCGTCAACTTCGGGGAGGATCGGATGGTGCCTTAGGTTCCCATTCTGAGTCGCGTCACGTGCCGTTGATACTTGGCATCTCCATAACTGCAGCTTTAGGGACATTCCTGCAAATACTATTGCAAAATTTTAGTTGTACGTCGAAAGGAAGGAGGCACATATTATTTCCTTCCTGTTAACGAGAGAGAATTAATACCAGAACGTTCTCTGCTCGAGTACTATCTATCTACTTTTTTGTCGAGACGGCGCGGCGCGGTGCGGCGCGCGACCAACACCAAACGCCTGAGCACACATCGTTTTTAACGTCTGGAATTCATTGCCGAATTCATTCCATTCATTCAGAGAAGAGCACTCTCTATTTTCTTACTTTTATTGGATGTTCCATCTATTTGCATTATTTATCACAGATGCCTATCTCCTGCATAGTGCAGTCAGCCTGAGGGGGAATCATGTTGTGCAGGTAACACAACTGGGTATTCTCGGCGAATGGATTCCAGGTCGAATACGAGGCTCTATCCATAGGCATTTAATGGAGTGGACAAGCCAAGAAATAGGCGTCAGGCTAAAAAAGACTAATCCCGCAGTCTGTCAATGATTCCCTTTCAGAAGTCTTTGACATTTCGTCTTTCTGGTTCTGTACCACATACGGCAGTACGGACTACGGAGTAATGCCATGGTTCCCGCCAGCCGGACAGTCAACGCAGGATGGCTGGCGCTTCGACATCGTCAGCCTTCTCGCCGTCATTGGTGAATCGACGCTTGAGCGACACGTTCAGGTCATCACCGCCTCTCAGTACGCCTGGCTCCCGCGCCTCCTCCCAGCCCCGCAGACCGTGCTCAAGACCGAGCGACCGCCTCGACTCCCCTCCATCAAAGACGTCGTTATCACAGGCGTCTATTCCGGACTGCACCTGACAGAACTGAATTTCTTCGCCGATGTGATCCACGATGTCGCCACGCTGCAGCAGTACGAATTCCGCGTGTACGACATCCACTACGCACACAAGGAGTCAAAGGAGGCGGAGGAGCTGCGGTCCCGACCGCGAGTCTTGATCGATGGAGTCGCAGAACCGGTCTACATCCCCGTGAAGAGATTCTGCGCTCTCAACGTCGTAAACTGGATCTCGGTGGTCATGACCATCGGCCTCTTCGTCTGGGCTGGTCTCATCCACGATGGGCTCGCAATGATCGCGCTCGTTACCATGTCGCTGTCGACCAGTCTGGCCTGTCTTTCCTCGGAATGGTACCCCGTCCTTTCGCACCGGCCCACTGACGCCAAGGTTCCGCGAGGTGATATCGTGATCGCGACGCGCCACGGGGCGTTTGTGGTAGTCCGGTGCGACGAGGAGATCACGCGGGAGCTGTACGGGGGCACGGAGACGTGCCGGTATGTGTTTGGCGATACATGGCATCGGGTGCTGTTGGGGACCAGCACGGTCCTCCTCATGGCCTCTGTGATTCTGTTCAACAACTGTGGCTGGACGATGCAGGCGGCGATCGGTGTCGCGTATATCATTCTGAATATCTTGTACTGGGCGGTGCCGTTGATGATGCACCGCAAATCAACGTGGGATATGAGCCGGTATGACATCAAGAGGGCTGCACCCAAGGCGCGACCGACGAAGCGAATGCCAAGTTATACGGAGACGCTGTGGTATGCCATCCGTGAGACTGGACGGATAGAGTGGGTTCAAAATAGCAAGCTTGCCCCGTCGACAGATGCATGGCGAAAATGGCTGCAGGAGGCTCTGAGCAACTGTTACGACGGGTCCACGTGGGATCCGATCGATGCCAAAGATCGCTTCATGCGGGAGGCCGCAGAGAGTGTACCGCCGGCGACAAAATCAGGATGACACTATGAGTACGATTTCATGATCATCGTATTGTTTTTCGTATTGTTTTCTACCGGATACATCATAGCCCATGTTCCTCTGCATGCCGTAATCGTGAGTTCTCGTAATCGTATAGTGTCATCAAGTCATAAGCGTGGATCAATAGCATCACTGGAGGCCATCCAAGGCAGCCTGACGGTATCCAGGATAGACGGGTCGTCACCGAATCTGTCGCTTTTGATCACATCCTGGACAAACGACAGGTCGCGTTCTTGAATTCCATCTGCACCAGGCCGTGGACCGTCGAACACACGCGCCAAAAACCGCAGAAATGCGGACAACGCAGCAACAATGCAACTATGCTCTTTGTTGTGGGCACTGCGCATAACCTCGGCCAGCAGACCTGGAGCGTAGTATGGGACAATCGCCACCCCGTCGCTGATGCCATCTACACTGAGCCCGTCAACCAGTCGGCGTCGGGTAGATTCTGGTAAAATCTGAAAAGCCGTCTGGAACATCTCAGCCGACTCTAGACTATCGCCTCGGCCCATGCAGAGCAGCCGGAGTAGCGCTCGGTCCTCAGCATTGTCAATAGAAAGCAAAGGAAATCCCTTCTCGTGAAGAAGTTCCGCCCGGTCCATCAGAATCCGGTCGTAGCATGCCCGCTCAGTCGGAATATTTCCTCCAATAAACTTTCCAACCACTTCAATAGTGCGCAGATAAGCCCGGCAGACCGACTCTGTCATCATTGCACATCCCCTCGCATCGCGATGGGCACCTGCGCCAGCGACATCGAGCAGCGTCACCATCGCTCGCATCTCGTAGCCGCCTTCACTCTCACCTATCGACCGTAGCACAGAGAGACTCTCTGGCACGCACTCACCCTGCACCAACTGCGAGAGGTTAAGCTTGCTTCCGATCTGCAGGCTCTGCATGATCGCTTCCCTGGCACGGTGGGGAATCCCCCAAGCGCCGGGATGCGATCTGCTCGCGCCGCATGATAGACTACCTCGGAATGATTCGCTTCAGCTTCGGCCTCGTCATTCGTAGCTAGAGTAGAGTCTTTGCCGATATCGTCGATGACGATAGCTACCAGCAACGAGTAGATGTCTTCTGGGTTCTGCAGATTCCGGGTGATCAACTCCCGCATGTGCTTGAACGTCTCCGGTGTTATTTCTCCTTCTGATTGACCGCGCGTGAAAGACTTGTAGTCGTCCGCTAAGATCCACTTGAGCGCCAGCATGCTGATCAGGGTGCGGTTGACCTCTGCGAATTCCGCGCCGTAGATCAGCGCGGATGGTGTTTTCCCATCCAAGCAGCCGGGAGGCGTTCTGGTGCCGGATTCAACTGTAGCACTAGCATTTCGGAGATGAGAGAGTTCTGTTGGGAATGAAGATGCGAAAAGATGAATGCCCTCGGTGTCTGAGAGAGTTAAGAATTCCTCCCGCGCGATGACGTCCCGTAGCGTCGTCATTTGTGGCCGAGAAGTAGATTGAGGGCAGCAGAAGAATTGGAGGATTGATGAGACAAACGCTTTTATTCTTCCTAGCATTTCTGAATATTGCAACCGAATAGATCGGATCGTGACGTTTTAAGCAAGAGCTGACCGTACCAAAGAATGCCTCGGGCTGCACAGCCGCACTGCCTGATCACCAGCCACTCTGGGTCTGAGCCTCTCGAAAATGTCGACTTCGTATTTCATGGGCGCTTAGCTTTTGGATCTCAGCCTCCTTTTCATTCACAGTCGGTGAGAATTCATGTTGAGAATATTATGAGGAGACGCTCTGTTGGGTTGTTTGGGCAGCGAAAGCCAATGGATGTGGGGAGAAACTTTTTTTTGGCGGGCGACCTGCTACCAATATAGTACTTGTTCACCGTCGCTGGGTTGTCTGCCTTCTCATTTTCTTGACTGTCGTATCCTGCGAGGCTGACTCAGTAGTTTCAATGACTCCAGTAGTTATCAGTTCTTTACAAATGCCATCTAATTTTTTCTGTAATGCGCCGAACGCGTTGCATAGCAGGCCATAGAATGGCCACTGAGTTAACAGAATGCCCAAATCCTGCATTCTAGTTGCTTATAAGAGTCAGTAAGAGAAGTGAATATTTGTGACATCATTTTTGCAGACAGTTCTCAGAGGACTGTTTACCAAATCAGATTACTGAATGATTTTTTGTTGTCCTTTTCAGTGAATAGCACCTGAGGTAGTGTTGTTTGTAGCATTGTAGATTTTCGTACTTGAGTTTCCTCCTGTAAACAACACCTCCATCACGTTCTACCCTCACATATCACGAGCAACTGTTCTCTTCATTTCCCTCAAAATGGCCGACTACATCGAATTCGGCGGAGTCCATGTGGATTTCAACACCAATATTATCATGATTGCTATGTTCCTCTGTGTTTTGGCGAAGATCATTTTGAGCTCCCCGCTGCTAGCCCAGCTCGTCCGCAATAGATATGGGTTAGTTTCTAATGCTAAATATTTCGACTGCATCTAAGGACAAGGATAGTCACTAACTCATGCTCATTATAGCGAAACCTGCGTTTGCCCCGTCGTCAACCACTTCCACTACAACTACGACCACCACCATGACCATGACCACGACCATGGCCACAACCACAACCACAACCACAACCACGACCAGGACCATGACCACCACCTCCGCCACAGGGAGGTCAGGCGCTAAGGGCCTGGGGCCAGCTTCCAAAAGGCCAAATTTCTGTACTGTTAGATGAATAGGAAATCAGAATAATCAATCAGATGATTTCAGACAAAATATGATCCCGTATCTTAGTATGATGCCAAGCCTGCATCTCAGTCGCTCTTTAGCGTCAGTGTCAAAGCAAATTGCAAAGATAGTTATCTCTCTGATACTACAGCTACCTATCCAGGCAGCTCTTCATGTGGAAAAAGGTGTACATACTATTAGCAGATTTAGGATTGTGCCCCTGCTTGTTGCCGTGATCCTGTGAATGGTAACAGGCCCTAGACTTCGAGTTTCCTGCCAGTATGGAAGCGTCCACCTTGGATCCTTAATATAGTGAACGTAGAGATATCCATGACATCACTATTCTAGTGGACTAGCTAGCAAAGTCGGCAAGGGAATGAATTTTTGTTACTTCTTTTTTTCAGTGAATATGTAGTGTGGTTCGCGGAAAACTGCTCATAGCATTATAGATTATCATACTTAGTTTTCCTTGTGTAAACAACCGCAATCACCCCACCCCAAGTCACATTATCACATTCAAGTCAAACTGGTCCTATCATACTCTCTAAAGTCCTCTTCAATATCTGCCAATCTATTCAAAATGACTACCTCCCCAGACGTCTGGCTTGTATTTGACGCCACCATCTTTGCACTTCGTCTATGCGGCTGTGTTCTACTCCACGCTGTCACGAGATCACCACTTCTCATGGAGATTATCCGACATAAGCGCCTGTAAGTGATACTGAGGACTTTGGCTGTCTACCAAACAAGGACAACGACTAAATCATGCCTATTATAGTGGTCGTTTGCGGATCTGCCCCGTTGCGGTGGCCGCACCAACTCCCACGAGGGACATGATGCCAACGATGGGGAGGACAAGCGGGAATAAGCCTTCAATGGCATACTGTACCTTAGACTAGGCCTTCCGTAAAATATATGATGCAGGCACTTCTGTCTTGTTCATGTCATGTAGCGTATGTCATGTAGCGTCTCATAAGGTAGAGTAACGAGAACGCGATAACAGTCCAATCAGATGATTAGAGGGAGACTTGAGTCGATAATCTACAATACTAAGGTATGAGCAATCCCCTAAACCAGGTACATACTGAATGAGATGGAAGTGAAGGATGGTTCGCTCATTGCCTTGTTGGAATATGAGAGCAGAAAGTACCACATCATTAACTTATTTGTCGTTGACAATATACAACGTATACCTGCCTGTTATTCGTGAATTATCCAGTTGTCGCCAGAGCCATCCGATTTTGGTTGACCTGCATTCGATATCCATATTATATCAGTATTGGATATCTACTGGTTGCTGGCATAGTCCTGTCATAGTTTTGGTACGAAAATACTCCTCGACAACGACAGTAGCCACAGAGAAACTGAAATCTAAAAATAGTTGCAGAACAAAAAAACCACAAAAACACGCCCGACATTTCAGTTTTCACCTAGAGCTACCTATTTTGGTTCCGATCAATGGCTTGCTGTATGAGAGGGAAGCGAAAGACGTCATGATTTGTCGAGGATCACACGCAACATATACATACTTCATATACCTTCCTCCAGATCACTCAATCAGCCAAGTCATCTACTAATCTTTCTTGTTGAGTATCAAGTTAATCTACAACCTTATCCCCTTTTTCAACACCTTTCTTCCTCGGTTCTGCCGACAGAGGTCTCCAATCACTCCCAACTGGGACGACCTCATCCGACTCGTGGCATTCATATTAAAATCACCATGGACACTGTCACCATAATGTTGGCTGTTATGTTGGTATCCGCGGCAGTCTTAGTAATATACATCATCATCGATGCACCAAGGTATGTAGAAGTCCACAAAGAAGTCCATTGAATATGGATGACCGGGATAACAAGTACCTCCTTTTTGTAGGTACAATGCCGCCGCTGAGGCGGGACGCAAGCCAGATCCAAATGCCTCCAAGGCCTACAGCGAAGTCCCAAGTCCGCCGGCAGTGACAGATCCCCGTATAGTTTACTACTACTACTATTACTACTCCTACTACTACGACCATCACAATCCGACTAACGGCCAGCCCGATAGCGAAGCCCCAAAGCCTCCACCCGTGACAGATCCCCGTATAGTTGACTTCTACTACAACTGCTACTGCCACTACTACGACTACTACAATCCAACTAACGGCCAGCGCGATAGCGAAGCCCCAAAGCCTCCACCCGTGACAGATCCATCTATAGTTTACTACTACCACTATTACCACTCCTACTACTTTCGCTACCACGAGGAAAATGGCACCAGTCGTTCGAGGCATCCCAGGCATAAAAAGAAGAGGCATGCGTTTTCCAGTCGTATCACGAGCCCGGTGCGCCCTGCAGCTTCTCGCTTAACAGCTGCAGTATCCTCGCATGCCTCAGCGCGAGGAACGCAGCAAATGAACATAAGGTCGTCCCAGGGCCTCTCTCTTGAAATCGGTCTACATGACGAGTTGGGCATCGAGGATACCTCGGCCGATCAACCGGGCCAGCCTGCATCGTCGGTCTCGGCCCAAGACTGTGACATTCGGGGAGACACGAGTCGTTCTGATTTAAATCACAGAATAGACAATCTCACACTACATTATGGTGTGACACGAGTTTGAATTATTATCCTATGGCTAGCTACGTTGCTCCCATGGTTGTCTATCATCGCTTACATACGTTACCTGTCAATGTTTTCAGCTTCCTCTTTCAGTCGTCGAAGCAAATACTGGTTACTTCCTCTTCGATCCGGAATGTAGCGCCGTTCTGCTAGGATCGCTCTTGCAATTACATTCTAATATGTTTCCATGTTTGTCTATTATGTTCAAAATGCTGCTGAATAGGACAATGACGAGCTCATACAAGCAATTATCTCCATTTGGAGTATGGCACTTCGTAGGCGTACAATTCCGAACCTAATAGAAATGCGGTTTTCTTTTCCTGAGGAGTAACTAGTTCAATTTAGTAGACAGTTCCCTCAAGGAATGAGTCTAGATCCGCCGTCATCGACTACGAATATCCTTCCAGGTAAATAAATGTCCAATTCAGAGGTGATCAGGTCTTCCAAGAGTCCAATGGGCTTGCCATGATATATAGACAGTTTAGTGTGCACCACTATCAAGGGAAGCATTGTCTTCTAACGAACGGAGGGTTATCTCAGTGACATTCAGATAACAAGCTATGATCTCCAAGGCATCCTGCAGCTTTGTTCCGGTGCCTGATGCGGTGGACAAGAAGTGGAGAAAGCCTACAAGGTATGGCGCCACAAGATTTCATTCTGCTACGTACATGGCAACACAGGTCTGTGCGATTAGCGCACCCTCCCGCCCATCCGGCCTATGTGCCTGGCGCCGAAGCGCGAAAAACAAAAGAAAACCAAGAAGAACGTTACTGGCGCTCGGCCGTGGGCAGAAGCTCTCCCTTCTTGCCGTCCAACCGTCAACGGGCGCCGAATCGCGGCGGCAAGGGCTGCGGCCACTTCGGTGGCGTAGGGTTGTTGCCTGGGTAACGTGCAGACCTGAGGCCTCTGCAACGAACCCACTGCCACTCCCCGTGCTCGACTTGCTGCTTGTTGAGCCCCTTTTGTCGGGGCCGGGTTCATGGCCTCTTTGCCCCCGGCCCGGCCTCTGGTGCCATGCGTAGCGTGGGGGTGGTGTCAGCGGTGGTATGGGCGGTGGCGGCCGGGTTGTTGGCAAAGCCATCACAATTGCAAGGCTTGACGCCATAGTAGTTGTTGTTGTTGTTTGTAACGGGCCACTGTAGTACACATGAGTTAGTTACTGTCCTTGTTCTTCTTATGACACCGTCAAGGTGATCAGTATATGAACTTACCCGCACCCTAAATGCCTGGACGTCCTCGCCATCATCCCCGTGTTCAGGTAGTCCCGTCCCCGGGATACCGTCACATCTCTGACTAGGGCCTCCGAAGGACAGATTGTCTTTCTCCCATGGGTGGTTGCAGAGAGGACAAGAAACCAGGAGAAGCGTCGGACCTAAACTTGCAGCCATTAAAGTTGTCAGCCTATGCTTTCACGTTTAGTTTAGAGGGATAGCTCACCTGACACCTGGGAGACTCCACTTAAGCACAGGGTGCTGCCAATCCCTGACAAAGGGTTTCAGTCCGTTCAAGACCTCCCAGCAGCCTTGCAAACGAACCAGGCTGCGAAGAGCACTGGGATAATCTAAACATACCTGAACTCTACTAGCCCCGGCATGTTTAAAAATAAAAATAAGAAATTGATTGTAAAAGTATAGGAAAAGTGAGTGTTGAGGTTAGGTACAGGTAAGTGAATAAAGGCAATAAGAACAGTTTTCAAAGACCGGAGGGAACAGGCTAGAAGCTCAGGGGGAAGACCCCTTTATATTTTCTTAAGAAAGTAAACTGAAATCACGAAACTAGTGAATAAATAGAACAGTTTATTAGTCAAAGGCTTAATGGTGAATGAAGGAGAGGGGAATAGTGAAGTAAGAAGTTGAGGAAAAGGGCCCTTCGAGGGCGATGCCGGCCACCCAGTACGGACAGAGGAGTGCTCGCCTTCCCTTCCGGGAAGTATGACATGCCTTAGGCCGGGGCAGGCGCTGCTAGTAGTCCATGACGTATCAGTAGAGCAAGGCATAAATGGAAAGATCTATCTTGCATTTCTACATTCACTGAGTTTTGCTATTCCCATGGGGAGTGAGTTAAAATGTCATCAGGTCGATTGTACTTTCCTACCTCCTCGGTGAGCACCTACGTATGTTCCAAGTTGCCGTCACTACATCATGTAATTCATAAATCCCAAGTAAATGCAAAGGTAGTCAGGCCACTATCCAAATTAAACGTATATATTCAAGAACCCACGAATCATAGTATACATCACCATCAGTGACCGTGTCATGAAATCATCAGACGAGAACAGAGTCGGATCGTTGGCTCAAAAATGCGAAAGACACAGTCACCTCCTTTTACCAGAGATATACCCAAGTGACAATTAAGCCTCGTCGGTGATCTTCTCAATGACATGTCCATCGGGCTGGACAACAACCTTGTCGACCTGGAGCGAGGCCTTGACGGGTTTGGGCTGCTGGTAAACCCACTCGAGTTCCTCGAGCGTACGACCCTGGGATTCAACACTATACCAGTCAGAATAGTTTCACTGGAAACGGAAAAAAGGACATACCCAAACATATACCAGCAGACAGACTCGAACAAGTCCCAGCCGACGAAAATCCAAAAGTAGTGGGTGGAGATATTCTGCAGACCGATCGGGCTGGCGTACTGGCTGACGAAACTGATGCAGCTGACCATGAAACCGGACAGGGCGAGACCCTTGGCACGGGTGGTGGTTTCGAGGGCTTCAGCAGGAATAACACCCTGCAGGGGGTATAGGTGAAGGAGAAGACGAAGTTGAAGAGGTAGTAGAAGGCGACGGCGGTTTGGCCGTAGGTTTGGTTGATGTTGCCGGTGGCGGTCTGCTTGATCAGGGGCTCGGAGACACCGGCGTTGACGGCCATGGTGATGGCACAAGCTAAAGAGTCAGTGGCGATTCAGGAGTTCAATGGGACAAGAACGTACCGAAAGTACCCCAGACCAAAACCTTCCGGCGGGGCATGCGATCGGTAAGGGCGACGGCGGTCAGAGCCCCGATGGCGGAAACGATGGAGTTGATCAAGTTCATGAGCAGCTGCATGGAGCTGGAAGTGTAGCCCAGGGTGTTGTAGATAGTGGCGTTGAAGTAACCCAGACCGTTACCAGACCACTGGCCGAAGACGGAGATCATCATGACCTGGAGGAAACGCCAGCGGCCGCTGTGGGTGAAGAAGAATGGGCGGTCTAGCCGATCAATCAGTTCCTGCAATGAAGGTTTGTCGGATTGGAAGTACTTACAATCCCACCATCTCTTGTCGATACCATCCAAACGAATACCCTCTCGCATTTCCTCGACCTCCAGGAGGACTAGGCGGGCATTACGGTTGCCATTACCGTGGTACTTGGTGAGGAAAGCGATGGCCTTCTCCTCCTGGCCGTGGGCTATCTGCCAACGGGGCGATTCGGGAATGAACCAGATGGAACAGACGACAATAATACAGGCAAAGCACTGCAAGATGAAAGGAATACGCCACGAGAAGTCGTTGTCGATGTTGTTGCAGCCGTAGGTGACGGCTGCAGCGGGGATGGAGCCACCGAACCAGCCGCAGTTGTAGAAACCTACTCAGTTAAGCAATTGCTAGCATTTCTGCAGGTTGTGAGGTGACTCACCGACGGCACGTCCACGCCAGTGGGGAGGAGAAATCTCAACAGCGTAAGCGGGGGCAGACACGACCATCACTTGGATACCAAAACCAAGAACCACGCGGCCGACGTAGAACTGGGGAAGATGGTTCGCAGTCGAGATAATGATGGAACCGGCGATAATGATCCAGGCGCCTACGAACATACACTTGCGACGACCGAGCCTGTCGGAAATAACGGCACTAAAGGGGGTCGCGGCGATGGAACCACTGCAAATAGAATACATGAGATGGAGCCTCGCAAACATCGTGTTCGCAAGAAGACTTACATAGTATAGAGGGAGGTCACTAGGGAGACCTTGGAGCCGACCAAACCGGTGTGGAAGGTATTCTGATAGTGTTTCATGGCGAGAATGGCTCCCATGAGCGAACCTATCCTTGAATTAGGGTCGTGTCCATGACAAAAGTTCCAAATCACACACCATCATAACCGTTGGCACAAGCACAGCAGAAGGCGACGAAGATGCAGACTAGCCGTTGTCAGCCTTGTATCAATATCAGCGGCAATGTATTCCACACGCACAGTACAAGTGGATCGACTCTTTGCTCCATCTGGGGATAGGAGTGTCGTTGATGGCGGCATACAACTCAGCCTATTCGACTCTCTCGTCAACACTGTAGTTCAAGATGGCGTTGATGGACGACTGCTGAGAGGTAACTAACATTGTAAACTTTCCTCATCTTCGCACCCTCGAGCTTGGTTGCCTCGCCATGACCAACAGGCACGGCAGGCTTGGCGTCGGTATCGGAGCTGCGCGAGCCATGCTCTACCGAGATGCCGTGCTTCTCATCGGTCGACGACATGTTGTCGGTGGTTATCCTCTGAGAATGGGAACAAGTCGACCAGATTGCTGATTCGGATGGAGGGATCAATAGGGAGACGAAAAAGGATCCGTGAATGACAAGGACGGGTGGGACAGCATGAGGTTCTTATAATCCTCCTGGTTTTACCTTTTCGACCGGGGGTGTCACGCACATTGACCAGGCCGATGCTTTGTTACCGACGCTGTGGTTGGCACGAGGGATGGAACACACGTTGGTTCTGTTGTCTAAAACGAGAGATAGAGACTTTGGAAAGCCATGAGAAAGCGAGGCAAACCTGGCCGAAATCTGGAGACTAGTCGTTTCTGTTCGGGAGACACGCCCGCCTTCCCGTCTTCACTGCGTGTCAAACTGGGGATGACCCCAGACTTCCGGAGCCCAACGTTGGAAATGGAGTTTAGCTGGTGGGGAAGGGGGAAGGGCCCCTATCCACAAGCGGTAAGGAGTGGATGGCATTGAAAGTCAATCGTGCCACTCCTTCAGCAGAGTTTGGGGATTGTCATAGTTTCACAGTCTCAGAATCGGTCTAGGCTAGCCGAAGTCCGCAGCAAATGAGGGCTGCAAGGGGAAAGGGGGCCGCTAGACTGAATAGGTCAAGGCTCGATGCGGAATTCGCTCCGTGTCGCATTCTACAAAGATGAAATAACAGCATCTGATTGGTTCATCAGGAGCATCTTGCCACTAAGCCAAGGCTGAGATCTGGTTGCACCAATCAGAATGGTGGGCCGTAAAACCACGCGAGTAACACTATTTTGGCCCTTGGGAACGATGACAAGCACGAGATCAGCTAGCAGGTGAAGCATGGCTGGACCCATTCCCAACATAGTACCATGATACCCTCTGTATACACTGTCAAGTCTCCAAGGTACACTCGGCTGGGTGAAAAAGCATCCAAGCCGGATTCAGATTTTGGCCCTCCCTGACTAAAGCACGGGCCCCCTGGCTGCAGCTCCTTCATTTCAAGAGGAAGGGAAAAAGGATGAAATGGCTGTGAACCACAATATGCCACCAATAGCAACCATACCAGCTGTTGCTGCTGTTATTCCTCATTCGGTCAGCTGCGTCTTTCTCCGCTCCCCAAACGGATAGGCTCCGGAGCCAAGGCACTCTCGCAGTAACGGCCCCCCTTGGCACGACTTCTCGCTTAGCAGAGACAGCTGCGGATCATCTAACTCTCAGGATTTATGGGGTAGACTAGCTTTTGGTCAAGAGTAGTTTGCCAGATCCTTGACAGAAAGAATGATGGATACCTCGGAATCAGCCTCTACCCGACGCTTAACCTATCCCGAGTCTGAGTTTTGACGTTATCCTGCGGTAAGAGTGGAGCTACCCATCAGAAATTATCGATCAAGGAAATACCAGTAATCTACAACAGACCAGCTTGATCGTTATCAAGCTCTACTGGGTCCACCACGCATATGACTTGCGAAATCGTTCTAATATTCTCCCCACTCTGAAATAGGAATGGCACGTTATATAGAAGACCATATGGAGAATTGATCATGATGAAGACTCCACTGACGGTCAACTGATTCGCGCCTTGCAGCTAGCCGAGGCCGTCAGCACTGGCGCAACAGCAAGTCCAACTCATCAGATGGTAATCTCTTCAAATCAATTACATACTGCATACGATGAGATTACGGATTTGCACTTCACAAGATTCTCTTGGTCTTAGAAGACTGGAAAATGAAGGGATCTTGCTGGCACAACTGAACTCCTTTGCCCGAAAACAGTAGTAACTGCCGACAAATAATCTTCAGTCTCGTCTCTTAGCGGTCATCTCGCTTATCCAAGGCCAAAAATCTATCCATTGACCGTCAGGCTAGCTTCGTTGACTGCCCAACACTGTGTCATTCGGCCGTAGTCGATTGACCTCTAAGCGCCGAAAATGCGCGAGTAAGCCTCGTCGAGGTCAATGTGACAGGATACAGTCGACATCTTGACTGGTGAACAGCCATGCCAAGTTTCCAATTGCCACATCCAGCAAACAGGGTTCGTCGGTAGAGAGGAGAGTGTGGTCAACTTCTACAAGGCCAACGAATGGGAGAATTTCTCTGACTTACGACCAGCACTCTCATCGAAGCACCAAACGGCGACTGAATATCAATCCAATAGCATATGCACTGTAATCTTACCTGTGCAGGATTCCGACTAACCGTTCATTAGCGAGATCCCCAACACAGCATGAGAGCAAGCATCAATTGGTCCTAGCTCCGGTAAGTCGGCCCGTCCGTTTCCAGTTTGGTTGCAGATGCCGAAATGAATTCATTTAACGTACACTCTGTCTACAATGTTTCTGGCACCGACAGCGTGGATCATCTACTTTCCTTGAGATTTGGACGGGGAGCTTGAGCTCAGCTCCTGTACGTACAGGTCCGGGTGCATGCATCGTAGGCGCATCTCAGTCGATCGGCCAATTTGGGATGCAGTTTCCGTTTCTGATTCGGGTTGGCGGGCACATACTGCCTAATCCTGCACCCGACTGGCTCAATCATGGCAGCTAGTTTGCGCACGACAGCCATCTATCATATTGTCCATGGGTATTCCGCCATGTGCTTCCCATGGACTTCCCTCGGAGCTATGAACTCGTTCGTGCATCTCTAAACCAACCGCTTCGGTCCATGCGGGGTAATCAGGCTCCTGTCTAAGGAGTACTCCTTGCTTCTCAATCTGGAGGGGATGAAATTTTGATGCTGTCCTTCCAAGAATGGATCCCGGTGAGGATCTCTGTGTTGATTAACCGGGGCAGTTGAGCTGAAGCGGCGAGTTCAATGCCACGAACCCCTTTCTCCTTACAGGGTATTTCCCACTGACCTTTCTTCACTTCCGTTAGGTACTTTCAACGACATCAGACGCCTCCTCTCTCGGCTTCCCGTTCCGTACTCGCCGACCCCTATCCCCCATACTATCTCCAGTCATCAAGATATCCAGACATCACCTCCAGGACGAGCTATCCCCTCTTCCACAATCTGGCTGGCCATCCCAGAAGCAACACCATCTCCCGCTGAACTTGCCACCGCTTGTATGAAGGTAAGGTACAATGGGGTGCATCTTTCCCGCTTGCTGCTCTTGGAAATGTGTGCCATGGCGTCCACGACGATAAATTTCTGGGAAGCGTAAACCATAGCATGCATGGCTACCAGGTAACGCTGTAGTTGTTCCAGTGTAAGTCGCGGTGGGATGACGATAGACGAGATACTGGTGTCGTAGACGCCGATACTAGAGCATAATGGAACCGAGATCCAAGTGAGAGCGCATTCGCGGAGGATCCAATGCTCCGAGGTTCGGCACGCGCAGCACATCTGTAAATCGCTGACGGGTGCTCAAGTAAGTAGGAACGGTTTTCACTGAGGACTGTTGCTAAGATCTATCATGATGATCATCCTGTTGATTTCCCGGCCCTAGGCCTTTTATCCCGACCGGCTTAATGAAACCCACCGCCGGCCGTGCTGTTGTGAATCGTGTATTGCAATTGAAAAGCCAGTCCTACAGGCGTGGCTGGACTTGGATTTCCTGTAGTTCATGGCTCGGTACTACTATCTGCGTGCTTTGAGAAAGAATGCATCTAACAGACGTCAATAAAGGCAGTGCTGCAATGGTTGATAGGAGGCTGTCGGTCTTGTTCTCCTTGTGATCCATTCTCCTACTTGCTGAAGGCTTACGTTGGCAGAGCTAGAGCAAATAAATGTACATAGTTTACCAAAGATAGACTTGCATGGTCCGCTGCATGGGAATCAATCTTCGCCATCAACCATTTTTTAACTACACCGCAGCTATGTAGGAGATTACGGGATGGTTGAAATATATTTTTCGCACAACAGACTACATAATAAGTGACTTGTCATATACGACTGCATACTTGCTAATCGTCATTTTCTCCTCGTCATACGGTAGATGATATGAGGACAAGCTCCGTTATCCCTGGGAGATAGGTACAGTTGTCCAACCTTTATACTCTTGACAAGATCGCAGAGGTATGCAGTGGGATAGACAGAGAAGGATATCAGGACCGTCATTTGGCTATACGTTCTTCGCAGTTCGCAACAATGAAGAAATCCACGAGTTAAAATATGGAGGAGAACCAAAATCTATATACGTAACATCGGGAGTATCACATACCCAAAACATGACCAGAAAGCGCCACCCTCGAGAAAATGAACAAGGTGCAGTTTATGAGCTCTTACCCATCTTAACCATATACGTGACTGAAGAGAGAGCAAACTTTATCAGCTCAGGCACTTTAACCGGAGGATCTTGCGTCCTGATCCAGTCAGCTACGTCGTTAGAGAGGCACAGTGTAAGAAAAGAGACTCACTTGATGACCGGCCATCCATCCTTGTACTCGAGATAATGCCAGCCCAGCTGGGTATCCTTTAAATATATTAGCTAGCCCACGCATCAAGAACGATGTACTTACACTGTCTTTGAATCCTATAGACCCGTTGACTAGCGGACAGTCAGCAACTGAGCCTCATCACGATATGGTGAAACTCACAGAAGTGATGATAGAGGATATCGCCTCGCTTGCCATTGCCAGGTAACACTCCCACACCACCCGGCGCGTAAACATTGCCATTATTCGACCCGTAAACCGTCTCTCCATGCCCCTCGAGAAGTTTCTTGCCCGATTTATCCACAAATGGGCCGGTTATGCTCTTCGACCGACCGACTCGGATACGATATCTAAGGTCGTCAGTACTGCTGTAGTAAGTAAAAATAGAAAGTGACTTACTCCTCCCCTTTGAGCGGAAACCCATTATTAACCATCTGGCAACAGATCCCTTGACTGAACCAGAGATAATAGTACGGCTCGTGGTACGACATGTACGCTCCCTCTTGCGGTCTCCAGTTCCCAGGCGCATAGCTCAAGTGCGTTGCATCCGGTTTATTCGCATTCTTGACAGACAGCTTGCCGTCCTTGTCTACCTCCAACGGCAGACTATAGATATCATCCCAGTAACTCCCGTAGATGAGATACGGCTGTCCGCTCTTCTGATCAACCTGAAACGCAGGGTCAATGGCATTCGTATTCTTGTACGGCGCGATCTGGGAACGTTCTCCGGAGCCGGTGTTGACCAGTGCGCCGTGGTCCATCCACTCCTTTTCAAGGTCGGAGGTAGACGCATACCCAATGGCACTATCCTGGCTGCCGCTTTGGCTGATGGCGTAGAAGCAGTAGAATCTCCCTTTGTATTTTGTGACGGTTGGAGCCCAGGGCCGATTGTTGTTCTTTTTGTTGATCACGCTGGCTTTGCTCAATACAGTACCGACTTTTGTCCATGGCCCTGAGATGCTAGACGCTTTCCAGTAGGGGATGTGGATGCCGCCTTTGAATAGGTAGAGGGTGTCTTTTTCCTCGATGATGTTGGGGTCGTGGACTTGTAGGTTGCCACCGTTTGGCAGGGGGAAGTCGTTGGAGAAAGTAAAGATCTTGGCAAGGTCATCGGCGGATGGTTTGAGGATGCGTTGGCTGTGTCGTGGGAGGACGGCCGCGAGGGACCGAGAGAGCAAGCTTAGAGATAGAAGTAGTTGTAGAAGAATCATGATGATTGTACAAAAGAATGGTCGCTGTGTTCGCAATTGCTGCTGTATTCCCAGCCAAGGACTGTATTTATATACTATTCTATATCATATTGCTTCATATGAAGCCGTGATCCCCAAATCAAGGCTGATTCTACTGCCATGGGGGCTCATTTGTTGGTACTTGATGTCCAACACCAACAAACGTTGGTCACGATATAGATCATTCGCCGATCCATGCCAAGCTCACAGCCCCTCTGTTGATCGTTAGATTGCCGAGCCATTCTCTCCACTTTCCAAGAACATCATCGCTAACAGTTACTGTTTGATATGAGCCAAATGATAGCCGCATCAGGGTCCAAGCCTGACTGTCGCAGCCTTGTTGGCCCCCAACAATAACCCTAGCGTCGCCCGCAACGAACTTGAAACCGTAGTAATAAATGTCTTTTGGGCTATGTAGCGTCCTATAAATAGCATACTTGCATCTGTCAATTAAAGTCACTCTGAGGTACACGCTGAATGGTAGAAGCCACCTGAGATTGTCTGGCAGGCAGAGGCAGCATGTTTACGGCACAGAAATATCAATACAACTTGTGCCAATATGCGAGCGACAGAAAAAAATGATAAAGATAAACTCACAGTTTCCTATATTTCAGAATGTATGAAAAAGAATCCAAACTGGGATATTTTGAAGTTTTCTATAAGTCAAGTTATGACCTTTGGCCCCAAAACCGCGCCGTCGGGTACGCTGTACGACATAGGCCGTTGAGAAAAGGGATCATAAGTCGGCAAGTCTCTCGATTTGATCAGCTCAAAAAGACTTTGCTCTTCCTGCGAGAATATTTTGCTCGCATTCCTGACAACGTTCGTGCAACAGAGTGTTGGAAAATCTCGGATGCAGAGGATAGTAGGGACAAGTTTAATGATGCTTTTCAGGACTCAAAATCTGCGGAAGATTGCCACAATCGACCATGTGTATGTCTCGATTTTCGGATAGATCAAGCGCTGCATGAATGGCTTGTGATGCGTTCCCCCACAGTTACTCCGAACCTGAATAAGCTAGATGGCCATTTACTCGTGGTATGATGTCTTGTTCTCTTCCAGCCGACTGTCCATCTCCAAAGTTACAACGGATGCCTAAAGAACCAAGGTTGGAACAAGAGACCGACTGATGCTTAGGCAGAAGAATAAAGTGGACATTGACTCACTCTTGAAAGAACAAGCCCGAGCGATAATAGAGAAGCATCCAACTTTAGCTGATGGCTGCAGAGTTCAACCGATCTCAAGGCCCAAGCGTAGGAAGTTATTGGATAACCTTGCTCAGGTGAAAGCAGCTGTCTCCTCAAGGTCATCTCAGCCTTGCACTATGCCAGTATATCTGTCCGACGGGTGGCGGGGGAATCCCGCTCCGCGGTAGCACCTGATCTCATTTGAAGAATATAAATGATTGTAAGATTGATGGCAAAGAGCATCAGATAATCAAAGAAATCAAGGGAATTTCATCTGCAGCATGGGCTCCATAACAGCGACCAACTCCAAGAACTACCCACTTGAAGCTCTGGTAGGTACAACCGTATAAAGCTCGGATAAGGCATAGTTCTAACTATCCATAGCTGGCAACCGACAGAGACCAGCGTAAGCCCGTCGAATTGCGAGTCACTGGAACATTTCTACCACTTCTTGCTGGCACATTGTATCGCAATGGACCGGGCACCCACCGGGTCGACTCGAAAACAGGGTCGTATGCTCGCAGTCACTGGTTTGACGGTTTCGCACTGCTGCATCGGTTCAAGATAGTTCCCACGGATGGCAGCAACTGTCGCGTGTTCTATAACTCTCGATTCCAGGTCGACGCGTTGATGGAAAAAGCACGCCGCACCGGAGATCTCAAGGAAGTCACATTCGGCCAAAAGAGAGACCCGTGCGAGTCGTTCTTTTACAAGATGAAGACCGTCTTTGAGCCGACTGATTCTCTGTCTGATCCTGATCCACAGATGGTTAATTCAAATGTCACTGTGTTCGCCAACATGCCCGGCATGCTGAAACATGGCCCTGCTGTACCGGAATCCTCGCAGTTCAAGCTGCTCACCTGTCTGACTGACGCAAACCAAATCACGCATGCAAATCCGGAGACCCTCGAGCCAATTGCTGCGAGCACGCAACAAGAGCTTCATCCGGATCTGAAGGTACTACTCTTCCCCATGATTCTTCCGCGGCAGGGTTGCAACTAACTGCGGATAAGGGACAACTCTCCTGCGCACATCCGCAATTCCACCCCGAAACGGGAGATGTATACAATTACAACCTGCACCTGGGCCCTAATAGCACCTATCGCATATACCACACTTCGGCACATACATCCAGAACAGAAGTCATTGCCACACTCTCAACCAAAGCAGCCTATATCCATTCCTTCTTCATGACAGAAGACTACATCATCCTCTGCGTCTGGCCTTCGTACTTCAAAGGCCTCGGGGCCTCCATCCTCTGGGAGCGAAACATACTGGACGCATTGAAATTTGATTCTACTGCTCAGACGCACTGGTTCGTGGTCGACCGGAGGAGCCACCGAGGCGTCGTTGCCAAGTTCGTCAGTCCGCCGTTCTTCGCCTTTCATGCCATCAATGCTTTCCAAGAACCGGGGGACAAGAATACAGTGGATATCATCTGTGATTTGGTGCAGTACACCAACATGGACACCCTGCACCGAACCTATTACGAGGACCTGCTCTCGCCTAACGGCGAGGTTTCGAATTTCACATTGAAAAGGTCTGAAACACCCGAGACCGTCCGCTATCGCCTGCCACGAGTGCCCAAGGAGTCAACGACCGGAACAGTTGCCGCCGCGGAACGAGTCTTTGGATTTGAGTCTGGTGAACTCCCGACCATCAACCCGCGATTCGCTACCAAAAGAGCACGATACCACTATTGCGTCGTTACCCGAGGACGCACTTCCTTCTTCGATGGAATCGGCAAGGTTGACCTCGAGACGCAAACAATCCAGTACTGGGGTAGTGAATCGACGCCTCATACGCCGTCCGAGCCAATTTTCATCCCCGATGGCACTGGCGAGGCCGAGGATGCGGGATATCTGCTTAGTGTGGTGTTGAACGGAGAGACTGGGACAAGTTACCTTGTGTGTCTTGATGCGAGGACGTTGACCGAGGTCGGCAGGGCTGAACACGACCACGCGATTAATTTTGGGTTGCATGGAAGCTATTATTCCGCGGTTTGAGTGTATGCAGCTGAGCTGTATATCAATGCTTTTTGATTTTGTTAGAATATTGTTGCTTGCGTAACATAAACGATTTTCATATTCCAAGCCAGCATATCGAAGTCATCGACTGTTCTCCGGACAGAGCAAGTCATGTAGACAGTTCTCGTTAATGCTAGGTCTCGCGACGGGTATTCCTGTTTAACATTGACGATATCGCTCAGCTAGTTGACGGTGCTTGACGTACTTGGCCACAGCAAAGACTGTGAAAACCCATTCAAGATCCGGCAGTAGTACCTGCATCAATTTTTTATGGAAGGCTGATTCTAGATACCATATATCCGCATTGAAGGCAGCTCGGCCAAACACTCATTTCTCATTTATGTTTAAATTCTCCTTTATTTGCATTATCTCTCAGCCATCCCATACACTCCCCGTTGTTGTTGTCGTTGTAGTTGTTGTGATGGTGGTGTTATCGTCGTCGGTGTCATGGTACATGTGCAGCGTTTGTGTATTGGACAGTCCAAACTGCTGCTGCAATAAGCATGATGTATGTTGGGTGTGGCGAGATTTCCCCCAACTCTTGTGACACCTCGTCTTCAACCTTGATCAGGGACGCAAGAATGGCAGAGGCGGCCAAGCTGCCACTTGCACGGCCTATACTTCTGCTAACGGTTAGTGACGGCTCTTATTCTTCTTGTGATGCAGTCAAGGTAGTCAGTATCAGAACTAACCTGTGCCTACGATGGATGAACTCCACCAGCGCAGTCGATTGCACCACGGCGATGATCATGAGGCAAAAAGAGAGAGCGATTAAAACAGTCCCGGGATTGGCGAGTTGAGGAGAATGTACAGGGCGAAACACACGAAGATACCGATCATGGACTTGTTGCCATCTACCGCTATATCCCCTTTGAAGGAAGGCATGCATGCATGGTGATCATGTTTGATATCTGTTCTCGAGGCGTACGGAACGAAGGATTATGTAAGATTGAGGCGGACATAGCATATTGCAGTTGTTGTTGAAGGCAGCGACTGGGTTCGTGGAGTCCAAATAGCCATTGCTGCTGGGAACAGGAAGTGCTGATGTTGGAAGAAAGGGTTTGCATACAAGGAGAACAGTCCAAATATCATTTCCCTGGCTCAAAATGGAAAAGAGCAATTGACTCTCGACCCCGGGCAGTCAGAAGAGGTCAGTCATAGGGGCCTCAGAGCCCTCAGTGCGGCGCTCAAATTGTCCAACCATTGCGAACTTTATCTCTGTATCAAATGCAAACTGATGACGGTGTCTTGCGAAGCCACTTGTCTTATTGTCAGCTCCCGAAGTCATTACTCTCTGATCCATCCTGTTGGGCCTCCGTCTGCCATTCAAACCAGTCTCAGTCTGCACATGTACCATGATGGATCAGTATGATTCCAAGCAAGAATGTGTACAACGGGACTAACTCATTTGTTTATGAACATACCTCATCCATGAAACGTACCAACCACCAGACTCAGGTATTAACTAAAAGCCATCCATGCGGGTCCAACAAAGCAACGGAGCGACATGTTGTTTCTCTTTCAAGTAGATACCGCAGCAGAGAGTGACTTAAATGTTCGACGAAATGGTTGACAGTTGATCGTAATCGTCCCCCATCGATTTGACGACAACGAGGGCAGACCTTGTGTATCAAGCAAGTGCATTTGCAACCGACGCTGCAGTGTCAGACTCCTGGCCAGAAAGCCCCAGAATCAGGAGAAACCGAGGGCGCAGAGGGGACATTTGAGTCATGCCTATAAATAAGAGTCAGTCTCGGTATTATACGATAGTCTTCGAAGGGTAGATGTATCGACTTACCACCTCCTGGTGACCAGAGATCGAAGACGAACAATTGCTGCGATAACAAGCAGTATCAGGAGCAGGATAGCCAACAGAGTCTGATCCATGCTGTCTATTGGATAAATGAGAGGGGCTTTGTAGTCCAAGTTTTATGCAGTATGTTGCTTTGATGACACCCTTTCCGTCTAGCTGTAAGATACTGTAGCTGATGAAAAAGTACGAGGAAAAGAAGAGGCATGGGAAGATTATATACATTTCTTAAATAGGAAAAGTGAATGTCTAGATTCAACGGAGATTCCCATATAGTGAATGGGATCTACCTGTTTATGGGAAGTTCCGATAGCGACACGGCTTTAGCCGTTATATAGGGTTATTATCCTTCACTATACTAAGACATTAAGGTGAACGGGGAAGATGATCTAATGTCTGACGCTCAGGGTAATGAAGGATGATTCCAATCCAGCTATTATAATATACATGATGCACTAATGTTCCTGAAAAATTGTGCTATTAAGCATTTTTTTATCAAGTCGTTACCAAGATACTCCAGAATATCTAACCTTACAAACACATTTCCGAGTTTGTCATAAAATGATGGCTGAATAGCGGATCTCATGTTGATGCGGCCAACTTGTGTCGCCATTATGACATAACCCAGACACCTCATCGAGGAATCACGGATTGCTCTATAACAACTCATCCCACAATGTACTCCACCATTCAAACTTGTCTTCCCGAATAGAATAAAACATCAGCTAATTATTTACTTACCATGTCGTCGCGTCGAACCACCGATCCTCACCGACCAGTCCGCCCTCCGATCCCCATGGGAACATGGGTCCTTTATGGCTGCGGCGCAGGACTGCTCGGTGTAGCCGCGTATGTCCTCTCCCCCAAATCGTGCAAACTAATCTAACTGAGAAAAAGAATGACCGTCGGAGAAAAGATTGAACAATTCTTTACTGGCCGGCCCAACTCCTATGTCCCCGGCCACACGCTGGAGCGACTACTGGCTTTGCCTCCCCGGCCGGACAACGAACGCTGGGGATTGAACATGGCCATGCATTACGGGCAGGGTGCAGTTGCGGCCGTCATTCGAGCATTCATGAGCATCAACGGTATTCGAGGACCGTTTGCCGACTTTATGTTCGTCGGCGTCCGGTTGACGATTGATCAGACGCTGGAGAATTGGACGGGAGTCGGCGCTCCTCCATGGTCCGTATCTATGGATACCTGCATTCGAACTTGTACGATTACTGACGAACGTGTAGGACGTGGCCAGTCAATGAGCAAGTTATCGATGTGCTGCACAAGGCAGTTTATGCTTTTGTGACTGGGTACTTGACAGACCGATGGCTGCAATGAGATATTTATCTGAGTCGAATTGCGTGTACTTGTACTGCTCAAGGGGCCAACACTATATGAGTTTATTATCTCTGAATGAATCCGTTGACGCGAAGGCCTGGATATGTACTAATAAGACTCATGGACCCATCTGTACTTACACTATGAGTGAGTCTATGACCTTCGATTGGTCAGCCTTATGTCAACAGTGTTGAAGCACGTGACTTGTGATAGGAATGTGCATCCCCTGAATCGTCAATCGACATCGTCTTCTTTCCTGACATTCGTCGTAAAGCCTAAAACCAGACAGCTTCTCCGGAGAAGGATCACATACTCAGATGCCAAGGCCGAAGAATCGATTATTCTTCATCAACTTGGATACCGCTCCGAGCAAGCTAGATTTACTCACCTTCATGACAAACGTGAATGGATGAAAGCTGTGGTTACTCAAGATCTTGGCCTGAGATAATCTGCTGAATGTCATGTGGCAGACACAGAAAATTGGCTTCATGGCAGCTTTAATGTCTGTATTTCCGTCATGATAGACAGTTGGGAGTCTGGGACAAGCGTGTTCTTATGCGGTTTCCGTTACCGTATCGCGTCGGCGAGAGTTTCAGACCAGGCAATTGCGATGAGAAAATCCGTTGTGAAGCAGGATCCTATGCATGGCTCCAGGGGAACTATCCCGATGTGCCCATTCCGAAATTATATGGTTTTGGTTTGTCCACTGGTGAGACGGTATGGATTGTAGCTAATTGTGATGTTTGTCGCTTATAGGTTTAACTTTCAGTTTACTCGACTTGAATTCCTGCCATTCTTCCCTCGCTGTTTCCAACTCCTGCGTCAATCCTTCCTATCCTGGTTGAAGAAATCAGATTTTTTCGAACTATGCGCGCCATCGAAGCAAAGATCCTACAGTTGACAATGGCTACCTGTTGATCGAGTTTATCGAAGAGACTCGCGGATCTATGCTTTCGAATACATGGATGGAAGGGCGATACGACCCAGACTACGGGCAAACTTCTTCCATAACCTCTCTCGGCTTTTCTCAAGTACTACCCGGATTCCCTTGGCCCAGATTGGTTCATTCATCATTGACAATAACCGGTTTTTTGCGTCTTACAAATCGGCCACTCTCAATGGAGATCCAGCAGTCGGAGAATGAGGGAATCCCAACTGAGATACCTCGCAATTACACATACCCCACTGTTGCCTCCTATATGGTTGTCCCAGAACTTCCCTGCTCCCCGCCTTCTTGGGAATGTTCCTAATGGCTGACCCAAGATCCCATCGTCTGCCGAGCGAGTCAGGAACGCTTTTGTTTCGGCAAGCTGGCAGCGGGAGTAGATGCTAGGTAAGCACGCGGCAGATTCCCTGGGTGGTGAGTTAAGCACCATGACCAGCTGATCCTTTGCGACTCGGCATATATATTTTGGCTACATGGACCGCCTAGGATATTCTGTTGCACCACCACTGAAGAAGCGTATAGTCTGGAGCTGAGCGGGACTTGCATCGACACCTTTGCTACTTCCGGGATCGCGAGTATTCCTCGATGAATCTGCTGCCGCCACATTACTCTACGACTGATCCGACCTGACATGTCTCATGTACACTTCTCGCCGGATACTCTTTGTTGAGGAAACGCAGACCGATCACACTCCTCTCCTCAGCTGAATAGGTGATAATCGTTCAACTGATGCAACCTCGGGCTACTCGTCCGAAATCCGGATTCATTATTAAAACCAACGAATTGTCTCGACTCTTCTGAGGAATCCAGCACATGAGCATGAGATTGGGTGCCTTTACGGTAGACAAGCTTTTCTTTATTCTGATCAGCGGGGCTCTGCTAGTAAAAGTAAAATTTCATTCCTGATGCGGTTGAACCATCCATATCATTCATCCTCTAGACTCACAGGCCTGGTCTGTGCACTCTCAAACATGCTGATCACGTGGATAAAAGCATCGCTGGCTAGATTTCAATTTGTCAATAATGATAGTACGGCAGGAGCTGGAGCTGGCGAGATTTGTTTGTTTTGTCCAATACTCCCAGGCTCTATTTTGTTCCTTGCAATGAAGTTCATGTATGGTTGGAACTTTCTTCACAGCCTAGGAGGCATATAAATTTCTTTCTGACAGTCATCGTATGATATTAAACTGTATATGCTAGATTTCCTTTTCGTGTCGTCGCTTCATAACCCATCCAGTAGGCGTAGTCTAGATGTTCATGCAGGTCTAAACATACATCATCACCAGTCATGCAAATCCGGTCCGCGGCAAGTCATATAATAAACAGTCCCTGAGTGTGCACAAAAACCAGAACCTAATGCTCAAAATCCGTCGAGTATGCAGAACAGAACGCGTCAAAAAAGTAGCTGAACCTCGTACCCGGCGTTATGCTCCTCTCCCTCGCCCTCTCCATTGCTGCTCAACGGAGCAGGAACCTCAGTAAATTCGGCAATCATGTCCTGTCCTTCGGGGATTGCTCCCACGACGTCATCGTCGACTGCGACGCGTAGACTGTTCGGGTTGATGTGCAGGAGACTGAGGATACGGTCGGGTTGGACGTTGTATTTTTTGGACAGTTGGTCTATGAAGTCGGACGCGGTTCGCTCAGTGAGGTATACGGCACGGTAGTAGGGTTCCTGCTGCTGTTTGTCCTGGAATCGAACGTAGAAACATGCCACTGCCTGAGGTCAGATTGGTATACCATATCAAATAGTGCTGGGCAAACTTACCATGCCGAGGGCTGGATGACCGATCGCCGGTATCCGACTCGGGCGAAGATCGACCATTTATATCGCTGAGGGCCGGATCAGGGGATTCCATCTTCGGCTCAACAGTGCTTGCTTCTCGGCCGAAAGGACGACGTGGAAGCTGGACCAGGTCGCCGTGGAAGTTGACCCCTGCATCAGTCTCGGACGCGCTGTCACGTCCAAGAGACACAGGTGTGGACGAGTCCCGAGGTAGCGAAACTGGTGATTGATCCGGATCATCCAGCACGTCGCCCTGCAGTGAGAGCAGGCTAACTGGCTGGGAGGATGAGAAGAGGTTGCGCAGCTCGAACAAGGCCCGGTGCAGGTCGTCTATGTCCGTGAGACTGTTGGAACGGCTGGGAGAGAGGCTCATCGATACGGTATGGTTCTTGGTCAGCCCGTGGCCCACGCCTTTTCGCCGTTTCCGCTTTCCCAGACCATTAGTGCCGTCGATATCTCCCTGCGCGATTTGCCGCTCGACCTTGTGAATCGCTTTCTGCACATGCGCCACATCGTTGGATAGCTTTCTTTCCGCTCCGTGGTCGCGAAACACCTTGACCTTGCAGTAGCAAATCTCGGCTTCGCCAGCTCCCGGCGCAGGAGTGCCATCCTCGAGGCCGATCATCTCCGTTTTGACGCATAATCGCGTCGGAACGCCTTTGACACCCTTGGATAGACTGAAATCCGTCGACAAAAAGTTCAAGCGGACGTTGACCACGCACTCGGAAGGACCGGCTTCCGGAGTGCTCGTCCAGGTTACACAGAACCCGTCAAACGACGCGCTGTCCACCTTTTTGATACGCGGCGCATTCTTCTTCGATCCCATGCGCAGGTCCACAAACTCCAACGCTCGCATCTTCCCCCCTCGTTGCTGCGCCTCGACCGCCCCTCGCGCTTCCTTCCAGAGTCGCCAGCACCGGGCTGGGTTCGATCGGTGTGCCGGTTCCTCAAAGGTGATTCTCACACTCGTGCGATATTTGACGGGTTGTGTGCCGTGCGCCGGAGGTGTAGAGTCGACAATGGATACCGAGTATGACTGGGACTTGTTGAGATAGGTGACTGGTGGTTCATGCGCATGATCCGCGATAGCGGTGGGAGCGTGGAGGGTGACACGATAGCGGAATCTACATTGTTATAATAGGGCCGAGTCAGCAAGCAGTGGGCCGATTGTAGTCGTCGAATTGGCAGTGGACTTACGGAATCTCTGGCTTCGACGGGAAGTCGGCGCGGTCGACCGCGTCCGACGCCACCGGGAGGAGAGGCTGCGCGACATGTCCCAACATTTCTGTAAATGAATCTCGATGGCTTGCCGTATCCAATGGATCGTAGTCTGAGTTTGCCCCGAACGAGACGTTGCTCGGCAGTATGTGGTTTGATGCAAACGGGTCCATGTTCTGAAACAAATGATGCTGGTATTGCGTCTGTAAAACTGCCACGCCTCGGGTCGCCGTCGGCGCGTGTCCGTGTAGTTGTTGTGGTGGTGGTGGTGGTGGTTGTTGTTGTTGTTGTTGATCCTGAAGGTCTGACTGTACGCTGACCATCTGATCCCATATCCAAGGCGTGCTGGCCAGATTCCATTCTACAGTTGGGGTGTGAAGGTCCCCTGCAGGGCTATGGACTACGGCGCACATCTGATTAACAGTGGGAGTAAGAAGGCCGGCTTGCAGAGCCGAAGGAGTGACAAAGTCGACTACACTCGGATTCGCCTGGTGATGGTTGAACTGGGGCTGGAATGGTTGTGATGGAAGTATGGGGTGATTTGCGACCTTCGCATCGTTGTGCTCGACTGATGCCTGTTGTGTGAGAAAGGGGTCTGCGATAACATGGGAAAACTTCTGTCGAAACTCCCCGATCAGCTCTGCTCCGGGCTTCTGCTTCGTCCTGCTGGTGGTTAGACTCGGGATGATCTGAAACCCCGTTCCTATCCCTGAGAAAAACAAACCTTTTGTCAAACATTTTCCTCGCTTCGAGGTACACGTGTTCCGATGTCGAAGCGCCTCACAAGTCACAAACAACACGACAGACACAAGGATTATAAAAGAGCAGTGGCAATTCTTTTTATTAACTGTCAGAATTTAGCCCACCCGGCAGATATCAAGTCTGGAGATGAAATGAGTGACGTCCTCCGAGCGAACAACGAGCGAAAGGCGAAAGCATCCCCCTCGAGTGATGAAACAACGCGGAGAAAGGAGGGAACACAGCTGGGATATAGATGGCTGGAACGGGGAAATTTGGATGGCACAGGCCTTTTATCTGATCCCTGGGTCCCATTCAAGCCAGGTCAGGGTCACAGACAATCAGGCAAACACCAGGACCACTGGACATGCTGGGTCTCAAAAAGAAGGTACGGCAGTAGAGCTACTACCACCTTACTACTATAAGAGGCGGACAGTAACTGGGGATCAGCGGTGGGAGGCGAAAAGAACAAAGGGACACAGACTTGGTTGGGTAATATTTAATATTTATTATTTATTATTAGCATACAGGTATTTTAACATGAAATCATAATCATAATTTATGATTCATCTATTCCCGCTTTACCATAATAATAATAATCTGCAGAAGAGTAGAGGTATCGATACTACTAGTACTGCCGATTCATCTAGAAGCCGTGCCGAGAGCGACGTGTGAGTGGAAGAAGCGTGGATAACCAGTGGGGCCTTTTCTCTAGCCTCGTGGACAGCAGCAGCAAAAAAGGTCGCTTGATTGGAACGGAAGTTCCAGCCGAGAGAGGAAGTGCAAGAACTGGGGCCAGGATGGTTTTAAAAAGAAAGAAAAAAGGAAAGAAAAAGAATAATAGTCTGTTCCTTGATCCCACTTAGATTATGCAAGGGGTCTTTGCCTTTTCGGAGAAGGCGATGCCTTTCACTGTCGCCGCTTCGGGGTAGACAGACAGATATGTATTAGTATTGGAGAAGAAGTCTAGACGTTGCTTGCGTTTGCCACAGGTTCCCTTGATATATTTATCTATGGAGAATTTCCTCTATTGGGAGTACTGTCCGATGTTGACATTCCTCCCCGAGGGTCTAGATAATTTTTTGATTTATCGCATGAGATCTCTGGATCTTTATCATTTCCGATTCCCATGTTGCTGCACCTTCTTAACATTCAAACGGGCTCGCTTCTGGCAAATTTACTACCACTAGCGTTTTATTTTCACCCGACAATGTGGCTTGATCTGTCCCTGGATTTGTAGTTTATCCTTGGCAGAAATAATACAGTCCGCGCATGGCCAAGGTCAACTCAAATGTCCTAGCTGTCCGCAGGATTCTGTAGAGGAATTTTGCTATAATGGGCCAGGTACAGTCGATTGACCTGCTTCATGGTACTACCCTTGCCTCTTGCAGCAATGAGAAATGTATCCACGTGAGTTGTCCTTCATGTGTATGACATGAAAACACTAAACTTCGGCACAAACCCCTAGAGTAGCCACATCCAACCGACTGTAGTATTCTCCCAGTCAATTGTGTGCTGTGGATTCGTACTTTTCATGTACAGGGACAACAGACTCAACAGTACAATGTAGATCCCACCCCAGTGTCCGATGACGTCAAGATATGTCTTGGAGAACGGGAAGGTTTCGTTGTGTGGCACGAGCAGCCGTGGTTCACTGGTTATGAGCAGCTTAGACCCGAAAGATTGCCGAAAGAAAAGGAGATCCGATCTATCCAGGATGCTGTCTATCTGCGCCACCTCCGCGTTATCATCTGCATTTTCATCTTCAGAGTTGATAGTGTGCGTGGGAGTATCCAATATGGCTCTCTCTGTCTTTCTCTACTTCTACCAGAGGTACTTGCACCCAGAATATGAGCATGATCACCCGGGACTACAGTTTGGATCCGAATCAGGATCTACAGGCAGATACTCGGCTATTTCCACACACTTTAAGCTTCTCTCGTCGTTGAGCGGATGGATCATGTTCTCCTCTCCATGCAGCTACGCACTGCTGTGACGTCAACCAGCGCCCCTATCCGGAGACCTACCGAGGGGTAATGGAACTCTGAAATCCAGTCTCATGTTAAAAATGGTTGAATCAGACATTGCTGGAGCCCGAGTGGCCGAAAGAAGATCCAGCGAATCAGACGCGGCGGATTTCTCTTCAGTTTCCTTGCAGCGGTATTCTTTATCTCTTCCTCGAGGATGAACCGACGAACTCGTGTGGCTTGAGCAGAACTGCAGATCTTCTCTTCAGAGAGACGCAGCATTGTCTCCTGTTTATAATTTGTGGCATATTCACGTTGCCCTTTACTTATGAGGCTCCTCACCAGAAAATCATGAGGTACCTTAAGGTTTTTCATCATGAGACTGCCGCAACAAATCCATGAAAAACGGGCTGTCATTTACGTTAGTCGTTAACTCTCAATAAGGAACCCACACACACCCCCAAAAAGCGGCTGCTGATTGGCGAGCCAAGAAACCTGGCCCCGCTGATCAGACACTAGTGCAATGCCGGACCTTACATCCGACCAATCGTTGCTACCGTTGCGTCAACACTCCATCAATGTAACGACATTATGCGGAACAGCAGCTGTCAGTGTGTCTTTTGAATCATGATCATTACCCATACTCTGTACAAGAGGTGATTTTAAATAATATTCCTTGGGTAAGACGGTTTGTCTGCGCAGTAGTTGCTGGGTATTACTGACTGGGGTTAAAGCTCTCCTCCTTGGTTCTGAGCTTGATCACTCTTTAGACTTCCTTGATCTCCGTTCTCAGGGTTCAGTTACATCAAGATTCATCTATTGTCTGGGGCGGGAGGAGGCGTCTGGTCCAGAACAGCGTAGCAGGAAACATTCTCCAGCACCTGAACGAGTCCTCTGGCTTTTCCAGCAGGTTTCCTTGGGATGTCTTGGTCTTTAAAAGAGAGTGACCAACCGGTTCGATAATTGAGACTTCAAAACATCTTGTACAGCTACACTACGGCTACGGCTTCAGTACCATTACAGGCTTATATATCTATTGGCCTATGGGCTTCTGCCTCACACCCTAGCTGTGACCGCATCTCACCGTCTAAACCTTCATCTCCGTCAGACCATTTGTCCATAGCTCAATCGCTCAATCGCTCAGCTGCGCAAGTGTACAGCTCCAGTATATCTATCACCTGCACCATGACGACCACCACACTTCTTACCGAGCAGACGGCCAATAGTAATCTTCTGGACTGGGCCAGCCTCAGTCCAACTGCTCTTGCCCTGCCGCCAGGTGATTCCACCACTTATGAACCTGTCCTTCTGAGCGATGAGGATCTTCACGTCCTCGATCCCGCTTTTCTTTCCAAGCGCACAGACACCAGCACCGATAATAATAAACCCCCGTACACCCAGCGCCCGGAGCTAAAGCCAGCTTCCACCAATCACGGCGCTCCAAATATCCACTCTGCTCGACCCTCGCGCTCATCCATCACCAGCCTTTCTTCTATAACTTCTACTTCTACGTCCGCTACCACAGAATCAGACATCACCTCTCCCAAAAAGTCTTCAAAATCCAGCAAACGCAACTCAAAATCAAAGGTATATGACAAGAACGACCCCCGTCGCGAGAGATATCTCGAGCGCAACCGGCGCGCAGCCAGCAAATGCCGCCGCCAGAAGAAAGAGCGCAACCAGCAGCTGGAGAACCTGTATCGCAAACAGTCTGCAGAGCAAGAACGGCTCCTCTCGGAGCGCGACCGGATGCGCTCGGAACTGCTCTCTTTGAAGGATGAACTGCTGAAGCATGCACAATGCGAAGACCCGCCGCTCAAGTTCTACATTGCTCAGATGGTCGAGGAGGCCGGGGCGGCTGTTGCGCCAGGTAGACCGATCAGTACCTACTCTCCTGGGTACTCTGAGCAGCAGGCGCAGCCTCTTATGTTCAACGATGATGATGTCTTGCAACAGCAGTCCCCGACGATGAAGATGTCCATGGTTGCAGATGCACCGTGGACCACATCGGGTGGTGACTTTGTGGATTTTGTTCAATTGTGATCAATTTACATTACCCCTCGTAGTAAGTTATGTTTCATGAAGTTTGGATCCTGGCGTGCATTGGATATGTATTATTTTGGAGTTAAAACTGTCAAGCCAGTGGTGGCTGCTATACTGTCTATAAACAGAAATCTATGGCGCTGCATAGCAAAGCTGCTATCAGTCTACTACCCAGTCAGCAGAGCACATATCAGCTGTATCTTCTTTTGTCACTGCTGAGTCAATTGACCAATCATGAGCTTCATCAGAACAGGTCGTGTGATGCTAACGTCATCGAAAGGATTGAATGCCTGAGGCCTGAAATTCCCTTTTTGAGCCGAGGTGTGGCGAGGGTCTGAGGAATTATCTTCCTGCAGCCATGGATTGGATATGTCTCCATTCCATTGAATGGCTCCAAACCGGCCGAAACTGCAAGGACTGTGGCTGATCGGATCGGCCGATGCCGCAAATCCACCTCGGAAATGTTTGACAGGAATTGAGTATATATAACAATGCCATTCAGATGTGAAGAACACTCGAACCACTGCCAGCCAACCCAGGTGGTTGAAGAGTGACTGACCCTTTGCCTCTTTCACATCACGGCAAACCGGGGCTATAGGGCCTGTTCTCTTGTCATTCGTTTACATTTCTGTCTGTTTGCTCGCGGCCCCCATGACAAGTTCCTTAGCATCTACCTTGACATCGCAAGGACGACCACAAAATCAAGATGCGAGGATACTGCACCTAGACGACCGGTCACAATGGCTCGCGTGGAAAACCGCCGAGATGCTTTTCACCCTCCTCCTCAACAAGCAACTGCGCCGGCGCTGGCTGCTAGAGCATAAGCATTCGCAATCCATCCCTGTCCCACAGAGACTGCGCCCGATTGCGCTTCTCGAACCAATCCCCACGCCGGCGAGCTGGTCCAAATCAAACGGGACGAGTGCTGCCGAAACGGAAGCCCTCAAATACCGCGTGCGGCTCCTGCGCGCCCGTGCAGAAAAGGGCAAGGAGCTAGTCGCCGAGATGGAGCGGAGGATCCAGCGGGGCGATCTGCCCGATCCGACGAGCTTCTGCCATTCGTGCGTCGCAGTCGATGATCGGGAGGTGTTTCTCACCAAGTGTGGGCATCGTGTCTGTCTGACCTGTGTGCGGTACAGTACCAATGACCAGGGGCAGTACGAGTGTCCGATTTGTTTTGCGCCGACCAGTTTTGTATCTCGAAGGCGGACGCTTGGGCCACGGCGACGGTGATATCCCTGTGTGCCAGAGCCTGCAGACTACTTCACTACTATTTCGCTCTTTCAGAGTGGTCGTTATCAGTCGTTTATCAGAATGACCATGTAAACTCCTCAAATACAAAAATAGATCCAATTGATAAATCTACACCTACACCTGTAAGCTCCATGACTGACATTCTGCTACGACTCTGCCGGAGTCAATAGTTACTCCGTAAATAATTAGTCAGGATCTATCTACTTATTCTGGGATGATGGTATCCGACTCCGGAGGACAACTTCGGATACCCAGAAGTGATGACATCATTGAATACATAATAGTACAGAACCGACCCATATGAGGCAAATAGCGTCCATAGACCTATTAGGAGTTCGAAGTGTTGAATACGTTTGTTTTTTTGCAATGAGCAGGTACTCCTTCAAGGTACGATCGAGGATAGAATGCAGATCGAATGACACTATCAGCATGTCATATTAACTGGGGCCCTGCAGGGAAGGAAGGTTAAAGTTATCGATGATCTACAGCACTTGCCGAGGATCATGGTGACGTCGAAAATCAATCACATCGACTATCACATCCCCCACATCAAGTGGCAAGGGACAGCCCAACAATGTACTTCCCCAGAAAATAGTGATTCATGAAGTGAACTCGGGTGTGTGCTCTATCCCCGATCTGGCCTTGTCACAAGCCATGACGTCTCACTCTCTACCTGGTTGATGGTCGATCGCGTCCTGAAGGACATATAAGAAGCGTACTTTTCAGTCGTCGTCTCCTCATCGCAGAACAGATCATCAAATCAAGAAGCATTTCACAGAATTTAATTCAAACACAACCACAAACAACACTCAACATGTCTGACACCGGCCGCAAAGATTTCTCTACCAGTATGTTTCGCCAACCCATACAACACAGATCAATCCTAACTCCACCACAGAGGCTCAGGAGAAGGTCACTCCTGACTCCCAAAAGTCCACTATGGACAAGATGAAGGAAACCTTCACCGACGCTACCGACCGTCTCACTGGCAGCGCGCAGGGCGACAACCAGAAGTCGTACTCGCAGAAGGCCTACGATTCCGCGCGTGGCGAGACAGACAACCAGACCCATGGTAGTAGCACCGAGACAATGTATGTTCCCCGCATCTGAGGAAATCAAAACTGATCAGCTGCTAACGTGTCGCAATAGGGTCAGAAGGCAAAGAATGCTATGGGACTCGGTGATCATTAAGTTATGAGAATGAGATATGATCTACTGTATATTAGATAACCAGGATTATGACTGTTAGTTTAGTTTGATGAAATATGAATTGGACACATGATCTATACTATTTATAGACAGTAGAGCGTTAATCTCGATCCATGTCAGGAGCATCGTCTCGCTGACAGTTACTCTTCGATTGCTGTGCCAATTGGATAGTGTCAGAATGTACCTAGATAATGCTCAATACAGAATTGCATATTAATATGCTGGATTTCTATTGTTTAATTATAGTCGTCAGTCAGTTCAATTTCCAATGCTCCGTTGTCGAGCATCCGACTAAGGTACTAGCTTGCCATGTAGTATTAACTAGTTCTTCATAGACGGATCTGATATACCACCGTGCGATCAATGTTAGCGCTGTAACCCATAAAAGCAGAACGATCCTCATGGTTGTATGTTTACTGAATATGTTGTAGAAATATGCAACATGAGGTTCATATTCCACCATCTGATAACTACGTCATGCTGATGAAGTGTTAACGGTTTCAACTTCTCCACACATTTGCATCTAGACTCGCCACTGAGCCAGGTTTTTGGCTTCACTTGCATCGAATTACGCCAACATGATGATAGAATGTATGGCCTGTTTCAGTCTTGCACTTATATAGAGCCCACGGCAGTGCCCAGCCGGATCAACAAAGATCGACCGAACTCACCTCACTTCCACGAATTAAGACGCATCACAAAGAAGAAAAGTATAAACAAGCAATCACCATGTCGGACGCTCAGCAACAGAACCAGCGTTTCAAGCTCGAAAGCCTCTTCAGCGTCAAGGGCCGAGGTATGTTGTTCCTGGCCGTCCAGATGATATGAGACTGACCAGCGCAGTTGCCCTCGTCACTGGAGGTGGTTCGGGAATCGGCCTCATGATCACACAGGCACTGGCTGTAAACGGTGCCAAGGTATACATCACTGGTCGGACAGGAGAAAAGCTCGACCGTGTTGCAGAATTGTACTCGCACAACATTCCCGGACAGATCATTCCCATCACCGCCGATATCACCAGCAAGCAATCCATCCAGAAGCTTGTCGACGAAATCTCCTCCAAGGAAAAAGCACTGCACATCCTCGTCAACAACGCCGGCATCTCTGGTAAGACACAGGACACCGACAGCCAGAGCGCCGAGGAACTGCATCAGAAGCTCTTCAAGGACGAGTCCAATTCCATTGAAGAGTGGGATGAGATCTTCCGCACCAATGTAACTCAACTTTACTTCACCACCACTGCTTTCCTACCCCTTTTGAACAAGGGAACCGACATCGAGCACGGCTGGTCCAGTACCGTCGTCAACATCAGCTCCATTTCCGGCATTGTCAAGACAGCCCAGCACCACTTCCACTACAACGCTAGCAAAGGCGCTGCCATCCATGTGTCAAGAATGCTGGCGCATGAGATCGCCTCTTCCAACTTGAAGATCCGTGTCAACAACATCGCGCCCGGCGTGTTCCCCTCGGAAATGACCGCCAACGAAAGCGACGAGAAGCAGAAGAGTTTCCTGCCCAAGGAGAAGTACGAGGGTAAGGTCCCTGCTGGAAGACCGGGCAAGGATGAAGACATGGGCAGCGCTATTCTGTTTGCCGTCTGCAACCAGTACTTGAATGGGCAGACTATCGTGGTTGATGGTGGCTACGTTCTCGCTGCTGGAACTGTTTAAATTCCTGCGATTGTATGATAATGAGATATGACAAAATGCATGGAAGTGATTTCTATCTTTCTTCAAGTATTTGCGAATCTATACGGTACTCATCTACAGTCTGATCCTGATCCGGGAACTGGATCCGCATTAACCATGGCATCACCACATTGCCCAACAGCAGAAAACTGAATTCTGTTATTTCACCAGAAGTAGTGACTGTTGTAACTCTACCGAAAAACAAGTGGACCTTGAAATGAGAGGACGGGATGACTAGTTAAAAAGGTTAACAAGGTATAAATAATTTCATGCTAAGAAACACAAATCAATGTATATCAGATTAAATGCATCCAAATCAAACGTATAGAACATAAAACCATCAAGCTCCTCCAATGTCCATCACACCCAGCCTATGGTTGAATTCATATATCGAGGGTATCATTCGAGTAACGTCGAGACGAGTCCTTTTTGGTCATGGTTAGCAAACCTCCAACGAAGAAGCTGAGGTACAGACATAATGGATGTGTTCAACGGCTGCTTCGTGACCGCCTACTGCCATGATGGGAATACGGCTGATAATGTTCTCTGATCCCTTGAGAACTGTGTTGTTCTCTCATTGATGGTCGAGGTCTTGCGTAGTCAGAGTCACCCGCTTTCTGCTGTGCTCTTTTGTTTTTGGCGAGGAAGAGGGGATAAGGAGACACATTTTGGCTCGATACGATCACGTTTGATATTGGAGAAAAGCGAGGATACAGTTGATTCTAGATGTCTTATTCATGGTAGGCACGGAATTGAACCCTTATATACCTTCCTGATGAGATTGTCTGTCTTAAAAATAGCTGAACGCCGTGTCACAGCCATGGTTATTCTACAGCAAGATCAAATCTCAGCCTCGTATTGAACTTGAACCTTAACCCAAAAAGCAATCACCTCGTACCGGCTAAGCTTTCGAAGCAATCTTGGCTTGGGCTGTGCCAGACGGTCAACGCTAAGGCTGCGGGGCTGGGGCCGCTTACGGCTGTTTGGGGCCAAACGATATCTCTGGGGCTGAATATGTTGTTTCAGCCTTTCGGATTCTTTTCTTAGGTTTTGAAATCGTCTAGGTGTTTGTCGATCAGGATACTCTGGCGGCACACGTGGCACGGTCTTTGGCGAGTGGGAGGCTGTGCAATTATATTTGCAACTGTCAGCAGTCGTGAAGCTTATTCCACATCGTTGCTATTCTTCAACGGTGTTGATTGGTGATAGGAGAGGAGAAGCTTCCGGACTGGGGCGAGTAATCTGCCTTGCTAATATAAGTGAAAGTGAAATCAATGCGACAATACTGTCGGAGACAGATCAAGCGGATAAGGTAGAGAGAGCATGTACGTGCACTTCCCTCAAACAAATACGACTTAGTTGTATCGCAGGATTAATTCTAGTATTGTACCTGGCAGTCGACATGCAGTGAGCAATATTGCACTGCCTGATTATTCAGATGCGCGAAGGAATTACGAGTATGAAATCGTGGAGACAGCCATACCCAAGCAATAGATCATCACTATGCATTATATCAACAGAGCAAGAAAAGCAAGACAGATGCAACTGACTATAAGACACATTGAAGAAGGCCAATACCGCCCGACACAAGGATGGCATCCAAGCCCGACAGCGGCGTTGTGCTCCCTAGGAAAGATCAGCATTGGGAGAACGGCAGAAATCGCACCAACATACCTAGACTCGGCACGGTTCCATCTGAATTGACCTGACTCAAACAGAGCTGGGTATATGAACCCAGGACGGTTTGCAACTGAGACGCTGCATCAGGGCATAGCACCGATGCACAGTCCGCAATGGACGGCGCATACCCGTCACTCGAGGTAAAGCTGCCTGATTGGCAGATGCAGTTTATGTCGGATGGTTTGGTGCTGCTGCTGGCACCCTTGCCGCATTTGGCTTGAGCAATATTCGTAAAGAAGGTGTTGAAGCAGGGTTGCATGCATGAGGGAAGACTGTTGACCCATTTGTTGTAGGAGATGGATGAGCCAGCCAGGACGGTAGCGCTGAATGTGAGGAAAAGGAGGAAGAAGATGGATCGCATGCTGACAGTGAGTGTGAGATGGTGAAGGGAAAATAATCCTATACTGATGAGAATGAAAGATTTGTAGGTATGTTCGGCCAGTGATTGTTTGAGGCGCGATGACTGACGATTGTCATCATCACACTGACACAAAACACAGAGTTTGTTTCCCCCTGAGCCACCTGATCCAAGAAGAGGGCGGACCCTGAGCCACGGCCCAGAATGGATGCTGTTGATTGGCGGGTTCATCAGCCAAGACGGGTAACAATTATTGGTCTGTGGTTATTGGATAATGGATCTGGAGGGCTTTTAGATCCAAGCGAGGGAGGTTCTTTAATGACGAAATCAGCCAGAGATCAGAATGTGGGGGAAAACGACTGTCGATTCAAGGTACAAATAATTGATTTTGTTAAAAAGGTTCTGCCGCCCTAACTCAGTAATGTCTGGTTGTCTGTGTTTTTGAAGATGACAGAAAAGTCAACTTTCCGACATGCTACATATATATATATATCCTAAGCTGGTTGGATACTGTTGAGGCTCCCAAGGATTGATGCTGTTTTCTTCCCCGTGGATGAAGTAGGCGAAGAGAAGCACTTTAAAACAGGTGCATCATAATTATCCAAACTGCTATTGCTAGCATTAGTACTCGAAGAGTTAACTGTGGGTGATGTGGTAGCCTCGGACGAAGATGAAGATGTCATTGAAAGTACTGAGGATGTGGCCCTAATGAGTTCCGATGGAAGATGATATAAACTGTTGCTTATCCTCTCACGTCGAGGTGCAAAATTCTTCCAATGCAATATCCTTGAGTAGTGAAGTTGTTTCGTTAGTACCGTACGTGACACTGGAAGTCAATTATTGGCTGTGAAGGGATAGTCTATTGTTTGACAAGGCAATAAACCGGTTGTCACGGAGTTTCTCCTCACTTGGTTACTCAAACTTATATCGGACAGGTCTCGACAACGTCTTTGTCCTTGTAACCGGTTACACCAGCTAATCAACAGGAAACCTGCTCTAGATGACGACTACTTCAACCGCTTGTGGATCCCAACTCCACAGCAACACATCATGCGATATAAAAAGAAAGATCGGCCCAGATCGGATGTCGATCGGTCTCCTCGTGGCCCCTGAGACTGTGAATGATATGACGGATCATATCAGCGACATTTATTAAATCCCATAAACAAAAACAAACGCAACTACTCTTCCTCCTCAGCTTCCATCACTCACATCGTGATGCATTATCGATGGGTATTCTCATCGCAAATACTGGCACTAACATGTCTTTCAGCTCAAGCAAGTCAGCTACAAAATAATGAACGTCAAGTCGAGCCTTGTGCTCAAGTCTCCGATTGGATTGCTCAGGCAAAGACGACCAAAGGTATCCCGGGAAATTTGGCCTATGGGTGTCTAACTTCGATGCCGTTCGATGCTAAGGACGCCGTCAAGTTTATCGACGAATATCGCAAGTATCTACAGTTCCAGTCGACGATCGAGAATTTGAAGAGTATGTGCGTGCTGTCATTACAGGCGGATATTACTGACTATGGCAGATCCCCCAGAGCAATATTTGATGCCATCGACAGACTTACTCGGTGGTTTGGACAATATCAGACAAAAGGCCCAGAGTCACGACTACTCTAGCCATTGGGATTTTGAATTAGATCTGCGACAACTCATCAATTCAGCACATGACGACCATCTGACTCTCCAGCTCTGCTCTACAGTGCTCTTTCGCTTCTCCAACTCACTTCCTCTTGTCTCTCTGTCTTCGGATGGCCTGGAGCTGCCGCAGGTATACACGCTCGGTGAGTTTCTCGCGGCGGCGAAGCGAAGCTAGCTGACTCGGTAGATGACGCTCAACTCTTGCTCCGAGGAGTCCAGTCCGTCTCGCCGGTAGTCTCTATAGACGGCCAGGACGCTGCTCAGTATCTTGAATCGTTTTCTTCCGAGGCTGCTCTACATGACCCGGATGCTCAGTAAGATCTACACTTCATTCAGTAGACGAACATCTAACAACTACCTAGGTATAACACAAACTTTCCGTCTCTAGCCAGTCAAACCGCTCTGGGAACGCCCCGCAACAACGGTCTATGGTCACGGAATTTAGGAGAAAAGTGGACTGGCGACCGGCTCACCCTCGCATTTGCCAACGGCTCCACCATTGAGAGCCAGAGAACAGCCGATCTCATACCACTGGAATTCCCGTACCGCAATGGCACCGCACTATTCAACGCCCGCTGCCGCAAAGAACCAATTCCAACGACGGCCGTTGCAGCATCCGACAGCGGGGCCTATCCCAACACAACCTGGTCTAGCTACGGCGGATTAATAGCGGGATATTTCTCAGAGGAAGAGGCACTACAGGACGTTGGCGTGCTTGCCGTCACCACCTTCTCGGTTGATTCCGCGACCCTGCAGCAGGTCACCGTGGACTTCCTGCGAAATGCCACAGAAGCTGGCAAGAAGAGGATAATCGTGGACCTGTCCGGCAACCCCGGGGGTAGCTTGACGGCCGGCGTGGACCTCTTTCATATCTTCTTTCCGGATGTGGTGCCATACACAGCGACTCGGCTACGGGCTCACCCCGGCGCAGAATTCCTGACAAAAGCGTTCTCCGGACTGGCGCAGTCGTCTCGAAAGCTGCAGTTCGAGCTCTGGGAGGGGAACCCGTTCTCATGGCAGGCCGCAGTGACGCCAAACCAGGATGGCAATTTCAAATCCCTGGAGAGCTGGTACGGACCGTATGAGATTGACGGGGCGCCATTGTCGAACCTCTATGCCAATTTCAACTTCTCCAGCATCTCCACGACGCACTCTCCAATCACCGGATACGGGCCGATTCCACTAGACCCGTCGCAACGATTATTTGTTCCGGAGGATATCGTCATTGTAAGTTTCTCTTGCCAAAGATAAGGCAATCACTAATAGAGTAGATCACGGATGGCAACTGTGTCTCGACATGTGCCTACTTTGTGGATCGAATGCAGCGACAAGGCGTTCGCACGGTCGCGTTTGGCGGAAGACCTCAGTATGGACCTATGCAGGCCATTGGCGGCACTCGTGGCGGCCAGAACCTGGCCTACGGTGGGATCTACTCTTATGTTGAAACTGCACACGGTTTGATCCGGGAGTCTCTACGGAATGGCTCGTCTCTGATGTCAATGCAAGAATGGGCGCAATTTAACCGATCGATCCCCATTGACCCGGACGAGTTCCCGTTCGTCTTCGGCGGAGGAGTCAACCTGCGTAACGAGTACGCGCCCGGAGACGACGAAACGCCGCAGCAGTTCACCTACAAGGCGGCGGATTGTCGGCGGTTCCACACAGCGGAGAGCTGGTTCTCGCAGGAAGCAGTGTGGCGAGCAGCAGCAGCGGCTTTGTTTGGAGGGAACAGCAGCTGTGTCCAAGGATCCATGTCCAATGCGAGGGCAGTAGTAGAATGCCGTAGATTAGTGTATATGTACTCCGTATGTCCAAGATAGAAATCATGACCTCCCATATGTCCGAATCCCAACCTCACATTTCCCTCCATGAATACCCTATAAACGACGCCACCTCCTCTGCGGCCGGTCTCCCCGACCGTAGCGAAATAAGGTACAAGGCCGCATCCATGCCGTTGGTGATGGTCCCGGACGTGACAATGCGCACCTGCGACGCGTTCATTCCTGCATCGACGTAGTGAACAGTGCCCGTTGCATTCTCCGGTACCACCTCCGTCCCTTTCGCCCCCGGTGTCCGACTCTTGTACTCGTCGCATAGATTGCGCAGGGGTCCGAGCCCCAATCGGTGTGATGTCGCCGTGAGACCATCTAGCACTCCTGCTGCCGCGAGAAGATACGACCCACTGCAAACTGAAAAAAGAACTCTCTCGCCCGGAGGCCCGGGACTTTTGGGGCCGAGTTTCGCAAAGGCAGATATCAACTCTAACAGTTCGTGGAGATGCCCATCTGCCGAGAGGAACGGGAGGATATGGTTCGGTCGCGCCCCAGGAACAATAAGCATATCAAACTCCGTTAGTCTGTCCTTGGCTTCGGCGATGGACAAATCCCGTTTGAAGGTTACATTTTCCTGGGAGGTGGTGAATTCGTCATGGGCGGCTATGAATGAGGAAAAGCCGCCCTGGAAGAGCACGCCGATCGGGCCGTTGGTGTCGAGAGTATTGACGGAGGGATAGACGAGGACGAGGGCGGTTGGCATAGTATAGTTGTGATTGAACCGTGCGAGACATGTGTCTGATGCGGAGAGTGGGTATGGAGGATGACACTTGCCGTTGCAGATCGAGAGACAATCGGCGCGGAGTCTCACGTGTTGTCGCGCTGTGTTCGTGTCGGGCGGAATCTCTCCGTGAACAATGCGCATCCAGTCTTACGGCAGGTGTGTCGTCTGTGTTTTTCAACAAGGCTTCAAATGGCGCTCCTGACGCTCCTAAATGTCATTCTCCAGATCGATACCTCTTAAATAAGGTGGAAATACCTTTCTGTCGAGAGGAATGCAACCTCAGAGATGAATGACGTCATGAATCTCGACGCGCCAAGGGAGAAGACGAGAAGAACTGTATATGACATTGACTCTGTGAGTTATTCTCATATACTGACTGTGACTGCTATCTACAGAGTAAATGACCCCGTCAAAGGGAGATCCCGACTCGACCGTCCAACATACAACCGATATGTCCCCCGCTGCAACAACCACTGTTGAGCCCCGACATCCCATGTACTCAGATCACGCCGATTCAAGGCGAATTGCACCTTTGCCGTCTCCCCTGCTGAGACATCGACCTTCTCAAATCCACGCAATTGCCGTACGGGGCCATTGGGGATGCCAACGTAGAGCTGTGCCACCTCGGCACCGGCGACACGTCCAGTGTTCTTGACCTGCACAGAAACTGTGACAATTTTATCCCAGAGATGAGGGTTTCCACCTTGCTGGATAGTGGCTGACGGAGGATATTGCGGAGATTTCTTAGGACTGCTTATCCGCAGTCCGGAATACTCAAAGCTCGTGTACGACAACCCAAAGCCGAACTCGAACTGTGGGGTGACGTTGGCCTTGTCAAAGGCGCGGTAGTCAATGTACACCCCTTCGTCAAAGTCCGACTGCGGGAACAGTCCATATGGGGTCTCTGGCAGGGACGGATGCAACAGACTACCGTAGTCGTCGGCCTTCTTAGCCACCGTGTACGGCAGCTTTCCGGACGGATTGGCCCGGCCGTAGAACAACTCTACCAATGCCCTTCCACTGTCCTGACCTGGTAGATGAGCGAAGATGACAGCAGTCACATTCTCATGGTTAATCCACTCGCCGACCACCCGGATCCCGGCGTTGTGGATGGTGACAATAGTGTTGCCGCATTTCCCAGCAACGTTCTTCACCAGGGTATCGCTCGAGTTGTCGGCAAGTCCAGGACGGTCCCACCCTTCTGTGGCGTAGGAGTTGATGAAGACCAGACACGCATCAGAGGTTGGATCAACGTCGGGATCCTCTGATGAAAGGTCGTACAACACGGACGTGCCGTCTTCGTAGGCCTGGCGCTGGATGGCATCCATCGGAGCGTCGACATACGCAGCGTTATTTGCCCCAGAACCGCCTGCAACCCACAGGGTGTGATTTTCCTGAATGGCAGGGCTGTATGACAACCAGTTGAAGTTTTGCTTCAGGCCATCCGGTCCCTTAGCATCGTATCCGAATACCGAGAGCAGTTGAGGTGACTTGAGTGGCAGGGCGCTGTTGGTGTTCTTGACGAGGACATGGCCCTCAATAGCACCGTGGAGTAATGTCTGCTTGGACGACGCTTCCCTTCCTATTACCCGCTGATGAGGTGCATACATGTCCGTCGGCATGCCGACGCCAAGAGACGGAAAGTCAGAGTCCTGGTTCATCTGATACCACGAAGCGATGATCCTGTCTTTGTCAGTTTCGAGGTTGCGGTTCAGCGGGGCCAGACTACCTTATGGCCATGTCATCCAATCTCGATGCGTCCATCGTTCCGTTGGAAATAGCGGTCGTGAGATTGGCCCCCATGTTTCAGTGCTTGGCATCACCATGTCCAGTCCAGCGTTCGCACCCGCGATTCCGGCATGTTGAGCGCCCCAATCGGTCATTACATATCCTAATCGATCAGCCTGGACCTGCAAATGGAACAAAGACGACGTACCTTGGAATCCGAGCTCGGTCTTCAAGAGACCATTGAGAGTCTTGCTGTTTTGACAGCCGTAGGAGTTGTTGACGCGGTTGTATGAGCACATGATGGAAGCACTGCCGGCCAAGACGGCATCTTGGAAAGGCCAGAGGTACAGCTCGTGCATGGTCTTGTCATCGATGTTGGAAGAGACTGCCGCGATATCCACGCCGTCCTCCGTTCCCGGGTTTCGATTTGTCTCTTGTTCATTCAAGATGTAATGCTGTATGCAAAGCGAAGAGTTTATTGGCTGAACCAAGAATTCGTTCGAGGTGACTGACCTTGGTGCAAGCCGCAACCCCAACCGACTGCGCTCCATCGACGGTCTCGTAGACCAAGGCACCGCTCAAGTACGGATCATTTGAGAAACCCTCCCAGTTGCGTCCGCCTTCAGCCACACGACCCAGGGGACCGACGACGGGTCCAAGTATGACATTGACACCTTTCTTGCGGAACTCTTTGGCCATATGGATGGCCCTTTGCTTAGCTAGAGCTTTGTTCCAGCTGCGGACGGTCAGTATTAGTCATGCGGTCGACTGAGGATCAACCATACCTGGCACCAACATGTAGTCCGCTTGGCCAGCTGCTCACGTAGTCGGTTCCCCTCTACAGAGATTAGTTATTTCCAGCACTTGCTGCATGCTGTGCACGTACAAGGCCATTGCCAGCGTCAGATACACACAGCCCGGGAAAATTCAGTCGCGGAATAGCCGCAATGTTGCCAGAACAGCCATTATTGGCGTCAGTCCCAGCAGTAAGGTTGACTTTCTCCTCTGGGGTGAGCTGGGCAACAAAGTTCTTTGCCTTTGCATAAGCGGCGGCCCAGGAGCCAGTCCCGCTTCCCTCAGCTATTTCGTAGATTAATGGTTGTGTCTATGCAAGGGAGAGGGACATACGCAATGGATATATAGGAGGCGACTGTCCATAAAAGTAAGTGTCACTGGTGATATTCTGATCTGCTGGAGCAGACAAGCACACAGACGCAGTGGCCAAGAGTCCTGCAAGTCCTGCGAGTCCTAGATTTGAGTGCATCTCGATTTTGCCTTGTTGCCTGGTACTGGTGAAAGTGGCGAGTAAATTTGCCCCTCTTTATAGTTGTGCATTCTCCCATTCTACCCCTCACATCGACTCAGTCAGGTATGTAACACAACCGTGCCACTCCACAAACCGATTCTCAAGCCTTGCATGGCTCGGGCTATTACCGGCGGAATTTAAGATCGCGGGAACGAGCTTGATGACGCTTGGCAGCCGTCTTGACTTGTTGGCAATGAGCTTCGGTGGAGTGAATCTGTGGTTTCATCGAAATATTTTGACGCTATGCGTTGTCAAATTATCCGCAGCAACACGTGCCCTATTCTGAACTTTGACATTCTTTATCAATCATGGAAATCAGAGGAAGAAACCGACTGAGACTCTCGCCCGAGTCCTGATGTTCTCGATAACATCTCCACCTTCCGATCCTTGTCGCCTTCCCCACAAACCCCAGATCTCCACACCTCCCCAAAGTGGCAAATAACCGGCATTCGGCATCAAGAACTCCAATAGCAACATACGATCGACAGACCATTTCCTTGCTTCTCTTAGTTTGGGCTGATGGATCACACCTTGCATTGACCGACGGAACAATGCCACCCGAGATTGACTGCCAGTGTACACTGCTGGCGAAGCACATTCGATGAACCTAGCGCATCGATGCAACCTCCCGGTAAAGCTTCGGCCAAGGGCTTACTTTAAGTGGCCATCCGCAGGATTCAATAGTTGCTGTATGTCTCTGGCTGCGGTGATATAGGTCAAAGCGAAGCATGCTGGTGACCAAGAGCAGTCTGCATAAGACTACCCCTCCTGGGGAAAATAGACTCGTCTTGATATCGCTAATCACACATTCGGAGGCAATGACTCGCTCGTGGTGCCGCGAGTGATTAGCCTAAACTTATCGGCACAATAACCGAAGAATTGGGCATGACCGTTCTCGCCAAAGCAGAGGGCAGCAGCTCACGGATACGTCAGCGACAAAGACAGACGCACGCTATCTTGGCAGAATTGCAGCTTTCAGTAATGTATCGGAGAACTTGCGATAAAGCCTCTACCGAGACTGATTCGAATGTCCTTTTTCCCCGCATGCTTCTAGTCCGGGTATCCTGTAGTCAACGGGTTTAGCGAATATCCACCTGCATTCTGGGGAACTTCTTCTCTAGCGCCTGGACGGGATCCTTGAAGGTGCAGACCTGGGTGCCGCGAGATCGATGAATGAAGTGTATCCTGCGCTGGATTGATGTGGAGTTGGTGATGGCGTGGAGGATGGATACCAGGGGAGTGACACCGACACCGGCCGACAAGAGAATAACTGCATGGGAGACTTCAAAAGTGGCCTTGACAATCTCAATCTGCTTGAGACTGAGAGGACAGCAGATGGGACGGCTTCCTTGAGGGAGAGTTGCTGCTGTCGAGCATTGAATGCTCTGTAGATGAAGTAGGCACCGATCGCGGCGACTGTGACTTCAGGGATGATTGCGACATGACGGTCCATAAAGCGATATGAAGCTGGTGCAGAGGAGATAGGTATGTCAAAAAAAAGAAGCCACAGCGATGAAGGGGGATGGCGCGACGATTCGACGAGAACGACTCGTCAAACTGACTATTTTCTTTTTACATTTTTTTTTAATCCACGAGGTCGATAATGAAGCCAACCGTGTACGGGTTATTGTGAGGTTTTCCAGGCAGTCAGTAGCATTTGACAGTTGGAAATGGTCAACATGGCAGGATGATGTGTTAGACATTGTCATTGGCCAAATTCTTAACAGACACCGGCTGCTACCCCAGTGTAGACACCTAGGCTTATGCGTATCCTGCACGGAACAATGATCCACTGGATTCCAATTGATCAATCAGATTAACAGTATTGATATCAAGCAAAAGCTACTGCTTGAAGTCGTCGTCTTATTGTATTTTGACGTCGCGGTAGTTGTCCGCCATATGTACGTTAAAGTGCAGACCCAGAAGAACGGGGCGATCATGTTTCGGGCTCATCCGGGGTCAGATCGGGCAATCTTGATCCTATTCTAAGAGATCAGGTTCTACGGAGTCGAAAATAATAGCACAAACTTAGGGCTGGGGACTTAAACCGAGGCGTCGGACGAGTGGAAAAAAGTGGATGTTCCGGCTCAGGCATCCAGTACTTGATTTGAGATGGCCAATCAGAGTTCACATAAGATATAAACGCCCGATTTCTCAGGCAGAAAGGCAGCAATGGACAGCGCCTGCGCCGAAGGCTTTATCGTTACCCAAAGGGGAACAATAGTCATAATCATATTTATACAAAATTCGGAGGGATTCCGCTGTAAGATAGTCTAAAAAACGCTGTCTGACAGTCGCTAACTTTCGGTACTGCTGTTGTCTCCAACACTGCTCTCATACTGCTCTGGATATCTCAAGCGATCCCTCAATACCTCCAGAATACCCTTCTCCTCGAGCCCCAGAGTAAACCCATCGGGAATGACCACCTGATCCGGCGTGATGACAATCGAATTCTCCCGCAGTAACCCAACCGCACGACTTAACCGTCGTTCGCGACTCTGCTGGGGAACCTCCGACGTCTTCTCGATATCCGGTGGTCCCCTCTTCCGGCCTACGTCCCGAGGCGTCCACCAGAACATAGGAAACTGACGCTGGATATTATTGACCACCAACGCGCAGCCCAGCATCAGCAACGACCCGATGAGAACCAGCGGGACGAAGAACCAGCCCATCGCGTCGACGGTGGGATCCACCGCCGCCAGCAGCGCCGTGGCTCCCCCTGGCGGATGCACGGTGTTTGTGAGCCCCATCACCAACGACGCCAGAGCGGTGCAGACTGCCCCGGCGACCCAGCGGAGATCCTCAAAGTCTGACCGCAGTTTGAAGAGCTTGGTGACTCCGACCCCGACTACGGCCCCGAGTACATGTCCCAGGATGGAACTGCGCGGTTGAGCCAGCGGGGATTGGATCGTTTGGTAGTCCAGGATGGCCGTTGCGCCCTAGAATGTCAGCACTTGTCGAGGATACTGGCAGCAGAAAACATACTAGACTAGCGACGATGAGCGGAGGATGATGCGCTTGGATAGTCTCGGAAGACTTGAAGACACCCATTACCAGAATTAATCCGCTAAACGCGCCGACAAATGCCCATGCGCAGACTAGCAGATTGCCTACTTCCGGTTGCGGGACACGTCTGTACCCTAGGAACCGCGCGATTGGCCATGGTAAGCGATGAAGCTGGGATTGGGGAAGATATCGATTGATGTATCGATCAAGGTCGAAATCAATCTCTTGAGCGCGGGGGAGCTTCATTCTATGGATCATTCATTGTGATGAGACTCGGCAAGCATATTGTAGTTCGATATTCACTCAATGGCGAGGGAAAGAGGTCATGAAAATGATATATGGAAGAGCGCAGACATTAAATCAAGAAGAACATAATTAAAATTGTGTGGAGATGCTATACCGATTCAAGTTTTTCCCTCAAGATCCTTGACAAATTCTGTTTAATCCACGGTGGAGTGCAATTATGTCATAACTTGGGCATAGTTTGCGAGAAAGGAAAATTAGCTCGCGGAAGAGAACAGCCGATTTCTCCACCTAGAGAGGTAGTTGCAGTGATCCGCCAGCAGAAATCAAACAAAAACAATAAAAGAAAGCCAAGAAAGCTAAGCTTTGTGCCTTGCTACTATATCCTGCTTGTAAAGCAAGGACCTGGGAATTCCCTGTTAGTTACTGTGTTGGGTATGGTCTCCCAATACGCCATTTTGTAAACACTGAAACTTAATCCAGGATCATCTTAGAAGGTGGTCTAGACCTTAGCATGGCATGGAACGAATGGGTGTACTAAAGATTTAGGGCATAATCTACAGCCATATATCATCCACGATGGAGATATTATGTATAAATACCACTTTCGAGTCAAATCGAAGTATATACTTAATAAACATATCTTCTACTTCTAATTCACTCCTCAATTACTTATGGCCATCAAAGAGTACTACCATGGTTTTCTGCTTCTCCCGGCTTCTATTTCTCTCCTCCATCTCTCCTCCATCTCTCCCACAGTCCCTCTGTCAATTCTTATTCTCCTACTCCTCTGATCACTTCTCTGCTATGGATTCTGACTCTGACTGACACACCTCCTGTCCCTACGAGATGACGTCATTAATGTCAAGCTGGGAAAGCAGGACGAGATCTTCGACGGTCAACTATACAGGTCAGGATCGAGGGCCCTGAGAAAGACCCCTATGCATCTATTTCGGCCAGAGCCGAAATCAGTGAGTGCCACTACCCTAATTCCCCCGTAGATGCCCCCTGTCCCTGGTGTTCGCAGCTCGTGTACTTCATTTGCTTGTAATATGAGTGAATTTCTGAAATTATTGCATTTGATAAGTATCACGGAAAGTCAGTGTGACAAATTTCCTGGCTCATTAAGTGACACTCTACGTCACCAGTACCACCAGGTTGCTGATACCCGTCTGCTGCCTAAGTTCATCTGACTCATCTATCCATCTGATTATCACAAATCACCGCACGCCTTGTCAAATGGCCATTACAAGTCCCAGAGAGATCGAAGAAGCGCTTATTGTGAACCCCCATACGCCCGAACCAGAGAAGTCACCTGGAATTAGTAAGAGAAAAGGCACACCATCATCGGAGTTGTCGTCCTCTAGCAAAAGCTTCATTTTATCTCCCCATGGGGCTTTCTCTTCAGAGAGGACGGCCCTCTGTCTGGGTGACTCACCCCTCTTCGTGCCATCGATGCGTCTTTTCCCATCAGGCGAAACTGTAAGTGTTCATCAAGTTTAGCTTTAAACCATCTATTTACGTGTTTTAGACAAGATCATGTGATCTCGGCTTCACCGGGTCTTGCTGTCAAGAAGATATTATGCTAATCCCGATTCAAGACGCTGCATGAATTTCAACTTTTCACCATGTTGAGGGCTAGCATTCACAGATTCAGCGACTTTCTGATTCTAAAAGAGGTATTAGATACAGGAAGATATAGAGTATTCTGAGGAACCCTTTCCCAGACATCTCATAGGGACATAGGTGTCCCGTTCCTCTGGAGGTAGGAATGGTCCTTCGATACGGCCGTCTGCCTCGCCGAGCCACCAGCCAGAGAAGAGACCCTACTGAGGTTAATTATCTGCAGTAAGGGAATTGAGGGCCATAATACTAACCATTATAAACACCATGCACTTTGTGACGATCACTGTAGCTTCTGAGAATGATTTTTGACTGCCGAAAGATACACTCACTTGGGGATAGCTCTTGGAAGAAAAGACGACCCTGAGGCCTAAGAATCGTCTGTACATGGCTGAGGGTATCAGGCAAAATGGGAGTTGCCTAAAATGACCTGAGCTAATATCAGAGAGTGTGGTAGGGATGTCGACTCATAGTGTAACCAACATTCGAGGCAATGACAAGATCAAACTTCCTCGGCGTTGAAGTCCTGCTGTTCCAGTGGATTTTCTTGAATATCAAGCATCTTGTATTCGATTGCATCATATTGCTTGAATCTTTATTTGGTATTCTCTGCGCTAACACAGACTGAATGATTCGATTTGGTAACTGGAAAAAGGCGCGTTGATGCAGTGCAATAAGCTGGAGAGCATCATGTAGATGGTGTTGATAGCGATAAGCAAAACAGTACTGCTTCTGGATAAACTAGCCCCGCCCGCTTCCGGCCCCACCCCGGCCCGACTTTCCTTTCTCGCTGGGGTCCGAGGCGCCGGGGGTGCCTGAGTGGTAATTTGGCCGTCACTCTTAACGATGATGTACCCTTCCCATCCATGATGCTCATCCCCCTTTGTTAATAGCCTACTCGCTTCTCTTCTTCTGCCTCATCTCGTTTTCGCTATACACCCTTGTTTAGCCGTCATGGTGTTTCCGCTATTATCCGCAGTTTCCTCCTCCCTGGAGGCAAAGGACGTCGACTCGGTGGTGTCTCTCAGAAGGACCGAGCCAGATGTTGCATCTCGAACCTCGCAGGTCAAGGTAGCGGGTGACCGTTATGCGCACCTGCCATTCGAAATTCCGGGTGCTGTAGTGTTATCTGCCCCCTCTCTTTTTGTCCTTCGAGAGACTGCGAATGATGTCTATCGTCGAATCAACTCCGACACCTCTTACTCGAACCAGTTTATCATCGTGTCAAATGTATCCCAACCTCTGCAGGAACTATTAGCTGGAGATCGAAACCCCCTTGAGGTTCCCTACAGGTTGACGCTCGACACACAGCACCAGCAAGTCGTTATTCGAATAATGCCCTCAAAAGCTCACGAGCGCGTAACGGGGTCATTTTCAAATAAACTTGTCCTGAAATTATTCGAAATGGGAATCCGTCCAGACGATGATTACACTATGAACAGGGCCTCCCGGTACAGTGGAAGAACATGCGACAAAGAAGCTGACGAGTCTCTCACTCCGTCAAGGAATCCTTCCGAAGATGACGACTGGCCTTCGCTCGTCATTGAAACTGGTCTTTCTGAATCAGAAGCACAACTACGAACTGATGCACACTGGTGGTTCTCAAATTCTGGCTATCAAGTCAATACGGTCATACTCGTTCATATCAAGAGATCCCCCGAGCGCAGAGTCACCTTGAAAGTCTACAAGCTCAGGCCTATCACCCCCAGAACCACCCGTGGACTACAGGCAGAGGTCGATAGCTCTCTGCTATCTAATCGTACGACTCCTCAAACAGACTCCCCAACAGTGCTGCAACCCCACTTAGCGGACGAAGAGATTACTGTTACCTCGATGAGTGTTGAGAATGCTCCACTGGTGCTAGAGTTCGAATCCGTCATGCGCCGCCCGCCCACCCCTAACACAATGGAAAGAGATATAACGTTCACAGCTGAGGATCTTGCTGCGTGCTGCAGCTACGCCCTTCAAACAGCTTGAGCATGTCATATCCATAAGACATGCTAAGAATGCTTCACTTGAGGACCTTGCTTTGTGCTGCTGCAGAAACCTGAACGTTATTGCTACATAGTATGAATTCAAAGCTTACTTTTTTTACATGTATCCACATAGTAGTTTACAAGCACCTAGGCAGGCATCAAAGGGGAAAGCAAGATAGCCGGCACTCGCTGATTTCGGCCCCGGCCGGGACAGATCTACGAGGGAATTAGGGTAGTGGCACTCAGTGATTTCGGCCCTGGCCGAAATAGATGCATCGGGGTCTTTCAGGGCCCTCGATTCTGACCTGTATAGTTGACCGTCGAAGATCTCGTCCTGCTTTCCCAGCTTGACATTAATGACGTCGTCTCGTAGGGACAGGAGGTGTGTCAGACAGAGTCAGAAAAACGGGGTCATCTACGAGGGAATCTACAAGGCAATCTACGGGAGGTTCGGTCTCTTGGCCTGTATTGCCTTTTCAGATTTCATCCTATTGCTACTCAGTCTGCTGTGGCCTCCTGGTTTATCTTGCTCTATAACTGAAGCTGCTGAGAATTTGAATTTGAATTCATGTTCGGCAACATATTGCTAGGGACAGTACATCGAATTGAGTGTATGGAATGAAAGTCATATTAAAAACCAAGGATTTAAGAATTGAAACTATCTAAGGCGCCAGCGCCATCTTCCCACAACTACCATTGGTTAGTATGGAAAAGGCTTTTCCAGCTCAGCCAAAGGGTATGTACTTTCAGCATGAATCCAACTGTCTCCCAAGTCTTGCCTAAGCTGACTGTGTCTCCCAGAACCACACCTATAAGTTTTGCCTTGCGCCTTATCTCTAAGAGGCTGGTGATTGCCGTTGGCTGCCAAGATTTCTGCATGCTTTGTTGTCGGAGAGGTTGATCGCATCTGGTGTTGCGGCATCTGGGCCCAGTTCAACATACTTTAGTGCCTCTATAATATGTCTAAACTTCTAATATGTCTTATTTGGATTGAACTCATCAAACTTCTTCTCCAGGAAAACCGTTTCTCTTGGGTGTAACATTTCAGCCTTCCAACGCAGTGCTGTAAGACATGGTTTCTCTCTTTAGTGAGCTGTACTTTGTCCTAGAGTTGCATTCAGTCTAAGTTTGGTGTTGGTGTAATGGCCCGAGACATACATTGTGCATCCAGAGAATGTGGTCAACTTCTATCTTCCACCACGATCATGCTTAAAAAGGCTTTCGCAGACTTCCCTGCTCTTCAGAGGCTAGGTTTGGAGTGTAACAACCAATTTATGCAAGCCCCTTTACCACCTAACCTGCGTTCGATAGCAATCCGGCACTGCAGCTCATTTAAATCCGCAGATGTGCTGCTCTACTTAGCTAGCCATCCGGTAGTGGAAGCGATCCAATTCAATGAGGTTGATGGGGTGCTGCAACGTTCTTTTAACACTCGCAAGCGTAAACACATCTGCTTTGCGGCAGTGAACCAGTATAAGCCTCTTTTCCAAAGTTGAACTAGTTCTCATTGCGAAAGTCAAAAGGTGAGTGAGATTTGTACACATAGAGCAGTGCTCTGCGTAAGATGACAGAACAGTAATGACGCTGCTCTTTTTCATCTGTAGGATGGAACAAAAGACCCTTTTCTAATGGTGCATGGGATATGTAACTACTGTCCTTCCGATTGAGACAGAGGACGTGCTCTCACAGTCCGAGAGGAGTTAACAACTATCTATTCCTAGCTAGCAGAGACAGTCACCCTTCAGTCCTCTCAAATGCAGTGCTCTCGACTTCAGAGTTCCTTCCCCATTGACTGTGTTTCTCTCAAACGTCTCTCGTTCCGTGCGTCAGGCTGATCACCTTCTTCACTGCGCCGGCAGTTTCCAGTGTGGGCATCAAAAGCAGCCACATATTGCCACAGATCAAATTACAGAGTATAGTGCTCAATATCTATGCAGGCAAGGACAAGTTGTAGTGATCTAATTACACTTAAAACACCATTTAGATTCAAAGCGCCACCATTACTAAAGAAGTAGTCCTTGTTGGTAATAGTATTCATGAAAGCAGTGATCTGTTGGCTGAAATATTGGTCTGAAATATCAAACTTATAGTACTCTCGTGTTTTGAATAGATCACAGCAGGGGAAGTTTCTCTGCATTTAGACCATTCAGGAAGCATTTCGTCAAATTAATAATAATAAGATATCAAGGGTGGTCTGGTCTAACGGAGCTATATAGCTGCTATCTTTAAATCCAGGGGCCAAGGGGGGAAGAGGAATATAGGTTGATGTCTGGTTTAGCAGAGCTATACAGCTGGTGGCTTTAAGCCCAGGGCCTAAGAAGAAAGAGGAATAACAGCTAAAGCCATTTGCATGTCAGTTTCAATAACTATAAGAGTGTCTCTGTTAGGTGTTCTAGGCAGATGAGGCTCATAGTCCACAGGGGAGCAGTGAGCACTAGATGAATCTTTTGTCTACCAGGGATATATTACCACTGGAAAAAGGCTCCAGCCAAAAAAGGCAAATACCATGTCCTGTAATATTGTGAATGATGTTAAGTTTTCCCCGTCCAGCTGATCTAGACTATATATATAAGGGATATATATCAACTCCTGATCTTTAAGATATGGTTTCAGAGACAGTAATCCGCACTGCTTGACCTTTCTGAAGCTGTTAGTGGTGGTGGGTGGGATTATAACTATAATTATAGTTCTCAGTTTAGGAATTTTAATTAGCTGGATGATTTTTCTCACAGCCCTTTGCTCCCATTAGGAGGAGTATTTATAGTGAGTCTGTTGAAGTTAGGCAAGTAGGTATACTCTAGCATTAGGTTTCACCAGGGACTGTGCGCAGAGTGAATCAATCTAAGCAGAATTTAAATCCCAGCTGCCTGGCTAGTACACCAAGTTTATGGCTTGATTCTATCTGCACGGGAGAACGGTATCCTACTGAACAGTGAGATCATGGGCATCATTGACGAGAAGCGATTACCACCGAAGCTGTATAAGGATGCAGCGGTAAAGGTTATTCACTGGGAGAACCAGTGGGTGGCTTATGACGATGAAGAAACGCTAGAGATAAAGGCACAGTTTGCCTTGGGCCAGGATCTCGGCGGCCTCATGACATGCCCGATGGGCGCTTCTCGGACTCCTTCTATCAGCGCACTGTGAATCGGCACGGGATGACATCGAAAAGAAGGAGCAACAGCAGCGAACATATTCAGGTCAAGAAGACAATCGACCAGTGCAAATGGACCAACTGCGGCCAGATGTGCCCAACCGGCTACCAAGCCGTCCTCCGTACTGACAAGAACCGCCACAACAAGGAGGAGCTCATGCTCGATACAACTACATGTGATGGCAACCTGCACACACTATGCTATTCTGAAGCATTAATGCTGACCTGCGGCTGGTACACGCATTTAAACAGCTGCTGCGACTACACTTGCCCAGAGGGGCATGGTAGAGGTTGGTAGCACACAGGGCGGCTGCCACAAGGGATATCAAGCAGCTTGCTGCACTGTCAAGGCGACAAACAGTATGGATGCGTGGAATAGCTGCGTCTGGGCTGGGGAGCCGGACGAATGCAAGGCAAGCTGTCCCATTCTCCAGAATTTCCCCCAGGTGTTTTCCAACTCCGGCAGCGGCGCCGTCAAGTGCAATAAAGGATGAACTCCGTCCCTACTGCTGCTTCGATGACGAAGATAATAAGTGGACAGACGGCGAATGGCATAAGTTTGACGGGCTTTTTGTGCAAAGCGCGGACAAGCCCGACCGATGCTCATCGGACTGCCCTAGCGACATGTAGCGGCTCGCAATGCAGAAGGTGGGTGTTTGTAAGAACAAGCCCGGCGCTATGTCCTGGTGCGCATGCAATGGCGCTACGATACTGAATGGCAAGAGCGGCAAAATGCGACCTCTGAAGCAATACTTTCAGAGTCCAACGTGTCCTAACTATCAGTCCGGTGGCCTGCCAGCCCGAGCTGAGACTAACAACGCCAAAGCGCGCGAGAAGACGCAGAAGGTACTCCTCGCCATCCTGAGTGCGGCTTATTACAACAGCGACTTGATCACCAACTGTATTCGTTGGCTGAACGATGCGGTCAAGGACATCTATCCAAACCTGCAGTTTCCTGGCCTTAAAAGTGAACTAGAAGCCCGAACCGAAAACATATACGAGGACTCGCTTGATCAGCTAGCGGATGATATCCTGTGCTATCCTGAAAGCTACAATGACCTGGCCAACTCCAGTCCTATCCTCAGCTGCACCTTAGTCGATGAATGCAATGACGGGGAGAGTGATTGCTCCAATGAGGAATGGGACGAGAGACGCGATGAGTTTTCTTCCTTGGAAAAGCGAGGACCCTCGCGATCCTACTGCTTTATCTACAATAACCAAATTGGCGGTTGCAGGACAAAAAAACCATCAGATCTTCTCAATACGACTCGATCAATGAAGTGCCCGCTCGCAGCGATATTCGACTGCGTGGAATTGTCTATCGCAATCGTACGGACTGCGCCAACAGTGACTTGAGAGTCGTCTACATCGCTCACGATTCCTACAACGGCCGTCGGGTACAAGGTAAGTGACTAGTCATACTACTTCTTCCCGCCTAAATGGATCTGCCGTCGGAAATGTTTACCGAGGGCCTATTCCTGTTCCGATATCAGCTATGGTCGACTGGACCATAATACGCCGACTGCGTTTACTCCTGTTCCTGCTGGTTTTGTGGCCGATGCCTGGATGAACCAACCAAACGTAGATGTCGCGATTTGGGGGCCGCCCATTGGCGAATGTGACAGGAGCATCCCGTCGCAAAGGATCTTCGAAGGCTACGGCAGTAGAGACAACGCGGATTGCTTCTTTCTTCTGGACCTATACTTGAACCCATAAGACATCCTGCCACGTCAGCAATCATCATATGATAGACTTGGTCTTCACCGGCAAATTCGTGACCCCTAAACTTGCTCACTGCTCAGTGGGCGATGGGCAGACCGTCAACCAATGTCTTCCAGAGCAACTCGAGAAGAAAGCAACTGTGGTTCATCTTGCTCTGCTAGCTGCAGGTAACTGCAAGCCACGTGGTAGGTTGCTGTTGTCTAACTGACAGTCCTCCCACACGCAGAGTGTTGGACAGTGTTTCCCAGTTTGTGGCAGTGTTGTGCCTGGTGTGGATTGAGACGGTGTTTCGACTTTCAATGACCGGGAGAAGGCTGTGGAAGGAATGATGGATCCAGTAAAGACTACAGGTTGGATACAGCGTATAGCCCTTCTGTGTTGATCGTCTTGATCCCGTACTTCCGCTTCCTTCAGGAAGAGAGCTTTCTAGTTAGGTATATAGTTGCCAAACGTAGGGGCCCTCAGTTAAAACAGAGATGGTGCGTCATCAAGCTCAGCATGACCTGCGGCCACTGGCAGCAAGGCACATCATACTCACATTAGTGCCATTATTAGCTGGGCTCATAGTCATCACTAGTCTGGAGGGAGACCAACCAGGTACTAGCTAAACAGGGGGCCAAAAAAAGGGACTAAGTGGCTTCAAAGCCACAAGTATTCCCAGGACAGAGTAGACCCCAGGAGGGACCTTATCCGGAAATCTCCTTATCCTGGAATTACCTAAACACGGGCATTGCATTCCCAGCTTTGGCTGATTCCTGGAACAACACACCTGGGAATAAATGATCCTGGGATTATATAATCCTCAGTACTATACTCTGACGCTCGCCTTTCCCCCCAAAACAGTAGACCTAGGAACAGCCACTGGGACATGATTCTTGGAGTCTAGATTCCCCGACCTTGATTTGAAATTTTCACCAGTTTGGCGAACCGGCAGTGGGTAGTATGTTGCCTTGTCTCTTCGCTAGTATGGACTGACATAATTAGGCTCTCATGTAACATACAAGCAGTGAGTCTAGTGTAGACCAGAACCTGGTTGGGTCGGATAGAAACGTGAAAATATGACTGAATTCCCTGAGTCGTATTCCAACACAGATATCAGCATTGCACAGCTCACTATACTCATATGCTTTCTTCATGAGGCCTATCTTGCGGCGCTTCCCTTTTTGCTGGGCAGATTTTCTGGGTGATAGTGTGGCCCGACACGGTCGCGCAGTATTGGGAGGCCCCTGTAGGCATGATAGGTAAAGCTCAGGCGGGCACTAGAGGAAGCGTTTCCCACCGCTTGAATTCATGGTAGCCTTAAAGATGGATTCGTTATTTAAGGTTGTAGGACGCTAGGAAATTGCTGACGTTGTTGCCAGCTCCTTGTGTGCAGTGACAGGAGTTGTAGGAATTGGAGGCCTACCAGAGGGCGAACGTCTTGATAGTTGCATGTCTTTGAATGACAGCCTTGCATTGCATCATCGAATGAAGCAAAGGGAATGTAGTGGCCAAGCCGCTGAACTTGCTCATCCCTTAGGGCCCTGGAGACGAAGCGATGGGCGAGCGATCGTTGATCATTGATGGCACTTAAGAGCGTATATTGATAGATATTGCGGGTGAATAAGGTCGAACGCTCATGCCTTTATCGCCTTCGACAGAAAAACGACTCCTCCATGTTTTATGTTCAGAAACTGAAGCACTCCGCAGGCAACCACACTTGAGCTGCATTATGTAGTTATGTGTGAATTATACGGGGTGACCCAACTACATCAGACAACCTCGCTCAGGGATCGTGACAACGTTCTACCAGTGGTCACGGATTATACCGGCCATGATCAGAACAACGTGGGGTCAAAGGGGACACAAAATCCGCGGGGGATCCTGGGCGCCACATTGATTGGAGAGGGCAACTTCACATCTTGGCGCATTCAGGGCAACGCAGGCGGCGAGAAGAACATTGACGCCGTCCTTGGCCTGATGAACGAGGGTGGACTGTATGGTGAGCGCATGGGCTGGCATCTGCCCGCGTACAAGGCCCCAAATCCGCGTCAAAGAGCAGCCCTTTAGACGGGGTGTCCGGAGCTGAGGGTTGTCTCTACCCGACCACGTTCAAATTGAAGCTCGATAAAGATCTGGATGTCCCCATCGGGCTCCAGCTGGGTGCCCTCGAAGGCGCACAGACGGTAGTCCAGGTCTTCATGAACGGATATCAGTTTGGCCATTACCTCACCTCTTTCCCTTCCCGCCAGGTGTGATCAACAACCGCGGAAGAACACGCTGGCGATCAGCATGTGGGCGTTGACTGATGCAGGAGCGAAGCTGGACAAGGTGGAGCTGGTGGCGTATGGAAAGTATCGCAGTGGGCTCGACTTCAATCAGGACTGGAGTTATCTGCAGCCGGGCTGGAAAGACCGAAGCTAGTATGCATGAAAGGCCGCTGTCAGAAAGCCGGCTGGTAGCTTCTGGGAATGGGATGCTGCAGTCGGGCCAGAGTCTTGGAGCACAGGAGTTGTAAATATTCGTGGGAGGATCTAGACTGTCATGAAGACAAAGATGTGGATTAAATCGTTTTGAACAATTTCCCTGGCTTTTCCCTCTCCACCGCCAGTTCGAGGGGAGAGCCATTCCATCATAGCTCTCAGAATTAGTGGCCGTAAAAGGCCTGGACTAACGACCAATAGGAAGACGATTATTGCTGTCGCTTGTGATGTGCTGAAATGGACAGTGTGTCGTGCCATAGTTTCTAAAGTGTTGCATTGTACGCACGCTAACAGTATTGGTTCAACAAAGTATTAGAGCGTCGAGCATACTCGCCAATAGTTCTAGGAGACGTGGCTACGAACGTAAGGGTTACCGCGTCCTGACGTGCTGCTTCGGTAATGGGCGCGGCGTGGCGAAGCTGGTTCCACGGTGCGTATAGCTAATGTTTGGTTGCGCCCAAACTGATGTCATAGGGCTGTCCAACGATAGGGTATATTAGCTCTATGGCTGTGGCTCGAAAATCCTACAACGATACGCTTCAACTATAGTGTCAACATGGACGAAGTTCACGATAAGCATGGACGAATCATTTCTCCCGGCGACCACGTCTTTACCAAAATCCGCGGAGGTCGGCATGAAGGAGAGGTATCAACCCCAGCATTATCCATGGCTGCAGTATCCCAAGAATGTGCTAACGGACAATAAAAGGTAGAAAAGATCGTCAAAACGGAGGAAGAAGCTGAACAGGAGGGAGTGAAACACCCACCCAAGGTTGGTCCTTTTCTGCTTTGTCACGATTGTGCTGATAATGTGAAAAGGTTGTGTTCCATGATCAACGTGGAAAAAGGGTAGCGCATAACCCAGGCACCTTGGAAAAGGTCGAGGACTGATATAGGCGGGAAACGGCTTCGTTTTCTTCAGTTTTCTTCAGCTTTCTTGTTCTTGATTTAATAGTGGAAGATTAGCTCAATACGAATCCTCATCCGGTCTGCGAATCGTACAGGGAAACTGCAAGACCAGCTTCGTCGCCTTACACTTCTTCTTATTCTGGGCATCTCACAAGAATAACACTGATGCATTTCAATCCCCTCAATCTAAAAATGCTCGAAATGCCATACTGGTACGCGTAGTGATAGATTTTCTTGGGAGAAACGACTAGCTCGAGCGTTTGTTATGGCCGCTTCGTTGCAGTCAGTCTCGCTGGATCTGTGTTGGGCAAGCCTTGGGTTTGATCGTGGCAGTCGTCTCCAAGTATATCACCCTCAGAAGTCCAATTAACCTGGCATGAAATTTTTCTTGCGCAGTATACGGGATAACCCGTTCGGAAGATACTGGACAATTGTAACCTAGCTCCAGCAAGTAGTAGCCGTCATTGCCCGCAGAGCGACAGCAGCCGTGTTCTCCGCCCATTTTGAGTCAACCACCTCCCGCTATGTTTGAGCCTACGCTGCTAGCCTACTCGTAAGACACCCTACAGTATAATCAAACTTCATTGACAATGTGCATTAGTCAGGTCTTTCTTGCGACCTCTACTCGTATTGGGTAGAAAAGTATGAACTGTGTCGTCCTAGTAACTTCGGTGAGCGAATACTCTGAGACGCCTTGCAGCAAAGGACGGACAGTTATATCCAACAGAGACCGTCTACAATGCCGGATTCTACGTGGTAGGGTGACAAAATATTCAAGGCAGTGCCAACGGTGCTACACAATGTGGTTGCCTAACGCCAAAACAGTTTTTACCGGCCCCTTGACCGGGCACACCGGTAATTTGGAGGAGAAGCATAACTAGAAGCACCATCGTATTGCAAACCCTTTATTTGCCCGGTTGTCCGCCGGTTTGCCGGGAGTAGCGTTCCTGGAGAGGTTGACTGGAGGTGCGTGGATTGCCTCAAGCCGACTACAATAGCAGTAAGTTTTCCTAGAATCTTTTACGTTTGCACAACTTGGGCTGCAGGCTCGTAGATGGAGAAGCTAAGTGCTTCGGGTCTCTGGGCGTGGTCAACGCTGTCATTTGGGGAAGCAAGCTCCATATATACTACCACCATAATGATATAATCATATACACTACAATAAAATATTAACTTTCTACAGGCATAGTAATAGTACTGTAGATAGTATCACAGTTAATGCAAGAGTAAAATTCAAAAACGATTAATATTTAATCACTTAACCAACATAACTCTGTTGGCATAATTATCTGAATAGCTGTTTTAAGCACTGCTACTACTGGGTTTCTTCGCGTTAACATTAGCCCATTTATTGCACAAGCTAAAGGGGACAGTGAGGCCGCAGGCCGCGATAGTAAGTGCGAAAACAACCTTGATACCCCATGCATACGCACGGACAACACCGTCCAGCTCGGCTCCGGAAAATAGCCGGTGCACATCAGTGGCACCGCTACCCGTGACCAGGGCGGGATTAACGCTCGGTACGGTGTTGGCAAGCTTGTGCAGGATCTGGTTGACGAAGCCGGATTGCGCGGCTGCGAGCAAAAGTGTGCCGCCGACAGATCGAGCGACTGCGCACGAGGGATATAATTAATTAGCTTGGGGATAAACAAGGGACAGAGAAATTAACGACATCCAAGGGCAAGGGCGAAGGAGAAATTACATATAATAATCGCGGTCGTAGGAGCTATGTCGCTTGGCGCAGCAAAAGCCTGCGCAACGACGACCGGGACTTGGAGGGCGAGGCCGTATCCGAAGCCGGCCAAGATCTGATACCCGACCCATTTGCCTGTCGAGGTCCCAATATCGAGAGTATACAGTAGACCAGAGGCGATGGTCACGATCACAGAGGCAGCTGCCATATAAGGAGTTGCAATACCCGTCTTCGTGATGGCTCTGCCTGAGCCATATGTGGCAATGCTAAACATGATGATGAGAGGAATGTTGCGCACACCCGAGCCAATCGGACTGACGTTGTCGATGCTTTGGAAATAAATCGGCAGGTAATAGAGCGTGACGAAATACGCGCCAGCGAAGAAGAAGCCCCATACGCTGCTGACCCACACGGTCCTTTTGCGCATAATGCGTGGTGTCAGCATGGCGCGTTCACCTTGCCATATTTCAGCAATTATAAGTGCAATAACTATGACAACGAAGCCGACGAGTAGACCGATAACGACGCTGGAATCCCACGCATGGGTTACACCACCGTACTGAAGAGCTAGAAGTAAGCAGGTCAGCGCACCCATTGTAAGCACCGTCGCGATCGGGTCCGTGTGTAGAAGCTTCTCCTTGAGCGTAGCCTGGGTCACTTTAGCGGCTTTAGGGGTCTTGAAGGTGAGCAGGATGACAAAAGCGGCCAGACCACCGATTGGAAGATTGATATAGAAACACCTAAATTTTGTCACATCAGGCCAGGTCCGGTAATGGTGGGATTCGATACCTGGGAAATAGTCCCATGTTTTGCAACAAAGACAAAAGCAGTAGAATCCTCTTGACTCACCACCTCCAGGATGCCCCTTTTGTAAGCCCTCCACCAATGAGTGGTCCGCAGACAGCGGCGACGCCATATGACACACCAATGACCCCCGTGTAGGTAGCTCTTTTGGTGGGCTCAGCAGCAAAGGCAGAAATCGTGTATACTCCAGGCGCGATACCCGAGGCACCGAGACCGGAGATGGCACGTCCAACAATCAGAGTCATTGAGTTTGGGGCGACGGCGGCGATCAAACTCCCAAGTTCAAAGATGAAGATTGCCACCAGGAAACTAGTTTTGAGGGGAAAGTATTTAAACACTTTGCCCCAGGTTGACTGGAAGGCTCCGAGCGTCATGAAATAAGCCGAACCGTACCACGAGATATCGTCAAGCCTGTGGAATTGGTCGGTAATTTTTGGAATAGCGGTTGCAACAATGGTCTGAATCGAGAGGCATCAGATTAGCAAAAGACGACTCTACGAGAAGCTTGGAGAGCGGTAGAACTCACCTGATCCAGAGAACAGAGGGTGATACTGAGCACGAGCGCAGCTATGATGAACAAGACATCGATACCTTTCGGATATTCCATAACAGGTTCTGGCGGCTCACCCACAGCTTTTTCTTCCGTAGCAGGTCCATCGTCTACACCATTCGCAGACGAGGATGCCATAGTGGATGATGTGCTTGACTCGGCGGTGTGCTTTTCCTTTTCAGGCTCGACCTGATGTGTTTTCTCTCCGATCGCTTCGAGGTTGCCGTTGCCCTTGCCGTCCTCTGGCAAGGGAGGTGGAAGTGTTGATGGAGACATGTGTGTTTGCCGTATGGCTATGGCTCAATTGCTTCGGCTTGAGATGAGACTCCGTGCGCTTTAGTGACGCTCTAAGGTTCAAGTAACTAAGCTTGTATGAATAGGGCTGTTAGAATTTACGGAGATAATACGTATCAGACCCTTATTAGCGAGGGTCCAACAACTTTAGTGACAACATTACAGGGGCTGGTAAGTATAGTACATTCCCAAATACCAATTGATTGTAGCTTTTGCGGCTCGCCTACCACCGTTAATCCCGTTAATTCCATTAATCCCGTTTAAGTTCGCTCATCCCTCGGGACCTCCCGAGCGGGAGTCTTTGTGGATACACTAGGGAAAGATCATAGTGCGGGTACTTCTTGTGGGGTTTTCTAACTACGTAACTAAGAAATCCAGCTTCACTAAAAGTGAGACCTTTGATACATAAAAGTACTTAGGAGCCTATACAGTCGGTGAATCGCCGCGCCACATAAGCTACCAAGGTGACTCTGACCAGAACACGTTCTGCTGCGTCTCAACAAAATCGCTGGCCTCCGGAAAGAGACCTAGCCCCCTATGCTAGTATCATAGAGAATAAGCTCTACTGTAGCATGGTATATGGCAGACTCCGGGAGATTCGTTTTACCCAGGAAGACTGTGGTGACCAGTAAGCCCTACAAAAGAGAACAACGCTTGTGAGTAAATCTGTCCAGTAGTGGAGTATTACTCGAGTAAGGGCTGATGGGAATTTGCGTCACGTAGCTTTGCCTTGTGTTTATTTTAGGATGTCCTCGTGCTACATGCCTAACAAACCGAAGAGCGAGACAGATATAGAAAGAGAGCCATTGAATGGAGAAAGTGTCTCCTTGAAATAATATAATCATTGGTACTCATTTATTCATAATTGTCATCATACTAGATTGATATTAGGAGATCAAGAACAAAAGATAATGGAATTGGGTCAGAAGCTAAGCTCTAACAGGCAGTTCAGAGGAGCCAATCGCGGAAAGATATTGTAATTCTCCTATCAAACCTCAAAATCGGAACAGAGAGCAGCAATTCGGAGAAGTACTGTCCTCTGCTCATCCTTGTCACTGCTTTCTTCCTCTGTGTGCTTCCATGCTTTTAATACATTGAAGACGCCAGTATCATCCGTAAATTTCTCAGGTCGTCCAAAATAGTTCGGAAAGAAACTATCTGATTCAGTGAACAAAAGGGAGGCGTGGAATAATTGAGCTGCATTATGATGAATTCTGAAATCGTACCAGGTGTTGCCCTTTGGCGGCAGAGGGCGAGATCCTTTAAGCTTCATAGGAGGTTCATCCGGGGCGTCCTCGCCAAATTAGAAGCTCATAAGCAGAGTCCCATCCTGAGCACTTCGCTCATCTGCAATAGCGATAATACTCTGTTCGATAAAGTTGAATTTGACAGGCTGAAGCCACTTGTCTAATGTCCAGTCCTGGCATTCCTCTTTTGAGGCGTTGATAAAATCCGACTCGAAAGATTCACCGTCTTGTAATCTCGTTCTGAGTCCCTCTCCCGTGCTGGGACAGTCTTTCGATTCAACAAGATAGTACAGTAAGGGAGGGTCTTCCGGCTCTGTGCTGGATTCGTGCAAGGCCGTAGGCACGAACTGGTAATCACGGTCAGCCTCGAGGCGACTTTCATTAAATACGGATTGACTTACAGTCTTGGCCTCTTCTGCAATACAGAAAAATAAGGTACGAGTCATGGTAAGAGAAAGAGACCTTTGCTGTGACCACAGTGATACTTTCAGGCCTGACAGGAAAAGGTTGGAGATGGGCAAGACTTTGTAATGTTTTTGTACTACTCCCAACTGCAAAGATGCAATGACGTACGTCATCCCTTATCTGAGGATAACACATCCATCCCCATGCCAGGACAAGAAGTGTTGACCCCGGGCAGCCTTGCAGGAAAGGCAAATGTCTAGTGGCCAGTGTCTATAGTCTCACACCCTTTCCCTCCGGTTACAAAAAAGGGGTAAAAAAACAAAAGCGACTAAGAGGATGATAATATTTTGGTTAATATAGGTAGGCTAACCCAGTTTTAGTTACCTGAACTCCTCTGAAGGGTGACGTGACCTGGTCTTCGACCCGCTGTCATGACCCAGTCAGGTTGAGATAAAATGCCAAAGACAAGATACTGTTACCAACTTACCGTCTTGGCTGTGTCACTTTGGCATAAGTCTACAATTGTCCTCGGTATGACGTCCTTAGACAAATGCTGTCATGAGACGGACAGCTGTACTATTAAGGATACTCACTAAATCTCGCTCTTACTCCAGAAGCGACGCAGTTCTTGACCACAGTCACTACTGAAACAACTGATCAGGGAAATCAACTTCGCATTATACTTCCAAGAGGACACCTTCCATTTTTGCTCCTTCCGCGCGAAATATGTGTTGTACTGCGATCTTACACTTCAACACCAAAAGCGACTGCAGTGAACTGTGACCGGATAAATCAAATACAATGGACGATCCTATATATACTCCTGTCCCCCAAAAACCGTCGCACCTAACACTCTAGCCACTCGCTCTTCACTGGACGGAAGAGATTGTCGGTGGAGAGCATTTACGTTAAGGATCAAACCTTCGTTCTCAAATGCACCACGGACAACCCTCGTTGACGGAGTGCTCCTCAGTAGAAGCTTGATCGGAGCAGCGACACTTGGGTTGTTGACTAGCTGCACAAGTTTGGCGAGAATAACGAGATCTCGGATGGAAAATTCCAAAAGATGTATGATCCTCGTAGTTGTTAAGCCGCTAGATTAGACTAGGGACCCCTTTGCCTACTATTCTTTATATAAATATATTGTTTTCAATGCGTATTATATAGTTAAAATTCTACCTGTTAACTAGTGACAATATATCATAAGCTTCTCTGATCGTAGTCCATATATATATTATAATTTATAAATGTACTTTAGCCTAGCGAAGTTTATACTTAGGAAGAGACCGAAGGGTATAGAAAACTATCTTATAACTAGGGTAGTTATATTTTTAGCTATCTAGAAAGCTCTACCATGGCTTATAGATTATAAAGTACCTCTATAGTGTAAGGAGGTATCAATAGTAGGGAATGTATTTTAGCTGGTTGATACAAATAGTCTGCTGTACAGGGCCCTTGAAGAATCCTACTGAATATTCTTGAATTGGAAGTGAGGTGTAATTATGTCATAAAAATCTTGGGCATGGAAAAGTATAACTGGCTCAAGAAGGAATAGTAAGATTCTTCACAGGGTAAATAACAAAATAAGCTCCTTCTAGTGTGCTATTATGGGAGCCTAGTACATAGCCTCAGTCGCTAGACAATCAATCTAGTAAAACCCCCTATTTATGGGTCGTTGGGCTGAGCCAAGACACTTGCACGTGATTTATACGAGCGCAGCCACAATCAGATCATTCTCAAATGACGGATTCAGCTGAAGTTATGAACTCATGATAATCTGGACATGTCTTCAACGAATCTCCTCGAGTACAAACTTGACCTGGCACACTCTGCTCAGTTTGCCACTCTGCGTGCCTAAAACATGTTCAGCGACCGGTCTGTTCGCTCCATTAAATCAAAGGAAAAATGTTACACATGCCGACGGCAACGGATTGTGTGTGATGCTGGGAAGCCATCCTGTATGCGATGCACATCCCGAGGAGTCGAATGTCTGGGATACTCGGCTACACCTATTCGCTGGGTAGCGCCTATATCAACTCTTTCTTCGGAAACACCAAGACCCTCGGACATTCGCCCTGTCAAAAGCCAGGAAAGGAGAAAACGAGGACGACCGAAGCTATTCCTCATGCAGGCAGCGCCTCAGTCCTCCAGATTTGGATCAGATCCACATCGATCTGATGAAGATCTCGAATCGGAGAAAGGTACGCATACTGGAAGTACCAGCAGGACTGCAGCCGTACTAGCGAGCACTAACCTAATTGCTGCGGTCTGTCAGCAGGCGTGCTGGTCTTTCGCTCGAGATCAAATCCAAAAATCCCTTGGTCTCTTTTTCCATGTGACTACGAGAGGCATAAAATGCTCCTAGAATTCTCCCATTACTGTACGAGAAAGCCGCAGTACAGCCTCCTTGATCTGAGAGCTGACTTTGTGCAGTCAACGACCACGTCTGTCCGGACTTGGTCATTGTAGATTCTCCTATGAATCCACACCGGATGAATCTCGACATACTCCCCTATGTCCCCGATTTCTTTCTCAGTCTTTTGATTTCTGTCTCTGCAATTCATCAAGTGATCCAGTCGCAGCCCAATTGGCATCTAATCACGCTCAATCGATCTCAGGCCTTACGCGATAAGCACCGTGGCGAACTGGAGCCTCTCCAATTGCTTCGCCATCCCTTAAGCTCTCTAATCTACAAGCACCGATCACGGTCGTTACGAGGATTGAACCAGTATTTGTCCGAAGCAGGAGCAGAGGGGCCAGATCTGGTCTTCCATACTGTTACTGTCATGCTCCTGTCCGAGGTGTGCAACGTCTCTGTTTTCAAAGTCTGCATCTGACATCAAGTATGGCATTAGATTCAAAGATCGGCATTCTGCAACTGGAAGATCCATTTTGAAGGTCTGAAGAAAATCATTGCGTGTCAGGGTGGATTTGAAGTGCTTGTATCCACCAGACTTGGAAATCTTCGATATGCTTTGGGTCACTTCATGCTGTAAGTCCTCTCCTCTTTGACTGACAGTCTGCTGATGAAGATTCAGAATCGATGTAATGAGCTCGGTCTTCATGGCTGCGTCATGCTTGCCACTTGACACTCCGTCGCAACTAAGATATATCGACTGGCTGCCAGAGCTACACTCCGACGGGCTGGAAAAAGGGTTTCCGTGCCCCGATGAGCTCTTGGCATGTATCATCCATACGAACAACCTCAGGTTTATCCAACATCACCATCCCTTTGATGACATGGCGCACGTGGACAATGCTATTCTAGACCTGGTTCGCACCATCATCACATTCTCTGCCACGGCTTGGGCCGAACGGGCCTTCGAATCCTACAACGAGAGACTGGAAGAACGCGTTGACAGACAGCGGCCGCGAAAGCGATTGGACCTTGTTCCGCAGCCAATTGAAGGCGAAGGCTGGGCGGATCTTGCGTCTGCATTCCAGGCGGCGACCTTGCTCTACTGCCTCAGAGCATTAGTCCTCAATCATGGAAAAGAGAACATCCTTCACGAGTTGTTGGGCAACCTTTATGAAGGCCTCATCCCGGACGTCCAGTGCCTTGCCAGCGTGACCCTGAGCAACCTTCTCTGCATGCTTCATCCTCTGATGGACCGACCGCTCCAAAAAGGCAGGTCAATGGGCCGCTTCATGTTCTGGCCTGTTTTGATGGCGGGACTAGAAAGCGCCTGCAGTTTCGAGGCGTTATCTGAGAGGCCATTCATTGTAAGCTCTTTGCAGGAGCTTTGTCGATGTCTCGGCGATATGAGCGCCCTTGATGCAGCAGTGTTTCTCCAGTGGGCATGGAACCTAGATGAGGAAAGTTATACAGGGAATATGCAAAGAGTGCGCACTTGGGACGACGTTTTTGAGGGAGTGGGTGTCCATGGTGTTTTCTTTTTCTGAGTGAGAACCAGAACTCTAGAAGGCATTGAGTACATAGAAGCACAGAAGAGGGCATATATTGAGGTGCATCCATGGATTAGTATGCGAAGACTATTATTAGCCTGGTGTGTGGGGGTGGACGTCGTCCGTATATATTTACACATTCGTCTATTTCAACTTGCCAAGAGAAACCCCAACTGACGAATGCGGGCATGAGCAACAGTAGTGACTTAGATCTACCTTATAACTATCGGCTTTTTGAGAACGTCAATGTCTAGATCAGGGCTAGCTATTGCCAGTGCTGAGGCCAAGCTCTCTCTGGAACTAGACCTCTGCTGTTCTTATCTCCCGTCTTTATCTCTGCTTATCTCTGTTTCCATCACTAAGCCGAATGCTCTACTCCGCGGAAATCATCTAGCCTGTCCGCAATGAAGCCCTGGGACTCTTATCAAGTAGGATGCCTTGCAAGTCAAGCCTTTTGGATCCATTGACCAGTCAGAAGGTGTACAGATATCGGCTCGGTCTTGGCGGTGGCTTCGGAGATCAAGGATATGCCAGATCAGAGAGAGATACGGAGTAGATAAGGCCGGAAATGACATGTTCCTGCTCGAGCTGGCCCTTACTCTCGGGAGGATGAAGATAATGCTGTGAGTCCAAGAACTCGTGGCGTTTGTCTTCCCGAAGCTCTAGCCATGGGAATCGCTGCCTGGTTGTACTGCCGCCATAGACGACTGTATTTGCCAGGATATTGCCAGCATGCAGTCATTCACTGGGGATTGTGATGTAATATCTCTCTTCTCTTCTGAGTTTAATTGCTTCTGGCATGGTTTGAAATCTTTTCCATCTCTCTTGGCTGACTGTCCATCCTTTCCGAGTTGCTTGGCATCCGTTGTGACTCGATTCTTTGATACTGCATCTCCTAGGAGCTGAGGCTTTCCTCGCGTTTCTTTTTGCTAAGAGTTTACCATCTCCGTGGCAGATAGAAAGCGCTTGCTCCTTTAAAATGGCTGAGGCATTGGGTGTTTCGGTCAAGTATATTATGTAGTTTCTGACCACCTCGGGTTGTAATCCGTTCTTGAATTCAAGCCGAACACAAAGATATCGAAACAGTCTCAATTAAAACACACTCGGTAAGGGCTGTGATACAAGATGGAAATGTTGAAACTGGCATTTGCCAGCCCCGAGATCAACCCGGTCAATCACAAAGCAAGGTCGATTCCCTTGCTGAATCCCGTTGATCGCTATGGTCGCGTCTTCTTCTTTTCCTGGCTAGGCTTCATGGTGGCATTCCTCTCCTGGTATGCATTTCCTCCATTGGTAAGTAGTCCCCATCTCCATAATTGGCCATTCTAACAGTCACAGTTGAGCGTCACGATCAAGAAGGACCTGCATATGACACAAGACCAGGTCGCCAACTCCAATATCGTTGCTCTGCTGGGAACGTAAGTGACCTTGCACTGTCAGTCAGGTCCCTCCGCTCACTAAAATAGCCTTCTCATGCGATTCATTGCCGGCCCCCTATGCGATCGATTCGGTCCGCGATACGTCTTCGTCGGATGTCTCCTCTGCGGTGCCATCCCCACCGCCATGGCCGGACTAGTCACTTCTCCCCAAGGACTCATTGCCCTGCGTTTCTTCATCGGGGTCCTCGGCGCGACCTTTGTGCCCTGTCAGGTCTGGTGCACAGGCTTCTTCGATAAAAACGTCGTGGGAACTGCAAACGCTCTGGCTGGAGGATTCGGCAATGCCGGCGGTGGTATAACCTAGTATGTTCTCTACCCAAAATCCTCGTGTGTGCAAAGCTCACATCATCAGTTTTGTTATGCCTGCCATCTATGACTCCCTCGTTCACTCGCAAGGACTGACTCCCCACCGGGCCTGGCGGGTCGCATACGTGGTCCCCTTCATCATTATCGTCGCACTCGCCCTGTCGATGCTTTTCTTATGCGAGGATACCCCGACGGGTAAATGGTCTGAGCGACAGGACAACAATACCATGATACAGAGCAATATCGTCGACCTCCACCGGTCCAGCGGATCTGGTGCCGCGTCCAGCACCAACGTCTCCACCGTCCCGGAGAAGAAAGGTGCCTCCACGCCGCAGATCGTCGACACCGAAGCGCAGCCGGTTATTGATATCAGCCTTGCAAACAACGAAATGATTCAAAAGCCCACAATTAGAGAAGCACTCAAGGTGATTTTCTCTCTGCCGACGCTAGCGCTCGCTCTGCCGTATGCTTGCTCCTTCGGCGCTGAGCTGGCCATCAACTCCATTCTCGGCGCGTATTACCTGAAGAACTTTCCGAGCCTAGGTCAGACCAAGTCTGGCCGGTGGGCCGCCATGTTCGGGCTGGTCAATGTCGTCTTTCGCCCGGCGGGTGGATTCATAGCGGATCTCATCTATCGGTCTACCCATTCGGTGTGGGGTAAGAAAGTGTGGCTGGTCTGTCTGGGGGTTTGTATGGGAGGAGCGGCACTGGCTGTCGGACTATTGAACCCAAAGAGTGAGGGACTGATGTTTGGACTGGTGGTGTTGATGGCCTTCTTCATTGCGGCCAGTAATGGGGCCAACTTTGCCATTGTGCCGCATGTGCATCCAACTGCCAATGGTAAGTTCAGCACACTATTCTATCAATCCCCCGCTAATGGATTTAGGAATCGTCTCGGGCATTGTAGGGGGAATGGGAAACTTTGGTGGAATCGTCTTTGCTATCATCTTCCGCTACAACGGCACACACTACGATCGAGCTTTGTGGATTATCGGGGCGATAGTTGCAGGGGTCAATCTTTGTGTTTCTTGGATTAGACCTGTACCAAGGACATAGATTATCTCCACAAATACGATACTATTCATGCCATCATTCATCGTTATCCTTCGTCTGTCTCACTTCCTCTTGAACCTCGCTGGTCAACGTCACAGCCAACACAGACGGGATGGCAACCACCAGTGCCCCCATACACAGTCCCCAGTCCATGGCAAACTGCGTCATGGCCGGCTTGGCCAGCGCATTCAACCGCCAGGCCATCGCACCCCCGGTCGCCTGGAATGTCTTGTACGCGCCGACAAGGATGGCCGCTACGGCTGGTGCATTGGACCGAGCCCCCATAAGCCAGTAGCAGAATCCCTGCCAAAAGGCATCGTACGCCCCGTAGAAAATATACAAGAAGATCGGACCTGTTGACAGTGCGCCGTCCGTGTAGTCGATGTCCTGTTTATGTCCCTCTGCCCGGCGCCGGTCGTACCATTTCTGGAACGCATACCCCCCGCCCCAGATGGCCATGCCGGTCACGAAGAGGAACAGCCAGCCCACCCGTGCGCGGTTCTGCCGGTTCACCCGCGGCATATCGAGGATCAGACCGATGATGAGCCCGCCCAGCATCTGAGCTATCCAGTACAGGGACCCGTTGAGAGACCGCGTGCGGATGTTGAAGGTCATCCCGTTGACGATGTTCTGCTGGTACGAGTAGAAGACATTGGCGCAGAAGAACATGGGGATCATGCAGAGAACCCGCCAGTCGGTCAGCGTCTGGACGGTCAATCTCGCCGTCCGACGCCAGTTCTTCTCCGTCTCTGGCGTGGGCTGCAGTCCTTGCACGCGGATGGAAGCGGGCGGGCAGATCAGGGCGCCGAGCAGCCAGCCGATGGCCATGATGATCAGCAGGGCGATGTAGGTCCCGTCTGTTACGGTCCCGCTGTGCGAGTGGTAGTTGAGTCCAAAGCTGGCGAGCGACCCCACGCCGCCGCCTAGGTTGAAGATGATCCAGAAGGCGGCGATGGCCCGGCCTTTTTGGGATTCAGGCACGTACGTCGTCATGATGGCTCCTTGCGCCACCCAGAGGAAGGACGCTCCGATACCGAGAAGAGCACCGGCGGCGATGACGAACGCGCCGTTGGAGGTATCTACAGATGTCGGTATTGGTCAACACTGAAGGGAAATGATCTTCATACGGTTGAAACATAGTAGACTTCCCGAGTACAGGGAGTAGGTCCATCCGCCGATCAGCAAGCACATTCGAGGTCCGACACGGTCGAAGATGGGTCCAACGATAAACAAAGCCGTAGCAGCTGTCGCAGCGAGCAGGGCTACTGTCGCGTTGGCGGCAACCGTAGGGTCGACTTGTCCGGAGCCTCCCAAGCCGGAGAGCGCGTTGTACATCTGCAGAATTAGTGACCGACTGACTTGAGCATTTGGAGGAAGTCCATACCCCCGGGCAACAGAAACAGATGAAGCTGATGAGGAGGATCTGGAACCACGAATGTGTGTAGATCCGATATGGAAGCGATCGCTGTCGGGAGTCAGCGCCAGACTCCACGGCGGCATCATCGTGATGAATTTCGTTGTGGCCCATATTGGCTATACTATGGAGCAGATCATTTGATCGTGGAACAGGAAAGGGGAAGGACAGTCGGTTTTATCTGCTATCATGAGGCCTGTGTGACCTTTGTCCCTTGCTGTCAAAATGCGGAGAAACCAGGCCAATGGTCAGCCCATGGCTGGCCTATCCCTTTGGCTGAAGCTTAGTCCGTTCGTATAGAAGACATCTAACTAGTAACAGTTAATCTGTTGTAGATCCTTCCGTTATAACCGCTCACTACTGGTCAGATTGGATTATTTGAATTCTCCACAGGCATGTTCTGTACGACCCGTATTGGCACTCTTAACCGAGACAATGTAACCCTGACAAGTAACCCCACGCGAGCACGCGGCTAACCGAGGATATACAATATACAGTTCCCTGGAACTACTACAGGGCCTTTCATCTCGCTTGTCAGACACGTTTTTGGAGACGCATGGCAACATGGATCTAGGCAGCCTGTCACAGCTTCAGACCGAAGCCGTCAATCCCCAGACGGCACAGATTGATCAGATCTCGACCCTGGAGATGTGCCGATTGATCAATAAAGAGGATCACCGCGTCGCGCCCAGTGTTACACCATGCATCCCCGAAATTGCCGCTGCCATTGAGGCGCTAACCCCGCGCGTGCGAAGTGGTGGACGAGTCATCTACGTTGGTGCAGGGACCAGTGGAAGGTAAGTACCACCCAAAAAAAAAAAAGGCCCTCGGAAAGGATGTGTAACTAACCCAAATAACAGACTCGGGATCCTCGATGCATCCGAAATCCCTCCGACGTTTGCTGCTCCGCCATCACAATTTGTCGGGCTGATCGCCGGCGGCGATGCTGCCATTCGACGAGCACAAGAAGGAGCCGAAGACAGCCTCGCTGCTGGTGAGGCCGACATGGAAGCGTTGCAGCTCAATCCGGAGCTTGACAGCGTCATCGGCATAGCTGCATCCGGCCGTACGCCGTACGTCCTCGGATGTTTGGCATTCGCGAAAAAGATCGGCTGCCTCACCATCGCTGTAGTCTGCGCTTCGCCCTCCGCAACGGGGACATCAGGAACAGTCGACTTCCTGATTGCTCCGCTGCCAGGGCCGGAGGTTGTCACGGGCAGCACCCGGTTGAAGGCGGGAACTGCGACGAAGATGGTGCTGAATATGCTCAGCACGGGCACCATGATCCGGACGGGCAAGACTTATGGAAACCTGGTACGTGTTGCAGCCAAGTTGGAAGGATATGGGCTGACCGAATCAGATGGTAGATCTTGTCGCCTCCAATCTGAAGCTGGAGCAGCGATCGCGCAATATCCTGCGAAGGCTGAGTGCTCGTTGTGACGGTATGACAGATGTGGAACTGGACGCGTTGCTGACAAGATGCAAAGGGAGGGTAAAATTAGCTCTTCTCGTGGCCGAAACGGGAGAACCGGTTGAACAGTGCGAGGAGAGGTTGGAATCTGCTGGTGGCGTGCTCGCTAAGGCTTTAGACATATCTTTGGCCGGGGTCAAGGATGTACAGACCCCTGCCACAGACAGACAGTATGTACTTTGCATTGACGGCGGAGGGACCAAGTGCGCGGCCGTCATTGCTGACCTGAAAGGCACCGTTGTCGGACGAGGGACGACAGGTCCATGTAATCTGTACGCCTTTTATCTATTTTCTTTGTGAAATCACAGCTGACATCGACAGGACTGATGGCAACGGCCTGGAAGAGGTAGTCCAGACACTTATGACTGCTGCGAAGGACGCTTTGCCGGCTTTTCCTTCTTCAGACTGCAATCTCCAGTCACTTTTCGAGTCAGTCTGGATTGGTTTGGCGGGGATTGACCGGAAGAATTTCCGAGAGTCCCTCCTGCCAAGGATCTGCGCATGCTTTGGATTGACCGAGAAGGAGATTCGGCTGACAAACGACGTAGACCTGCTGGTGGCCGCGGCGAGCTCACACCGAGACTGCTCATCTGCAGTCGTCGTCATTGCTGGCACTGGGAGCGTTGCCATGCGATACAACCGAAGTGACGAGGGCAATGAGTACTCCCGAGTCGCTCGATCCGGCGGCTGGGGCCACACCTTGGGTGATGAAGGAGGCGGATATGCCATCGGATTGGAGGCCATCAAATACACCTTGGCCGTTCTGGAAGATACGAGACTCGGGATACCCATCGAGCCATTGGGACCTTTGGAGCAGGCAGTTCTTAAACGACTGGGATGTGCCACATTCGGCCCAAAACAGATTGATCTTGTCAGTGAGATCTTGGTTCAGCAGCACAAACAGACGATTAAATCCCGTATTGCAGGCGTTGCAGAGGCGGTGCTCGGCCTGAACGGACAGAACGACACTGCCTCGGCCATTGTCGGTCGACAAATTGACCATCTGGCAAGTCGGACTGTGGGACGTCTTTTAGATCCAGCTTGTTCTGGATACGTCCCTACGGAAAATACCGGTCTGATACTTTCTGGCAGTATTCTCAACAATCAGTCTTACCAGGATCAATTTCTCAACGTGCTTGAGAGGCGAGGGCCAAGTTCGCCTATGTGGAGAGGATATCCGATGCAGGCCTCCTGGGCGCAAAATATCTGACATCGTCTTGAGCGTGCCCTGTGCGAAGGCCTCAGTGGCAATCAGACATAGATTTCATTCCGGAGTCCCCGTTCTTCATGATGATTACGAATGTCACGGCGAGTCTCAAGTCTGTGAACTTTTCACATCCTGATTGAATCGCACAAACTAGGGATAGATTATCTAGTCAACTATTTAAGTTACCGGAGGTCATGATTAGCAAAGCTTTATTCATATGCACAGTAGAAAAATTCCGCTGCCCTAGTCGTCTGTGCATTTCCATTTAAATCAACCCCTCTCAAACACAAGTACGGACGCACTCAGGCTTTTACCTGCTCCTTCTCAAGGATTGATGAATATGAAGGCGTCGAGCTCTCTACTGGCGTGCTCGTCGATGCTTCCCCCCTAGTTAACCCTTGATAGACCTGCATCATCTGCTGGAAGCCTCCATCGAGGATAGGATACACAATCGCCACTAACATTGTGCCCCACAGCCAGATGATGGCAACCACTACCCAGACAACGAAGAACTAAGACGGTCAGACCTCTACTCCAGATGGGTTGGCCCGAGTACTCACCGTTTTGCCAAAGACATATTTGGCACCGTACATGGGAAGGGGCCACAGTACCCAATGTCCCAAGAAGGTAGCTATCGACCAGAACGCAGCGATGCGGCCCCATCTTTTCAGTTCTTTTGCGCTGGGTGCTGAAGACTTCCCCTGATGGCTGTGCACTGTGGTGAGGTCACCTTCCAGTTTCTCGAGAGCCAGTTTCTCTTTCTTGAATTCCGCCCAATCGTAATTCTGTGGTTGCAAAAGGGTGAGGACGACCGAGTAAACGATGGGTGAAAAAGCAGAGGCGACGGTGCCATAGACGCAGGGCAGGATCTGGCCAGTTGTGGACACTGTCACGGCACCATAAAAGTGCTTGGCCGTTCCCAGCCAGACCCCTAGACCAGTTGCCAGACCAAGCACAGGAGAAAGGATGGCCGCTACTTTGTTTTGCTGGCGCCACAGGATGGTGAAGGCCATGGGGAAGATGCCAGGACAGGTGACCACGCCTTCATTGATTAGCTATTGTCCTAGGGGGTTGTAAGGACAGCTTACCGAGCATATACAGAGTCCATCCCAGGTCTATCCCGACGTAGTGAAGCATGGTGCTGAACCCGGCGGAGAAGGCCGCGAAGAAGATGACTCCAAAATGACTTGCACGGATGATGTCGCGATCTGAGGCCTTTCGGTTGAAATACTCGCGATAAACATCAAAGCTAAGGATCGAACTGACGGCTATAACCTGTGCCGACAGTGTCGACGTCACTGCCATGAAGGTGATGAGAAGGATGGCCGCCGCGCCTCCTTTGCCTGCAATCGCCATGGCTGCATAAGGCAAGACGAGCCCATTGCTGACCTCTGTCGATGTCATCCGCTGATATTGACGTCAGCTGTATTCTAGGGATGCTAGGGGCTACGTACACGTGGGTAGGTTGGAAAGATGGGCTGATTCTCTAGACCAAGAGCGACTGAACTCATGATGGTTCCCAGAGCCCACGGTATAGCAAAATATGCAATGCCTCCAATTGTATATCCGGGCACGACTGCCGAAGGAGCCGCCGAAAATGCCTTGATGAAGAAACTCGTGTCCATCTGATGAGTTAGCAGGGAGCACCGCATTGGTCGGAACACTTACAATGACCAAGCCGAAGTTGGAACAAATGTGAAGGATGCCGAAGAGAATGCCCTAATACCATCAGAAACTGTCATTGATCCCTCTCTTGCGAGATCACCTACGCCTTTAGAGGTCATAGTCAGGTAAGTGGCAGCATGATTTCCAGAAACTGGATGACGCTCAGAGGCCGACTTGACCAGCTCGTACAGGTTGCCGATGGAGCCAACCTCGTCGACTGTGAACACTTTGATTGAAAAATAACATGCGATGATGACGATGACAGCAGTGTGGAAATAGTCCGTCAAGAATCTGCATCTTCAATGTCAGGTGCCATTCCTGTATGCTCGATCCAGCGGCTTACGTTGCTTTGATGCCACCAACGAAGGTGTAGACAGTCACACCCACAGGCAAGAGGAATGTCGCTGCTACAATATGCACACCGGTCCTACTCCCGTCAGACCATATCCGTTCCTCTGTTGGATGACTTACAAGGCTGCAATCACTGCCGCTGCACCTAAGAGCATATTGGCACAAGCGAAGATGTTGTTGACCAAGCAGAGTGTCATGAAGACAACGTGGGCAATTCGTCCTGCTTGCATCAGCTTTTTTGTTAACTATATTCAGTGGACAGTCTTACCATATCGGATCCGAACAACCTCTAGCGATGTATGGGCTTCAGGAATCTTCCTCTTGCAGGAGATTCCCAGCAGGGCGAAGAAGACGATCATCGGACTACAGCCAGCAGCGAACCAAAAAGGACCGGATACGCCATAATCATAGCCCACAAATGCAGAGCCCAACATGGCAGTTGACCAGAGCCAGGACTATCCAGCGGGTTACTATTCGTACGCAACGCGCCACTTGGAGACAAAAATCCTACCGATATGACCGCAGACGCTGTCAATCCAGTGCGAACGGTTCGATTGGCAGTCATAAACCTGCAATGAGTAAGTACTTGGTATCCCGCAGTGTCGGAGAGAATACATTTCTGTCTTCTTGTTATCTTCACCTGCTGTTCTCTTGAGAATCTTGGTGATGACCATCATCGCTGCGCCTGTTAGCTGTCGTTCCAGCCGTAGGGACATCAACATACCCAGTGCGATGATCAACCCCAAGACAACGACTATCATGTAGCCCACGACTTGTGGCAGAGGGGCTGGACCACTACCTCAACATCTGAAATTCGATCACTCGCCATGGTTTTATTCGCGAATATGGTTGATGTAAGAAGAACATTAGTCCTATGGTGAGTGAAAGAATGTGACTTGTTCATTATATATTTCTACCTCTGAATACTGCACAGGCAAGCCTGCCGTTCTACGCACAAAAATATGGCAATGATGGTTCGTTTATGATGAGATAATGAATAGAGACTATGAGGTGCTAGACCACAGTTTTGCATCCTTGACCAGCCCTTCTGGTTGGGTCCTGAATAGAGTCGAGGATCCTGCCCAAGGACCCGACGATCGGGTCAGCGGTTCACAAGGTCCACAAGTTGACAACTCTAGAATTGAACTGATTTGGCCAATAAGGGGGATCTAATATATAGGACGCATATAGTATGGCTTGTGGGAATTGCGCGATGAGGATTGCGGTTGACGAAAAGGGAATCCTCGCTCAATAACAAGACTGGCAGATCACTGAATGCAACAAGTTATTAACAACAAAATTCCACAAATGACCTGATAAAGTTTAATAAGGTATTTCTCTTGGGATCTTCGTCTGGGTTGGCCATGGATTGTCCCCCTCATTCCACCGCAGCACGCCATCACGGCCCACATTGATGCTATAGAGCATCCAAAAATCAACAAACCCATGGCTGCGCATATAGTGAGGGAGCATGGTCATAGATAAGTGAAAGGGTTTCCAATTGAATATTCGGAGGACAGTAAAGCCATCGTATCTTACTTAACTCAGTTTTCAGTGTCTCTGTCAGTCTATATTTATTGATCAGAAGGGATCGGAGCTTATTCTACTGTCCAGGTCTATTGAGATATTTCGACCATGGCAGCGGCAAACCCCTCAGTTACTGACGGACCTCGAAAGTCGCTCATCCTCAATGCGTTCGTTGAGATGTGTATGTATCCAGCCTGTCACTGAATAACTTGTCTGACATATCACAGGTAGTGGCCATCAGTCTCCTGGGCTGTGGCGCCACCCAGAAGATGAATCCCACAGGTTCAACGACGTAGACCACTGGATTGAGCTAGCACAACTGCTGGAATCAGCCAAGTTCCATGGCATCTTCATCGCGGATGTCCTAGGCGGATACGACGTGTACAAAGGACCCCGAAACCTCGCTCCGGCGATTGTTTCCGGAGCGCAGTGGCCCGTCAATGAACCGCTAGCTGTGGTTTCGGCAATGGCAGCTGCGACAAAGAATATCGGATTCGGGGTGACGGTGACGACGACCTATGAGCAGCCATATCATTTGGCTCGTCGGCTATCGACGGTGGATCATTTGTCCAAGGGACGGTATGTGGTCTCGAATCTGACGCGGAGGGGTGCTAACGTCGCTTGCCCAGATTGGGATGGAATGTAAGCATTTGTCACATTATAGCAATAATCATCGGGCTCATAAGGACTCCAGGTTGTCACCGGATATCTGGACTCAGCAGCTCGGAACCTGGGCCATACCCAGCAACCCCAGGTAGGTCCGATCCCAGACAGCTAGCCCGGGTCTAACAAGCTCCAGCATGACGACCGATATGCTGTTGCAGAAGAATACGTGAGAGTAACCTATAAGCTCTGGGAGTCTTCCTGGCGTGACGATGCTGTTGTCCTCGATCGTGAACGCGGAATCTACACTGATCCCAGCCGTGTCCGGGAAATCAACCACGAGGGCAAATACTTCACCGTCCCTGGTCCACACCTGTGCCAACCGAGTCCGCAGCGGACACCCGTCATTCTTCAAGCTGGCACGTCCAAGGCAGGCAAGACGTTTGCCGCGCAACATGCGGAGGCGATCTTTGTGGCCGGACACAGTCCTGCAGTGGTTGCGAAGAATATCGCAGAGATACGTGCGATGGCACAGGCACAGTTCGGGCGTGATCCCAAGAGTATCAAGTTCTTGGCACTTTTGTGTCCGGTATTGGGCCGTACAGAGGAAGAGGCACGGGAGAAGTTCGCGTATTATCGCAGCCTAGGCTCGATCGATGGCGCATTGGCGCTCTTTGGTGGGTGGACGGGAATTAACCTGGACACGTACGGTGATGATGAAGAGCTGCGACATGTAGAGAGCAACGCAATCCGGTGGGTTCCATTCTCATTGACCGGAAACAGTGCTAACTACCCTGTAGCTCTGCCGTCGAGGGCTGGTCCAAATCAACCCCCGAAGTCGCCAAATGGACCAAGTCAACTGTTGGTCAGCATATCACGGTGGGGGTCTGGGTGCCACGCCAGTGGGAACACCGGCCCAAGTAGCGGATGAGATGGAACGCTGGGTGAGAGAAGCCGATGTCGACGGATTCAACCTGGTGAGTTGCCTACAAAATAATGATATATTACTCTGGAATTGACGAAAGTCAAGGCCTACGCTATCAAGCCAGGATCTTTCAAGGATATCATCGACCTGTTGATTCCAGAACTTCGTCGACGCGGATTGTTCTGGGAGGATTATGCTGTTGAGAGGGGAACGTATCGGGAGAATCTGTATGGCAAACCAGGGCAGACAGGTCCCCCGGTGGATCATCCTGCGTCCAAGTACCGCTGGCATGCGGGAGTAGACGCTGCCGATCATAAGATTCCCGAAAACTAGTACAACGGACGTGCAGTGACTTCTGCTTTGCAGAAGGCCGGCACACGGCCTCGTACTTCCCTAATGGTTTCGGGAAATATTCGCAGCAGGACAGTGGTGTGTATATACACTTTTATCTATACAAAAGAGGTTCAGTATCTTTCCGTTGAACCAACTTGAAAACTCGGACGAATGACTGTCGTGCCACGGTATTGAACCCTTCTCTAAGCTCGAACACAGCATGAACAACAATATGGCAACTGTTTGCTCTTCGATTCTCGGCGGATTCTACGTACATCCTTCGACAGACTCGTCTTCTAGAACTGTAAGCGACAAGAGGTTTATGCCGATAAACATTGTCAACTAGTGAGGTTGCATTAGTATCCGAGATATCCTGCAAGACATTGCCATCTTCCAATGATTGTATAGAGAAGCAGCACGGGAAGGCGTTTTATCATCTAGCGTCCACAATTCTCGTGTTCCTGGCCGATTATTGGGGTCTAGTGAGGGGCACATAAGATGAAGCCGTCTTGGCACACATTTGGCGTCGAATCAGTTGCAGGTTGAATCATGCTTGACGATTCTTGTTGTTGACATTGGCTGCTTGGCCCACGCCTTGTGCATGAAGCCATCCTTGTTAAGCAATACCGTGTCTTTTCCATGTCATATTCGAGGGTCATAACTCCATTCGAGCACGATAGCATAAACTTGATTAAACCTTGCATGATTTCCCCGCCTGCAGCCAAGCGATAAGACCATGTGTACGCTCAGATTTGTAGACTCCTCGTGCCTCTGCAAATTCATCTTATTGGAGACGGCTACGGCGTCTACGGATGTATCGGCTCTTTCCGCAACGCCTGTTGAGATCTCATTTCTCAACATCTTGCCAAAGGCAGTAACTCCCAACTATACTATCCATTCGCTTGGGCCTCGTTTAATCAAGAGAGGATACAACTCAATGCATATCTCCAGAGCACGTGGGACAAGGCTAAAGGGCAGGGCATGATGCTCAGGAATAGGAGGACTGGTATAAAAGGCATTCCTCAACCGTTCGACAGGATGTTTCTTGAAAAGCAGCATCTTCTTGGCAGCCTTCTCTGCTTCGACTTCCTGCAGAATGCATCCCAGTGCCCTTGTTGGTCTTCTGGCCTTTGCGGCCGCCGCCTCGGCCATTCATGCACAGCCAGCCGATGCGCACTCCAACCAGTCAATCAACAATCTCAAGTCTAAGATCAAGAATGTGGTCATCCTGGTGATGGAGAACCGCTCCTTTGACAACCTCCTCGGTGGGCAGAAGCTCAAGGGCCTGGAAAACCCGGTCAATACCGGCCCCTACTGCAACCCCTACAACCTCACCGACCCTAGCCAGGGCGTTGCCTGTTCTGCCGCCAAGGACTTTGACTCCATCACCAATGATCCCGACCACGCCATTTATGGCAACAACATCGAGTTCTATGGCACCTTCAACCCGGACAACACTCAGATCGCCGAGGGCAAGCTGGTTCCTCACAACCAAGGCTTTGTTCATGAGCAAGTCCGCAAGTATGGCGCCAAGGTCAACAAGACCATCCTCGCTGCTCAGGTCATGAACTACTACACCGAGGAGCAGGTCCCTGTTCTGACCTCTCTGGTGCAAAACTACCTGACCTTCAACCACTGGCACTCGGATATTCCTGGAGTAAGTATTATCATGCCTTCATCCCTTGCAACAAATGTGACTGACTCCGCAGAACACCGACCCCAACCGTGCCGCTCTGGTTTCCGGTACTTCCCTCGGCCACGGTCTGAACGACGCCGCGTTTAGCAAGCACCAGTTCCCCAGCGGTCCATCTTCCAGCAGTTGACCGAGACCGGTCACTCGTGGATCAACTACGTCGACCCTGCCGGCGGTACTGGTCCCGATGCAGGCTTCTTCAACTGGACCTATGCCACCAACAACCAAGACAAGATCCAGCCCCTGGCCAAGTTCTACACCGACGCGGCGGCTGGTGCCCTGCCTGAATTGGCGTATCTCAACCCCTCTTGCTGCGGAGTCGGCACCACCTCCATGCATCCCGCCGGCCTGATTTCCGACGGTGAGGCTTTCATCAAGAAGGTGTATGATGCTCTGCGCGCCGGTCCCCAGTGGGAGGAAACTCTCTTCATCCTGACCTTTGACGAGAGCGGTGGCTTCCACGACCACGTCCCCGCTCCTCTCGCCCCTCGTCCGGATAACCAGACCTTTACCCTCAGCACCCCCAGTGGCCTGGACTACACCTTCCCCTTTGACCGTCTGGGTGGTCGCATCCCGACTTTGCTGATTTCCCCCTGGGTTGCCAAGGCACAGGTCGAGCAGAAGGGTAGAAATGCTCGCGGCGAGACTGTGTCGTACTCGGCTGCCTCCATTCTGCGGACTCTGGGCTACCTCTGGGACTTTGAGCCCTTCACTCCTCGGGTCGAGCATGCGGCGTCATTTGAGCACTTGATTCGTTATGATGCTCGGAAGAACACTCCCTCTGCTCTTCCTCCTGCGGTTCCTTTCCGGAAGTAGAAGTATGCAGCCATGGCTTCGATATGGGATATGGTAAGATCAATGTATGACAACCAGTAGCATAGATATTTGTTCTGAAAAGTGAATACAATAACGATGGAACATTCTCCTATTCTCTCTCCGACTTCGGCGCTTAGTCATCCTTCCCCGGGAATTTGTCTCCCCGCAAAGATTCTTCAGTCTCCGCTTACATAACCATTTTGAGGCATATTTCAGTCTGGTCGCTTTGGGTGGCTGAATTTCCCGACTGCAATTGGTGCTTCGAGTCAGGGAGCTTTTTGGGAGCTTTTTCCTTTGTTCAGGAGAGAGAGGAATCCGAGCCCTTTGGATTTTACTCCTTTATATCACTCACATTGCCGACGATATGTCCTCAACAAAAGAGCGATAATCGAGTCAATAGTGTCGGGCTCGTCATGCTGTATAGCACGCACTCCACGGGTAATCAGGCCATGGAAAGTCCCGTTTCGAACACTGCAAGGAAGACAGCAGTGGAGGTCGAGATAGCTGTTGTCTCTCCTTCGACAGATCCAGTATGGTACCGTCAGTCTCATCTACTGTGCCTGAACTACATTATTGTCTCTCTAGTTCTCTTCTCTTCCGCCAATGGGTACGACGGCTCTCTCATGAATGGCCTGCAAGCTTTGAATGAGTGGAACCGTTTCATGGACTATCCAACCGGCGTCAAACTCGGATGGATCAATGCAATCGTCCTGCTAGGCTCCGGGGTGGGGTCTCCTATTGCCGCCTGGCTATCGAACCGGTTCGGTCGCAAGCCGGGACTCTACGGCGGTTATATGTTTTTGATCCTCGGCTCAGTACTGCAGACCGCCTCTCCGAACCCGACGGCATTCTTGCTGGCCCGTCTGTTTATGGGTGTGGCGTCTGGTCTTTTCGGAGTCGCGGCTCCCCTGCTCATCAACGAGATAGCGCATCCCAGACACCGGGGCATTGTCAACTCGCTGTTTATGACCGGATGGTATATGGGGGTAGCGTCTCTGGGTGGGTTATTTTTGGGGTCCGAAGCTATTCCTCGTCGTGGTCCTGGCGCCTCCCATCGCTTCTGCAGGCTCTTCTCCCGGCCGTTGCTTTGCCGGGGCTCCTTCTCGCTCCAGAGAGTCCTCGATGGCTTATTTCTCAGGGGCGCGAGGACGAGGCACGTGCCATTCTGACGCGGTATCATGCTGGCGGCTGCCACTCGTCTTTGGTCGATGCCGAATTCCAAGAGATCCGCGCGACAATTCAAGCCGAGCAGGACGCTCACAAGGGGGCTAGTTACGTAGAGATGTTACGTACTCCGGGAAATCGCCATCGACTGATAATCTCCCTCAGCCTGGGGTTTTTCGCCCAGTGGGTCGGCAATGGTGTCATCTCATACTATCTAGCTCTTATCCTCAATACTGTCGGGGTGACCAGCGTCCGAGACCAAACGCTCATATTGGCCTGCATGCAGATGTGGAATCTCCTGTTTGCCATCGTGGGTTCGGTGCTGATTGACCGATTCGGGCGACGTCCACTCTTCCTTTCATCCGCCGTGATCATGCTCGCCAGTTACGTCGTTGTCACGGCACTGTCGAGTTCTTTCGCAGTGTCGCGTCATGCAGCCACGGGTGTCGCGGTCATACCATTCCTCTTCATCTTCTTTGCTGGTTATGGCGTTGCTGTGTAAGTTCCTCTTGACGTATTCTTGTCATCCGACTAATTCAATCCAGAACTCCACTGCTCACGGCGTATCCGTGCGAAATTTGGCCGTTCCGTCTTCGGTCCCGAGGTCTGGCCGTGACGTGGATGTCCACGATCTGTGCCGCGTTCTTCAATATTTTCGTCAACCCTATCGCGCTGGAAGCTATTGCATGGAAGTACTACTTGATTTTTATTGCGGTCCTGCTGTTGTTCGGTGTCACTGCATATTTTTTGTACCCCGAAACCAAGGGCTACACGCTGGAACAAGTAGCCGTCGTCTTTGATGGACCGGGAAGGCCAATGAATGACCTCGAAACAGAACCGAACTCATCTGATACAGCATCGGATCCGAAGGGCGTCACGTCGGCTACGCACCGGGAGACTATCTAATTAGTTTACTGTCATTAATACTCAGATTTCTGTGCGCATTGGTTATACCCTCTAAAAGATAACAATAATAGTCGAGAACAATCTCAAAATTAACAAACCGAACATCACCGCTCACGCCATGGCCTCCCGAATCTGGAGCAGATGTTCAACAATGACATCAAAATCCTGATGAACATCATACGCATCTCTATCGCGATATTCAACATAGCAGAAATAGTCCTCTTCATCGAGTCTGGAGAAACGTACCAGCGCACCGATCGCAATAGCGGCGAAAAGACTTGCCCGGGGCTCTCCCTGAAAGAGGCTCGACGCCTCGACTAAGTCGAGCTGAACTGCATCTTCCAAGACTTTCCACATGTCCGTGTCAGGGTCGGTGAACCCGATACAGTAGACCTTGAAGAGTGGGAGGGTTGCGAAACGACCACTCAGATTAGTAACGGAGATCTGGGGGAATCTATCTGGGTCGTCTTCGTTTTGCACTGTGAAAGACTTACCGCCAGCCGGTACAAGTGGAAAGACAGGGTCAAGGATTAGATTCCATACCTCCCGAACGTGTTCATGGCGTGACTGTGGGCATAGGTAGGATATCTGCTCCCATGCTCTTATAGTGTACAAGTCCTAGCATTTGTTAGTATGTCTCCGGTCTAGCGGTATTGCGGAATGGACTTACCGTGGCCATGATGGAATGTGGTCCTGGATCGAATGTTATTATAACGCGGATTGCAGAACTTGAAGAACGGAGATGGGTTTGGAAAAAGAGAGCAGCAGCAGGCATGGTGATGTATATATAGACCTTCTCTGGCAGGTCTACGACTTGAGCGACAGCATCCAAGACATCTAGAATATCTGAGACAATAAAATGAGTATAAAAGAATTGCTCCATTATCATAGTTGGTTTTCTTGGTGACATTAAGTACATTGTTTCGCTTAGGACAGATCGCAATACAAGACAAAGGGGACCACGACCCAACGTAAGACAATAATATTTTTGAACAAGAGAATGTCTCGAAGGTCCAATAGGCCTTACTAAGTTATTTTGTACCACTTATTTCGACGATCCGTCTTTCAATATCAACGACAGAACCTACGTTTCAGGATGAAGACTGACAAATATAATTATTCCTGCCTGTCAGGACTAACATAACTTCAATATCAACACCAACTCCACAACAGTAGCCATCCAACATAGTAGAGTCGAAATCATGACCACAATCAAGACAATGGAGCATAAAACAGGATAAAAGACTTTCACGGCGACATCCGTCAACAGGTTCCTGCTTGATGCGAATTGCTGAGACAGCACATGGAACAGAGCACACCGGGTCAATTTTAGCACGAATCTTCAACAGACCTTCAAGAATGGCATCGTAATCGTGATGGAACCTAGGCCCTATTAACACTATAAAATATCTCTCATCTAGCTGGGCGCTAACTATCTATTTTTCTCCTACGATATGCCCCAGTAGCTATATTATTATGATAACCTTAAAGTACATGGCAGGGTCTCTTATAAGTTAGTCTAGAATCGACCTTATTTGTATGTTAAGCCAGGCTCAGAGTAAACTTTCACTTAGTTTTTATTTTCTAGGGATGTTAATTTAAATATACACTCTACTTAATTAAGTGCAATGTTGACAGAATCCTAGTAGGTGTCTAAGCCTAGGTAGATACCATGATGAGCTATGACTTTCCATAATTTTGCTGTACACTTTTCTCCGAGCCAAAATTCGATTCTGAGTAACCATGAGTCGATTCAAACCGTCACCAGGAAACGAAATCTACAAGAGAACAAAAAGTTATTAGTCCCCAAAGCTCCCAGTGAGACGAACAGTAAGCAGATTCTGCTGAACAATCTCCTCCTTCCTCGCCTCCAGCTCTTCCACATCCCAATTAGCAGCTACATACCTCCCCGACAAGAAGTGTCTATCCCCGATGGCCAGCCAGACGGCCGTACCACCGCATAGCCCCGCCGTATCTTTCATGAACGGTGCTAGCCAAGGGACACTTCTTCCCATATCTGTAAGGATCATGCCGGGGTGAAGGCTCACACTGGTGATATTTGGAAGTTCAGCATTAAGAAACGCAGTGAACTGCGTGATGGCCAGTTTGCTAATACTGTAGGAACTCAGATTCTGACTCACGTAGTGGCCTGCCGCGGAGGTGATGTTGATGACTGTCGTCGAAGCAGCAGGGCTCGGGCCAACCATTTTCAGAAAAGCGTGGGTGACGTTGAACGTACCCCGGAGGTTGACTTCCTAGTCCTTTGTCATAAGCACTTGCCGACTCCCATACCCTGACCAAAAAAGAAAAGGGATACACGCACCTGAGTCCTCCACCAGAAGTCTGGGTCGTCATCCACCATCGGAGTTTGCGAAGAGACCACCCCAGCATTATTCACGAGGACCTGTGGCGTACGAGCCCCGAGCCGCTCGCTGATCTCGTTGAATGCACGCTTGACAGCGTGGTGGTCACTGATATCCACGGCAATTGAATGGACTTCTGTAGACGGATTGATACTCTTGACCATCTTTTCCGTCTCGGCCAGGTTTTCCCTCGAGCGCGCCAGAAGAATGATGGCATCTGCATGGGCGCGTGCAAACGACGCAGCAAAGGACTGCCCTCTCAATCCCCATTTATGAAGATGTCTGTGTGTGAGATACTTACAGATCGTCCCAGTCCGCGGCTCGCGCCTGTGATGATCACTACCTTCCCACTTTGCGAGAGATTGGGGCGTGTGGGGTTGATGGCGGGGTAGAGGTCTCTGTATGTTTCCTTTGTGAAGGCGTCGGCTTTGACGAAGCTGTCTGGGTCAGGTTCGCCTCTGCGGGCCATGATCTCGGGGATTTCATTCATTTTAGTCGATACTTATTCCAAATCTGTACTGAGTGCTTTGAGGGCAGAGTTGGTGCGGACAACAGGTCATTACTTATGTCACGACTTACTATGGCCAATATATGGGTCGATGACAATATAGCCGAGTCTGGATCGTGATAGATGGCGGATTGAGTTTTGTCGTATCCAGATCTACGGATCGTGATACGTGCTGGCCGTGAAGCTTCGTATTAGACAGTCAGGTGACCTTCTGTCCGATGGTGGAGGGACTACGTCTTGAGACACTCCCACCAATTATAACTGATATGGAGATTATACGAGGGGCACAAAGGGCAAGTTATACGGCGGACTGAATGTACAAAACCAGCCAAAAAACTATCTTTTACTGTCACCCACTTGTATGGCCTACAGCTACTACTTCCACAAATTCAATCCGAAAATGAATCCCCACAGCCCCGACTTGCCAGGGCGACGAGTTAGGCAGCCGCAGGCACCAAACTGAAAATCTAAGTATAAATACCTCTTGAACCCCTTGCTGTTAGGAACTCATCACATCTTCAGTGATTTGAACATCAATACCTATAAATCTAAAATCTACTCAAAGGGACTTGACTTCTTTCCAGTCCAGAATCCAGATTTACATACTCTATTACCATTTTTGTTTTCGAAAATGCCGAAATTCATGCTTCTTGTTCGCGCTACCCCAGACAGCGATTCTGGCAACCCCCCTACAACAGAAATGATTGAGGAGATGATGAGATACAATAACTCTCTATCCAATGCGGGTATATTACTTGCCGCAGAGGGCTTTCTATCATCCTCGAAGGGCGCTCGGGTCAGCTTTGACCACCAAAACGAATCGTCGGTGGCGACTGGACCTTTTCCCCCCGAGTCCACCATTTCAGGGTTCTGGATGATCAAAGCCAAGGATATTGAGGAGGCAATAACATGGGCTTGCAAAGCACCATTTCGCGCTGAGGGGAGTGCCATTGAAGTCCGACAAATTGCTGGGCCCGAAGATTTTGGTGATCAGTTAACTGATGATCTGAAGAATCAGGAAGGGGAGTTGCGGAAGAAGTTGGAGGAACGAGCTGTAGGAGGAAAAGCTTGAGGACGCTGGGATAGTGGTTAGTTGCATGACATTGTAGCTAAAGAGTATTATTAGGACGCTATTGATGTCGCCTTTAATGCCTGCGTATTCTCTGTAACTACTCCAACATCTTGATACAAGGTGTTGTAGAGTGCTTAATTATGAGTATAGTTGCTTCCTAAGCAATTTAGCTGGTACTGTCTATAAATATATCATCAAGTTTGGTTCCTTAGCTGATTACCAATGCACGCAGCTAGAAGCCTATAAGACCTAGACAGCTCCTGCAGTCTCATCAGAACAGACAGGACTCTCCCGATAGGTTCCGGGATTCAGAACAGATCAGGTTTGGTTCTAATTTCTAGAATTTGGACTTGAAATTGCAGCGGTTTGTTTCCAACTGGGGTTAGACTCGCCCGAACTCAGACTGAATGCACCGAGGAGCAATGGCAGGAAATCTGCGATCTGGTACGACCGTATTTGGCTCTGCCAGAGCCACCGGTGTGAAAGCAAGTATACCCGCGGAAGGTGGATGAGCCAGAGGACCAGTTGGCTGCCATGACCCCTGACAGTCCAACGGACCTGAAAATGGTCCGTCAAGCAGCCCTCCAGAAATATGGTTATTTTTGGACATTCCACCGTCCATAAGCCAGGCAAATCCTTTTCATACAAATAGTGGAAAAGCCAGGAAGCACCACTGGTTAGGCGATGATAGCATAAGTCCAAGGTTCCCAGACCCTAAGTATCATAAGTCCGCAAATAGGTATGGCTTGATGCGCGTCTGTGCCATCACTAAGGAAGCTGCTAACGCTTGGACAGCTATCCGCATGGGCCACCATCGGGACCCGCAGCACTTCCAAGTCACTATCCCCGTACCAGGGCGAGATAAGGCGCCGGAGGTAGACTATGATCTACTCGCTCGACATCGGATTCTCAACGCAGATGGATGGGCATTCCGAGCAGCATCAAGCACTCGCTCAGCGACACCATGCCGCCTCGAAACCCTTAAAGAGACCGCGACTTTGACTCCACCTCGACTGAGCTGCCGCCTGAGAGATCGATCGACGAACTTACTTCGAGCACCGTGATCCTCGCCAAGCTTCACGTCGCCACCAGAATCGGCGCCCATCTCAGACTTGGTCTGCAGTCCTCATCCGCTCTCCTACGAGAACGAGAACCTCATGGCGGCGAATTCAAAGCTAGACTTGACTTATGCGACCATGTCCGAATCTCTGTTGGACCCTCCAAGTGTCGTATTCCAGGTCAGTGCGCGCCTTACCCCTGAACCACACTCGAATCATCATCTACAGTAATGCGCCCCTAGCCACATGCACAGCCCTAGCAATAGAGGATAGACGGAGCTGCTAACATGCCTTTCTCAGCAGCGGATAAACTTTTACATACATTACCAAAGAGCCCGCATCGTGGTCAACCGGAAGTTTCTAGGTACGTCGCAGGATAAAACTGCCAGCAATCAGCCCTGGGGTATCGTGATTGAGGCGGCCTTGGAGATCCTGCGGCTGCAGCACCGCCTGGCGGATGAGTCTGACGTCCTGGACCCGTCCCGCCCTACTGGTTATGGTCGACTCGTGTTGCATGAACAATGGGTACTTTTTAGCTGCGAGCATCGCGTGCTTCCTCGTGCAGCATTGCAAACAGAGTCGTCGCAGCTCTGAGAATGGTCCTTGGGAACCAGGACGTGTACAGTACAATTGAACCAAGGAGGTCGCCTCAAGCAGGTGGGGGAGATGGCGTTCTCTAGTTGCACCTCTTTCTTTGTTGACCGACATCGATACTGCCGTTCCTTCACTGTCATCCATTCCCATGATAGACTACTGGCCGTCGATAGATCGGGGCATTTAGAGACCAGTCTAACGAAGATTTGGAATTTTCCGATGCGGAGACCCTGCGAGTGACTACAATTGCCGAGAAGCATTTTGAGGAATAATTATTCGAGTGCAGATGTCATCAGCGTTAAGCCTCCTGCAAAAATCAGCGATAGCGTAATGATTAGTGATTGTGTAGTCATGAAACAAAGGGTTAAGGGGCTGAGATTCAGGGGAGGCCAGCCCCCGCCCCAGTTGGTATTACTTTAGAAGCCAGCTTTACTGCACCCTGCGATCGTCCCTTGTGCATAATAAATATTTCGACGGTCCAAATACCGGAATGCCGTACTTAATCTAGGTCCCGAGACTAAGCTCCAATACCAGCGTTTCATGTACAGCGTCCCGATGTAACACAATTGCCGCTCGGTAGACAATCTGAAACAAAAAGATTAATAACCAGTCAGGAACATGGCAAGTGTACCCCGGATAGCATGGCACGGTCACATCCAGACTTATTCGGAGGCATTCTTGGTCGCATACTCTAATTTCTGTATAAATACCAGTGCTTCCCTACTTGGGATCAATTCATTCCAACAATAACCACGCTCTTCACTCCTCCTTTTGTCCCAGTCGTTCTGCTCACCATCATGTTGCGCCCCGTTGCATTCTTGGCATTGAGTGCTGTTGCTCAAGCACACACCGTCGCTTGGGTCAAAGGCATGTACTGCCTGGGGGTCCCGACCCTTCAACAGACAACGCAAACACAAACACAGCCGTGAATCCCCTGTACAATCTCAAGAAGGAAGACTGGTGGTTCCAACACGATCGCGGCTGCGACGCAGTCCCTCCAGCAGATGGCGACATCCTGGAACTCCCAGCTGGCGGAAAGTTCACAGTGGAACTTGCACACAACCGCGCTCAGACAACGCTCTCATACGATGGAAAATATACCTCTGAATGGCCGGACGGGAAAGAGCACCCCGAAGACTGGGCTGGTCCTGGAAACCCGCCCGACTGTATCCAGGATGATGGAGCGCTGCATACCAACAATCAATCCATGGCTGCTGGCACTGCGTTTGCCATCAGCTATCAGTCTGACCTCTCGGCGGTAACGATGGAGAACTTGGCTGTGTTTACAGTTTTGGAGCAGTAAGTTGGGGTTTATGGACTGCAGTTGCTCGATTCTAATTATCCGTGTACAGCACCCCGTGGAAGCGGATCGCTACCTACGAAGTGCCCAAGGATCTTCCTGCTTGTCCTCCTGGTGGATGCACCTGTGCTTGGCTCTGGGTAGGTGTATGAATATCAGTCAGGTTTTAGCTTAGCTAACACCAGATAGGTCCCCAACGGTTGTGGACAGCCCAACATGTAAGTGTTCATAGTCAAATCCCAGTCCGTTAACTAACGAGAAACCAGGTATATGGCTGGTTATAAATGCAATGTCACTGGGTCTACCTCTTCTAAAAAGGTCGCTCCGGCTCAAGTCCCTGTTTATTGTGCGGATGATAGCAGCAAGTGCGTCAAGGGTGCTAAGCAGATGATTGCCTTCAACCGTGAGTCAGTCCTTCTCCTGGAGGTATGTCCAGAAGTAACTGGTGGAGTCATAGAGCAAACTGGGAACAACGTTGAAGTCCCCAATGGCAAGACACCGATGTATAACACGGCGTGGGGTTTCAAGAATGGTATTACCTTCATCTCCCCTACATGAGAACTGATTCGCTAATAATCACGCAAGGTGCCCAAAATGATATTTTCCTTTAAATCAGGCCAGGTTTGAGCAAACTGCTACAACTGAGCAAATGAATATCAATCGGAAAGGACATGGAAGTGAAATATGTACTCTACAAATGGAGAGGATGAGTGCCGCTGCTTTTCTGCTGGGCTGATGTATAGAGCAGAGTTAGTCCTACCCAGACAACTGACAAACAAATTTGTGAATTGTAGTTGATAGGTATTACTTTAAACCCCCATAGATAAAGAAGTACTCAAGTATTAAAAGACTGTAGCACGAGTCAAGCCCATCTTCTCCATCACATAGTTCAGGTTGCCTTCGGAGGCTCGGGTCTGTGGGTGATCAGGACCCAGGGTCCTCTGATTCCATGCATATGCTGATTGCAATAGAGGCACAGCGTCAGAAAAGCGGCCCGCTCTGGCGTATGCCGCGGCGAGATTATTCATCACCGGCACCGTGTCGGAACTATTCTCGCCAAAGGTCCGCCGCGAAAGCTCCAAGGCCTGCTCCAGTAGAGCCAATGCTTTGGCTTTGCCGTCTTCCGTGTCCGACCTCTGGTACGTTGTTGCCAGGTTAGCGGAGCATCGAATAGTGGTTGCATTGGCTTCCCCAAGATTGGCCTTGGAGAGTTCCAGGGCTTCGGTCTGATAATGGAGCGCTCTGTCAAGCTGGCCGAGCTCCCGGTAATCCACCCCAAGCAGATCCATGGTGATAATGGTCTCGAAATGCTCCTTGCCAAGGGTGCGGGACTGCAGCTCAAGGGCTCTCTCATGCAGCCGGGCAGCGTCTTGGAGGCGTCCATGGCGGTGGAAACTGTTAGCCAAGTTGTTCATGCTGGTCTGCGTCTCTCGGGAGCTTTCCCCGTTGATTTTCAGAAAAGTCTCTAGTGCTCGCTCTTCCAGATCCAGTGCCTCATCGAATCGGCCGAGCCCTTTCAGGTCCAGCGCGAGGTTGTTTAGCGATTTGGCCGTCTCGATGTCATCGGGCCCGGAGACTTGGAGTCGAACGGCATACACTTGATGATCCATGCGCTCCGCCTCCTGGTACTCACCAAGTCGGCGCAGGGCGTAAGCGAAATTGGTCTTCATAAATAGTGTGTCCTCGTGATCGAGGCCTTGAGATTCCTCCAGTTGTTGAACAGCATGGCTCAGTTTGTCCCGAGCTTCCTGCCACTTATTCTCGTCCATCAACCTGTTGCACTCTTCCATCAAGCTGTATACTGGCGACTCTGCCTTTTTGCTCTTGGACCTGAAAAATCCCATCGTTGTGTATTCTTCGGTCTTGGTTCCGGCGTGCTCTGCAAATGCTCCGGATGAATTTCTTGAAAGGATCTGCGAGGATCAGCGGTTTTTAAGAACGTAGGACACCAGATCGACAAGAAGCTGACTTTCCTTAAAGTTTGGTCAGTGCTCGTATCGATGCTTGGCAGGTTTCATTCCCACACCATCACAGTCAAATGATAGGATTGTGGCCTCGTATTATTAGTCTCTTGGCGGAAGCCTTCCATTTCTTCGTGGAAAATGTGGATCCTGGGCGTAACCTTGCAGCCCACAGATCAGGCAGCTCTGAAACAGGTAAATCTAGGCTCCGTGGCTGCCTAAGCTTATTATTCTGGTGGAGCCCTATTGCCCCTGATCATTCAGGATTCTAGATCCAATCCTGTCCAAATGTGAGCCTCAAGTGATTGCCATCTGTCCACTGCTTAGGATAGACTTGAGTACGGTTAGATTCATGTATATTATTTCTTCGGCGAGCAAGGAGACCGCCCAGGAAAACACCAAAGAATTCAGGGAGAACTGTATATATATAAATCCCAACCCGTCTGCATCATGTCTGGTATAATTTTGGACTCGACAACACTCAAAAACATCTTCTAGGTACAGAATCTGAAAAGGCGTTTGTATGCTTCCTCTTTCGGCGTTCCAACAATACCTGCCGTGGCCTACTAGACGGATTGAAAATGACATCACGGATCAACCTTATACTGGCTCTTCGCTAGCAAGTGCAAATAGTCAATGTGGTTCTTTCGCAGTGTATGCGCTCAGCCATGACGCTTACGGTGTGAGAGTCCCAACATGTCTATGGCTGCAGCACCAAGTCTGTCCCGACACACCTATTACACACAAACAACTGGGTTGTATCCACCCGTTTCTTGATAGAGAGCAATCGCTCATACTTATTTCCCCAGAAGACACTTTGCCATTTGGGTTCGTACCTAAAATTCATGTGAGATGGATTCCCTTGGAACGGTTAAGAAGAGGAGAGGTCAGGAATCACTCACGGACTCGCTTCATTCACATATGTCCCTCCATCTGGACCGACAATCTCAGTAAAGCGCTTGCTCAACTGCACCATCTGGTGTCGCTTCTCTTCCTTCTCGCAAGCTGTTGCGTTATCCAGCCAATTTACCGAGATACTCAGAAGCGCGTGGCTGTGTTTCCAGATCTCATGGACGGCAGTGTTGTCACGTTCCTTGTTGTCGACTTTGCCAACTGCAAAAGAGTGACGAATCAGCATGATGAAACCAACTGCTACAAGTCGAAATCTTCTTACTGAAATTGAATCCTGCCGCTTGACCATTGTCGACAATGAACTCCGCCAAATCGTCGGCCTTTTCCCGGATTATGTCCGCTGTCAACAGTCGTGACACGTCCTGAATGTTGGTCCCGATATTAGGGTCTCGCAGGAAGGTTTTCAAATATTCGTCCCAGGCGGAGGAATAGGCTGCAACAGCTCCAGTGACACCGGGAAGTTGTGTCAATTCAGAGAAAGGTGCGAAAGTCTGGTTAAACGATTCTATGGTGCCGTTGGGTTGAAGAAAGACTGCCTGGAAGCCCTGCGCAAACGAGCCATATCCGGTATAACCTGCGTCTGTAACGGCTGGAATGAGTTTCAGGGATTCGGAAATGAGCCGGGTTGAGCTGGAGTTGTTGGTTGCGTTCAGTTGAACGAATCCGATGGTGAGGTTTTGTGGGACAGGATGAGTTTTGTAAGTCACCGACGTAACGACCTGGGGTATAAAGGGTCAGCGCCAAATAGATATATCAACCGCCTTGACATTAGCATAAATCACATACACCCCAGGCACTTCCACCGCCGCCGCGAACAGCCCAGAAGTACTCGGGATCTGAATGCGCATTGATCACTCGATGTCGTCCATCGGCAGAAACAATGCTCATTTCCAGAAGATCTGGGCTCCTATTAGTCAGCCTTCACGAGCAAAAAGTGGCCTGTCACTGACTATCTGCAGCGAGGCCATAGTAGTGTGCAAATGGCGAATGGCCTCCTCCCAGCACATATCCTCCGGCGGCCCCGACGGTGCGCGCTGATCCTCCGACTATCAATACACCCTGTCTTGCTGCAGCTTGGTATACGTCTACATGCTCCCGTCAGTATTCCACTCTTTCTATTGGAAATCAGTAGAACCATTTCACCTACCGAACCATTGCTCTCCAGCCTGCAATGTCGCAGCAGGGACACCTTTGATCGCAGGAGGTGCTCCCTGCGGGACAAACCGGTCATGCCAGTCGATGCCCTTGAGATTATGAGTCCAGATTGAAAGGGCTCCTTGACCGCTTGATCGACCGAGGCTGTGGTAACTTTGTTAGCTGTGTACCACATACATAAGCAAGGCAGTCTGCTTCACTGGTCATGTCCTGTGTTCTTTATCACAAGAAACAGGTCCTTCTCGCTAGCAAACTTCACAGTCTTTTGGACATCTTCGACGCTTTCCGCCCGGACAGAATAGTACGGCACTAAGGGAGCGTCACATCATTAGCAATTCAGAAGAATAGGTACCCCTCTCATTTGAGTGTTACCTATCCCCTGGTCGCATGGAGCGCTAACGGGAGTATCAATAAAGCACTGCCCGTTGTTTCCCATCTCCCATACCGTCGCAGAATAGGCTCCTGTTTGGTTTGTTCGCCAGAAGCTATCTAGCCAACTCTGCTTTGCTATTTTGCATTGGTTGGCATTATACCTCTCAGTATGGCACACGGCAGCAGATGGAAAAGAGCGAATCAATCGCCCGCCGATTGTGGTGTTGAAGTCATTCCAAGTCTGCGCGTCTGGCCAGCAGTCGTCACCATAGGCACATCGACGCCGATGATGGGCTTCCGCATTTGCTGCTATGGTGAGGATTCCCACAGCTGAGAGAAGGGTTTCAGCGTGGAGGATCATGGGTGCCAAACAGGTTCGATAATCGATTTAAAAAACTTGAATGAAACGGTATGTGAATGAAGATGATAAGAGAACTGTCGTGATTTTGTCAATGATCAGGACTGTAGAATCCAGGACCTTGCAATGATATTTATATTCTGACGGGGGATGCTGCAAAATGGGCGAGTACGAAAGTTGCCAAATCGGGAAACCGATGTATGACGAGTTGTACAGCCGAATACGACCACTGGAGCAGACCAGTTTGCCCATAATTCTTGGCTGCTCCACTACGTACTTTGAACCATACGATGTCGATCCACATGGTCAGCTGGTAACTATGCTAGCGTCGTTCTCTGTGTTGAACATGGGGAAATACTGAGGACAGGCCATCCGTTGAGCAGGCAGATGGATTTCTAAATGGACACCATGAAGCTAAGGACATGAACAGGTAGAGGTAGACATCTGGTAGGCTGTGTATGCAGCACTTCAGAAGGGGTCACTATGTCACGTGCTGACACATGACATTCCCCTATTATTAGTTAGGCTTTTTCCCACAAGGGGAAAACCCACCACAAGAACCTTGGCTGGATCCTGCGCCGCTGCAAGCAGTATGTGCAAGGAAATGACCCACCACATACCAGTTCTATCAGTATAGTCATTCGGGATGTCTAATCTTCCAGTGCTAATCTTCATACCTGGCTCGTGGCACAAACCGACATGCTATGACAAGGTCACCAAAATCCTTCATGAGCAGCATGGTTTAAAATGTGTTTCAATTACCCTCCCTTCAACGACGGGAAACCCAGCCGCGACATTCAAAGATGATATTGATGCTGCGCGCGAAGCTATATCCAGCGAGACAACCCAGGGACGCAGTGTGGTTGTCCTTGCGCACTCATATGGCGGCATGGTTGGCAATAGCGCTGTCAAGGGTTTCACGCGGCCTGAAGGCGCCACCACCCCAACAACGGGGTACGTTATCGGCCTGATCCTCATAGCCTCTGGCTTTACCCTGACAGGACTGTCCTTCATGGATCCGTTCTTCGGCCGTCCACCTCCCTTCTGGCGGGTCAATAGCGAGACCGGCTATGCTGAGCTTGTTGCTCCTCCACGTGAGCTTTTTTATCACGACGTGCCAGCGGAAGAGGCGGAATTCTGGGTTTCTCAGCTCGCGACCCAGAGCCTTAAGGCATTGTTCGAGGGTGGTGAGCATGCATGTGCCGGTTGGAAGGATGTACCTGTTTGGTATATTGGCACGGTCGAGGATCGGGGTTTGCCGGTGCTGGTGCAACGGATGCAGGTCGGTATGGCAAGGGAAATGGGCGGTAATGTGGAACATAGGGAGCTGCAGACCAGTCATTCGCCATTTTTGAGCCAACCCGATGTGACAGCAACAATTATACTGGACGCTGTCGAGGCATTTACAGGGAAGCAAGTGGAAGATGAATCCAGCAGAGCACGAGGCGATGCCATAACGGTGCCCACAGTCAGGCTTTGGCAACCTTTCACATTGTTTAAATTTGGACTACCGCTGGCCTTTGGTCACGTAATAGGAAGGTGTGTCCTGCTATTCGGTTGGGGAAGAAGGTTATGGAGGTCTACTTTCAGGTAATGTGTGTTTTATCGTCAGCTCGACAGTGGATCGACAAGAATATGACCTTGGCGATATCTCTATCCCAGTCGGGTTCGCGCTTCTGTCCTTCCTCACTCGACAGAGATTCTACCTATCGTGGATCTCCATATAGCTTATGTCTGCTGACAATCTAGTTACATCCATTGTGTATAAAATCTGTATTATATGCTGAAGTCTCCCAATCTGACATTTTTCCCGGTTGCTTTCCCTCCTTGGTGTGGGCCGGGTGATAAAGAGAAACAGGAGGATTCGAAAGTCTCAATCACGCTTTGTTTTGCGTACGATCGTGACGCCAAACTGCCATCATGGGCACCAACAGAAATGCTGCTCCCACAGTCATCCCTGCTCCACTGAAGATTTGCAGTGCCAGAAAACCGTTGTCTCCCCCGTGACCCTCGAGAACACCCGCGATCGGCGCTCCAATTAATACACCGAGACTGGTTGCAAACCACTGCATACCCATGCGCGTCCCAATCATCGAAGGAGTGGGCGAGACCACCGGGTGAGCGATGACCAGTGGGTTAGCAGAGATGAGCACGCCAGAGAAGATGCCAAAGAGTACGCAGAAAACGACGAACGAGGCGACCGAGTGGATGCCAATCCAGCCAAAAAGGAGCACCGCCGAGGCAATCACGCTGGCCAGGAGGATGTGACTGGCGCCGAGTCGGTAGGTCAGCAGGGAAGACCCGATACGGCCAATTGCAGAGCCGGCGTTGAGGATGGAGACCATGTAGAAACTAAGGTCGGTGGAGGAGTGGAGCGCGGTAGTGGCAAAGGCAGGAACGTAGAACAGAGGAATGAAGTAGGCCATAAACATGAGGAAGTTGGCGATCCCGTAAGCATTGAAGCTCCATTCCTTCATAGCGTGCCAGTGGATGAGCTGCCGGGGAGGACCGCGTCGGGTCTTGATAGTGACCATCAACAGCGGGACGGCGATGCATGAGCAGGCCAGTTGAATAAATCCCAAGGTCCGTACAGTCCAGGGAAACCCGATATGTGGCTGAAGACGGATGAAGATGATAGGAAAGACGACTCCGCCTTGCGTATTCCAATCAGCTCAGCAATTGAACTGATGGTTAAATCAGTCAAACATACCCACACTCGCGCCTGAAGTAACCATGCCGACTGCAACGCCGCGTCGCGTTGTGAAGCGCGTTGAGACCAACGACAAGGCAGGGACGTAGATCAAACCACTACCCAGGCCACAGCAGAGTCCCTGGGAGAGAAACACTTGGTAGTACTGAGTGGACAGACTCAGCATCATGAGCCCAAAGGTGGTCAAGAAACAGCCGGCGATCATCAGATGGTGAAGGTATCCCCGGTCGAAAAGAGGACCAGCGATGACGCCGGTGGAGATGAGGCAAAAGGCATTGACGGTGCCCACCCAGGCGATGCTGGAGGGAGAGTGCGCGCGCAGCAGATCGGATTGATAGTAGCTCTGGAAGGCACCGAAAGCGGTGGAAAATCCCCAAGTGGTGAGAAAGAGAAGAAACGAGGCAAAGACGCCTGACCACGCCGCCAATCCACCATTGGGGGGAGCTGGTGCTGGAGCCGGAAGTGGTGATGCTGAAGGTTCCCCGGGCTGAGGCTGCTCGGGCTGTTTTGTCTCCATGTGCTGGGTGCGGCAATTAGATCAGTATTGGGGCACAAAGTTGGCTGATATCCAGGTCAGAAAAATGGAAATGTCTTAAAATACGGGATGCCATTCGTTTTCATTTCCATCCTCATCTACAGAAGATACCCCAGAAAAGGAAACAAAGAACAAAACAACATCTGATTTGTCATCGCACAGCATATAGGCACCCCTGTCAATACTGCCCTTGGCTAATTCCAACAGGCCCAATGCACCGAAAAGCCGAGGTTGACCACTGAGCAGATGTCTAATCCCGCATTTCACTCGCGAAGCAAACACACCTGGCTCTGAAGCCCAACAAGCCGCTGCCTGGTCATCTTGTCTTGTCTGTAACTAGCTAGAGGCTTCTGCCAAGCACATCATCGAATACACCGAACCCCGCATCTTCTCCCGGAATCTTATCCGGAAACTTCCCCGGGAACCTTTTCCGAACCTTCTGTCGGTTTATGAATCGCCCTCCCGCCTGTCTATAGCCTCCCTTTGATCGATTCTACCGGAATCCGGCGGGTATGCCTATAGTGCCACGAAGGGTCGGTCAGATCAGAGCGAATCGCGTAGTTTTCTTCCGCATCCTCCAAAACCGCCATATCGACTGTCGCCACGCCCATCCCTTCGGCGGAAGTACCTAAACGAACCAGCGGACCTGCGTACGGAATGTTGATTTGAGACAGTCCGCAGTAGTTTCTCCCCGGGGGCCCGCCTGCATTGGCAAAGACGACAGCGCAGGTATTCTCAAACGTTCGCGCAGTCAGAATGCTGTCGAGGAACAAGGACGGTGCAGAAGGATTACTATTATTAACTGATGCAAAGGCACTGGGAAGACTTAGCTAAGGCTAAGTATAATAGATGAAGGTAGAACATAATACTAAGTTAGATATCCTCAAGCACTAAAGGAAAAGACTAATTAATATCAGCTAAGTAAGTCTAGCTGGTAACCACTATTTCATCACTATAGAAATAGATACTAATTACCTTAACCTCCTCTATAAAGAAGAGAAGAGAGGTAGCCCAGGCCACATACCCAGTATTACCAGGCATAAGTTAAAGAGCTTTAGCTAAATAATATGCAACCTAATCATTAGCAGTAGCCCTAGTATTTAGATACTGAATATAAGCTATTTTAGTACAATAACCTTTAAGGAACTTATTATACTTATCACTCTATAAGAATATTAGCATTAAGATAGTGCTATAGTAATAAATTAACCTAGAAACTCATATACTATTCCTTTTTCTTTCCTGTAATGCCATATAACTGATAGTGATTCTACTCTATATTCTTAAAAGTATTAATAAGCCTAAGAAGGGTGACTAAAAAGTCCTTAGAAAGGCTTGGATCCTAGGTATACTAGGGATTAAAGAACCTAGTATACTATTTAATAACAGCAGATAGGTTAAGGGTGTTCCCAGCCATACTGGGCGCGGCCTAAGAAATAGCTATTAACATCAAAATAACATATAGGACTAATATAATATACAGATTTATAGAGTAAATAATAGGCATTACACTGTATATACTTTATAGAAGTGCTGTCCAAAAGCTTGCAATTAACTTCAAAAGGAAGACTCCCTTAGGGGTTAAAGTTCTTTAATACAGTATAAAGGTAATACATACACTAATACTTTCTACAAATAATAGTATTAGCTATGATAAGACTTGACAGTAGGGAACACAAAGAAGAAGTGAAATATAATAGAAATAAATAAGAAATTATAAGGATTAAAAGAACTTAATTATTGAGTATTAATAAATAAAAAGGAACTGCAATGCTAAAGGAAATGCTTTAATATAAAAGAGAAATATTAATACATAAAGGTAAAAGAAGAGAAAATATAAATAAAGATATGATTAAGATAAATATTGTGAATGGATAAGTAGTATGTAGTGTATAACTAGCTAGTAGAGTTCACTAAAGCAAAGGGGAATAGATAGCTTGCCAAGGTAAGAAGGAAGAATAGTAGAAGGAAGTAGCTAAGGATATCTTAGCTAAATGTCTTAATTCCTTGATTTCTCTTGATTGCTTAATTGATTGTAAAACTAGGTGAGGAGTGACCTTGAGGACATATTTATAGGCAGTGGGTAGCTAGGTGATATCACTATGCTGTCATAGTGAGATCACTATTTGCCTCTTATTAAGGTTTAACCATACCATGGTTCTCACCAACAAATATACTATAGTCATTGCCTATAATAACATTATTTACTATCACACCACAGTACATAATAACAAAGAATATAATAAATTTCAAAATACATAAAGCTAACATAATAGAAGCATTACATCTACACTATAATTAGTTATCTCTGTTGATAACATTACATTGCATCAACCATTATGATATTATTTACTTCTTTAGGAAAATTTGAAGTTATATAACTCTAACTGAGGACAGTCATTATAACTGGAGGGGTATAATTATAAAGGCTCAGCTGCAGCCCAGCCACTTAATTATGCAGCCACCCCTTGCTTCCTAATTATTTTCAACCTCCTATTTTCAACCTCCTATTTTTAACCTCCTGTTTTCACACCTTGAGCCGCTTTCGAATCATCGCTGAATGCATCTAGGATAGACAGCAAAGATAAATAGTATCCTCCTTGTCTGGTATTCAAGAAGATAAGGATTAGTTTTTGTTTCATATTAGACTGGTCGTGGGTTGGGTTTGGATGGATCCGCAGGGGTTCAATCCAACCCGCATGGGTTTTGGGTTGATCCACCACCTATCTAACCCACCCTCATATCCATGCGGATTGGGTTGTGGATAACCATTCTACCCATATTATACATGTGATTTTAGACTATACTACTTTTGGTAGGCGGAAAGACCTAAGAATTTAGACTATACTACTTTTAGTAGGTAGAAAGACCTCTCTTTAAGAGAATATTATGAATATCTGTCATTCTGCCGGTCATGTGCACCCAATGGGTTACCCATATCCATATAGGTAGGATGCCATCCACCCATATGGATATGGGTTGGATCAGAGTCGACCCCCATCCAACCCAAAGTGCGGATTGGGTGGGTTGGATATGGATTTGCGGATTGGGTCAGCCAGTCTATTTCATATAATCTACTACTCTCTACCATCCTCTTCCATTAATTATCATCACCAACTCTTACCTAGTCAACAGGCCATCTACCCTGAGACGTAGATCCTTACACATACTGTGAACCCCTGGGCGTTGACATGTTAGACTACTAATTTTAGCTTATCTTCTATGCACCCTATAGTTAACCTATTAGCTAGATATAGTTACAGCCCCTTAGGTTCAACCTTCACTCCCTGATGCTTCATCCAGGGTGTACCCAGTATTAGGTTAGTTCCCTTACCTAGCTCAGGTGCTACATATGCATAAATAATGGGCTGGTAATTGCCCCTAACATCTAGGAAGAATATAGTAATCTTTATAATAATACTACCCATGGCGCCTATGTAGTTCTCTAGCTAGATTAGCTTGATATCTTACTACTTAAGTTTCAGCTTCTATGTAAAGTATTTAGCTATAACTATATAAGATATATACCTAGTATTAGGTAAGACCCAGCAATTATGCTCCTTGTTAACTATTATAGATTAGACTGGTCGTGGATTGGGTTTGGATGGATCCGCAGGGGGTTCAATCCAACCCGCATGGGTTTTGGGTTGATCCACCACCTATCTAACCCACCCTCATATCCATGCAGACTGGGTTGTGGATAACCATTCTACCCATATTATACACATGATTTTAGACTATACTACTTTTAGTAGGCGGAAAGAGCTAAGAATTTAGACTATACTACTTTTAGTAGGTAGAAAGACCTCTCTTTAAGAGAATATTATGAATATCTGTCATTCTGCCGGTCATGTGCACCTAATGGGTTACCCATATCTATATGGGTAGGATGCCATCCACCCATATGGATATGGGTTGGATCAGAGTCGACCCCCATCCAACCCAAAGTGCGGATTGGGTGGGTTGGATATGGATTTGCGGATTGGGTCAGCCAGTCTATATACATCTCTATATAGACTGGTTAAACCCCACCCGGGAACCCTAACCCAACCCGGCCCTAACCCGCCATGGGCCGGGTTTGGGTTCAGGTTCTAGGGCCCGTGGGTCGGTTGGGTTCTAATTCTTAGAACCCGCTAAGGGTTGGGTTCTAAAAACGGGTTTTAATTACAATACCTAGTAATTAGAATACACTAACCTAGGTTAGATATCTATGTAGAATGCATTATTTATATATATATATTTTGAATGCTAGTATAGATTAGACTGGCTGGCCCAATCCGCAAATCCATATCCAACCCACCCAATCCGCACTTTGGGTTGGATGGGGGTCGACTCTGATCCAACCCATATCCATATGGGTGGATGGCATCCTACCCATATGGATATGGGTAACCCATTAGGTGCACATGACCGGCAGAATGACAGATATTCATAATATTCTCTTAAAGAGAGGTCTTTCTACCTACTAAAAGTAGTATAGTCTAAATTCTTAGGTCTTTCCGCCTACCAAAAGTAGTATAGTCTAAAATCACATGTATAATATGGGTAGAATGGTTATCCACAACCCAATCTGCATGGATATGAGGGTGGGTTAGATAGGTGGTGGATCAACCCAAAACCCATGCGGGTTGGATTGAACCCCCTGCGGATCCATCCAAACCCAACCCACGACCAGTCTAGTATAGATGCTAGTATGGTATAGAAAAATTAAATACATACTAACTAGATTAGGTAGGCGGAGTGTAGAATTTTCGGCAGAATAGAACCCGCCGGGTTGACTATCTAGAACCCACCGGGTTATGTGCCGGGTTTAGGCCCTAGAAATCTAGAACCCGAACCCGGCGGGTTGGGTTCAAAAGATCGGAGAACCCGGCCCAACCCGCAAAAATAACAACCCTATCTCTATATCTGGTAGGACTAGCTTTAGCCTTCTTGTTCTATTATCCATAGATGTGGTAGTGGGGGTTTTCGGCTGTCTCTTTCTTCTCCTAACTATCTTAGGGCGAGCGATTTCTAATGTCACGGGCTAGAAGCCGGTTCAACCTATGACCTAGGTTTGGACAGTAAGAAATTG